AAAGTTGTTTAAAATAACTGTCATGGCGAGCGTACTGAGGAGCTGGGACAGGGCCGGCAGCAAGCAGCTATTACTCTATTGACGAGAATATCAAGACTAGAGAGGAAAGGAAGAGAGAGAGAGAGATAGGTACAGTGGGAGGTTGCCCCTTTAAGGGGATCCTCTGGTCAGATCCTTCCCCTATTGTGAAGTATCCGCTTGTTATATGGGAAGGTCTGTGCAGGCTGTCACAATAACTGCTTTAAGTAATAGGTACTACCTTATTATAATTTAAATATCTAAATACCTTTCGAATAAGATCCCTTTTAATCCGAACTTAATTAAGCACCCCACTAGAATACAATCCCGTTATAACCAGACTTATAACTGATCAACGTTCTAGTGCCGCTACCACAAAGGCACAGTCCTAGCACGGGCCATTCTGGCTGCCCTACCGACCCAGATAACGCATAAATCCGAGATACCGCATATAAATTCGTGTGACGAATCACATACGGGATCAGGGGATCCCACTGTAGACTACTACTATGTACCCACCTGTGCATCAACCACATGTACAGAGATGGGACGAGAAAGTACCTGTTTCCTATGGAATATGGTATCAACCATCGATGCACTCCAGATCGGGAGAGCTGCATTGCACAAGCCGCCGCTGCTAATAACAGATCATGTGCGTTGTAACATCGCCAAGCTGGAGAGCACTGAGAGTTGCTTATTATATTGCATGGTTGCCCCAGAACCCCAGAATTGGGCTGCCATCTGGGCCGTGACCTGTCAGCAGATGGGAGAGGCTAGGCACATTCGTCAGAGTTGATGAGGGCCTGTGCCTGTGTGCATCAGAGTTGCATGATGGCGCCAGTGTCTCTCACCCAGATGCACACTTCGTACGATCAAATAGACGGCTGCATTGGAGGCTGCTACACAGACCAAACAAGCGATAGAGTCGCGGCAACCATGCAGCACATCGACCACTCCTGCAGGGAATGGACGCGCATCAACTGTCACCAGCGTCAAGCACATCTCATCAATGGTCTCCCTCCAGTCCCTCTGTTTTAGAACAACATGAGCTGGCATAAACGTGGATGAACTGCAGCTGGCTGGCCATTCGCCAGCCATCTAGAAACTGTCCCTTCGGCAGAGCCTGCGAGAGCATGATCGTCTTCACCGCCCAGACCGTCTTGATATCTATTGTTTATCAATCCATCAATGCCTTGTCCCAGCCAGCCAACTTCGAGTGTGGAGCCCCGCGGTCCAACGGGACAACGTCTGAAGACGTTTTGTTTCAAGTGAAGTCGAACAACGTACAGAGAGCGGCTGGTCAACAAGACCATCTCTGTTGATCTGTTCATCTATGTGTAACAAAGGGCCTGGGGTAACCTGTTGATGGAATTATGGGCTTGAAACTGTTAAACACGTACGCCGCAATGACGACATCTCAAATTGGGTCACTGTCTGGGAGAGACACAGGTAGTGAGCCTACATTTCATAACAATACCGTTGGAAGGTCACACCATTTGACATGAATCGTCAGATAGCACAACATTCGACTTCGAGCAATGTGTCCTTCCAGAGAGGCGAGGCCAGACGATCACCAGGAAATTGCATCATGCTCGTGCTCGGTCACGCATCGTGAGGTGGGACCTCGCATCTGCCTCGATAAGCGATTACGAGTTCGTAGGATCCTGTTTCTGGAGGCAATGATGCCAGCTTGCACTCATCAGTCATATCGTTATCAAGAATGCGATGGAAGAAGTCAGGACTGGTCCCGTCGTCGGTCGAGAGTCCAGTCATCACTGGGCCCGGTTGATCCGTGCCTCCGCAGCTCCGGTCACAGGACTTGGAAGTTGGAATTGCACCCTTTGATCGACCGTCTCCCCCAACAATTATCGGCGATCATTATGTGCTGCTAGTAGTTATCCAATTTCGGGAATGTGTCCTCTGAGCTTTCCCGCTGGCAATATCCGTATCGTAGATGTCTGTGCCTCTATTCGCGGGGTTCAAGGTCCACGCTGCTCAAACGGTCAAACCCAAGTCAAACCTTCGTCTTCCTGATGGTTGAACGCCGCAACTCTCTTCATTACAGCGCCTGGGACTGAGGCCCGGCGCACTCCGGAACTCCTGTCTAGAAGGGCGTCTTGCAAGTTAATTAAGATTGCACTACAGCGGTCAAGCCACGACCAAAACATCCAGCCGGGCAACGAGATGCAGCTGATGCAGGTAGAAAGGAGTGCATACCTCGATGCGCCCACTCGGCCAATGACGGCGGCTGTAGTGTTCAAGTGAAACGGAAGATGCTGGAAGCGCACCAGACTTGGAGAGGGTCGAGACACCCGAATGCTCTGTCATCATTGGCCATGCCAGCAACGTATTCATGTGCCCTTTCAGGCGGCATGCCGCATTGTGTTGTGCCTGTCAGCCTGTTTGCGTGTGCTATGTGTGCCTGGCAGCATGGACGGAGGTGGCAGGCTAGCAATGCAATACCTGGCGACGATAAAGGATACCTGCCGATCTCCCAAGTCAGCAGGGCATGGCTACCTGATCCCCACGTCCCCCGACCGCTGCATCCGGCTCTTCTTCATGCTAGCTTCTGTTATCAGGTACTCCCTTCTTGCGTACCGGGCGGTATGACGATCCTGGGTCTCTGGACCTGCTTGCAGCGAGACCATTGTACACGGTGTCAGGGCCTAGTGGCATTCCTCCATCTTGATGTGCCTCCAGAGACTCCAGAGACTGTTGTCCGCGTGGTCAATCCCCAGCGACTCGACGATTCGACAAGCTTCTAGCTGAACCCAGAACTGCCTGACTGCAAGAGACATGATGACCTTGATGACCTTGGGGTAAGGTAGGTAAGGTAGGTAATGAAATGCTGAGCCCAGTCTGTGCTATCGACTGACACTGTAGCGAGTTTGGCATCAAGGCCAGGTCTCAGCATGGTCTCTGAGTCTCTGATGAAGCGGCTATCGCGGTACTTGTAGGCTCGCTGTATGTAGCTGGTTGTCAGAGGTATCCCCTTAGCTGATGGCGTGCTGAACTGGCTGACAGTTCTATCGTCATTGTCTCGAGGCGTTTGTCATGCTCATTGTGTCGACACTGTTTGCCGTGACTTGCACAACAAAGGAAAAGCTAGGCTGGACTTGGCCTGGACAGCGGCCTTTGACGGGTCTAGCGCCTGCCCAAGCCCCCTCGTGCTCACATCCAGTACGTACCCTTCGTGACTTCCACTGTCCAGCGCCATTGTGCCCCCGGCAGCGATACTATCAGCGACTATGTATGTCGCCAAGGCAGGTTCACACCCCACATGATTGCCCGCCATTCACGCCATCCAGTGACAGTCACAGCACCAGTGACTGCTCCATTGTCGTCCCACCCGCCCACCCACCCACCCACCACCCGCCTAGCCCGTTCGAGTCGCCCGCTCATCTCCCCTCGGACCTCTCTGCTCTAGCCGTCTAGGTAGGGGACTCTCTCCATCCAATTCCTACCGCTTCTTCCTGACCGACACCTTCATCAACCTACATACTACCTTACTTCATTACTCTTCGTCGCTCTCTGCTCCTTTCTCTCCGCCAGCAATCAAGCTCGTCCATGCTTTTGGTTCATCAACAACAAACCCCACGAGAGAAAGGGCCTTTGCCTAGCTATCAGTACCAGTACCTTAATTAATAACCCGTCCAGCCCTCTCCTTCTTTGAGTGACCGACCGATCACCCGTCACCCGGTCTCTTTCAGCCCTGCTCCTTCCTCACGATAGCTACCTTGCCTACATCACCTGGGCACTGGGCACAGGGCACCTTGGCTTATCAACCCATCCTACGCTTCTTTGTCTGTCCAGACAGCCCATAATCATCACTCTCCGTTCTCCAAACCGAAACCGACTGCAACAACGCTGCCATCCCAGACCCCGGTTTCTAGTGACCAAGCTATCATCTTCGACCGGTGCCCAACACGTCACACCCGCTTGACTCCATTGATTAGCCGGATCCGCTCTCAAGCCAGGACAACCTTGTCCGCGACGCCCATTGCCAACAACCTCCGTCAAACAAGGCCTCGAGGAGTCATATCTACCATCACCCGCCATTGTCGAGTCACGCTGCCGAAGTCGACCATCTTCAAGTCTCATCGACTACGTCTTCCAAAAACAACACAAACATCAGCCCGCCTGCCTCTTCGCACTCTCCGTGGCCGGCCGGTCGTCTCGACTTGGTTATCGAAAGCCACATCAACAATACAACCTCTCCTCCGAGATCGTACAAGTCACAACCAACTCGCTCGAATGCTACTTTGACGAACTCGCTTCGGTGTGTTGATCTTGCAGGAACACCGCCATCCGGCATCGTGAGCTCGAAACTTGTCGACTCCAGTCCTCAAGTGTCCATCAACAACACAAACACCATCCCACGGTCCGCCTAGGATCAACAACTACAAACCCAACCACACTCTTTCTGGTTTCATACATCGTATCCATGCCCTCTTAACGACCTTTCCTTTCATTCTTTAGGACCAAACGTCCAATAACCTATTCACGACTTCTTTACCTCTTTCCATTTGTCTAGCAAACCACAATACCCCTCGATGAGCCTCTGACCCGTGAACGATCTGGAGTTTTATCTTTCTTTTACCGCTCTCGCATACCTGTATATCGCACTTAACTACTCCTCACTCTGACACTCTCGACTCCTCCTCGGATCGGCACATTCAAACGGCTCCAACTCATCATCTCTCATCTGCCTTGTACGCACAAGGATTTCGAAAGTCTTCCAACGGTTTCATCGGATCTGATACACCCAAAATCACCATAGACCGGAACGGAAAAAGGCCTGTACACTTGTACCATCACTCGTGGTTACCGCCAATTACCTCACTCCTCAAATCGAACACTCGTCTCCCACCCGAGACAGCATCATGGAATGCTTGAGAAACAACTTTCGTCATGGCGTTCTACTCGACGGGAGATTCCAGACCATCTCCCCTCTTAACCACGGTTCCTTTGGAATGGTCTTCATGGCCAGGGATTTGCAGACCAATCAGAATGTTGCCATCAAGTGCATGACGAAGCGGTCCGCCGCGAACGACCTCGGCATCGACTTCGCTATCGACGAGAGGTCTGAGGAACTGCTTGCACACCGCGTTTTGGGCGCTCATCCCAACATCGTCAACCTGGTCCATTCTTTCGAGACCGACGCCCACGTATACCTCGGTCTCGAATACTGCTCACGTGGAGACCTCTACGAGGCCATTAGGACCGGAGCTGGTCCTCTTGAGACGGAACATGTCCGCCAGTTCATGTTGGAGCTCGTTGATGCTGTCGCTTACATGCATTCCAAGGGCATCTACCACCGGGACTTGAAGCCGGAGAACATTTTTCTCACCGAGTCGGGTGCCATGAAGCTTGGTGACTTCGGATTGGCCACCACTGATAGATGGAGCTATGAGTCCACCGTCGGAAGTGATCGTTATATGTCTCCGGAGCAGTTCGACTCGGCTGGAGCTGGCTACTCGCCAGCGCAGGCCGACATCTGGGCTATTGGCATCTGCCTGCTCAACATTCTGTTTTCCCGGAACCCTTTTACCACTCCGACCGAGGATGATCCGCTGTTCCTGGACTTCTCTCGCGACAAGCAATCCCTGTTCGATGTCTTCCCTTCAATGTCCCAAGACACCTATGAGGTCATTGTCGAGTGCATGAATCTGAATCCTACCAAACGTTCTCTAGTGGGGGCTAAGGATGCCCTGCGCCGAGTTGTCAGCTTCACGACCCTCGATGAGGCACTCGACGACTTCTGTACCGCTGAGCGCACGACTATTGCTACTGCCAATCGCGAGCCTCTCCGCACTCCCTCCATCCAGAGTCCTCAAATGGATCAAGGTGCCTTCCCGTGGGCTAAGGCCCTGCATGCCAGCCCACCCCAGCCGATCCGCCAACTCAGTGCCATCCCCGACGACGAGAGTTACACTGAGGAGTTGTTCCCCAAATCCGAAGGCACTGGAGACTGGTGGTCAGCAACCGCCCAGACCCCGTCGATCTCGTCTGTTCTCACTTCAAACATGGCAACGTCGATGAACTCGCTGGGGATAAACTCGCTGGGCATTTCGCGGCCTGTCAACTTTCCTGCGCCCACTGGTGCGAAAGCGTCCCCTATGGCTGGGTCTCTACCAATTACCATGTCCAAGCCAAGGCCTACCTTGAATGCCATGTCATCGGTGTTCGGTCGGAAGGATGCAGTGTCCAAAAGCTGGAGTGACATGTGGGAGGAGGATGAGGAAGATGAAGAGGAGCGTAGTCGCCAGTTCCAGACCCTCAAGGAGCTCAATGCTCGAACATGGAGCCAGGAGAGCAAGTCTGACTCGACTCCCACTCTGCAGGATCAGGCATCCTCGCCCCAGGCGCCAGCGTCTGTTTATGAGGAGCTAGAGGCTTCGCCCGTGAACGATACCATCTCGAACGACATCGACGGGGACCTGGTTGCCGACGGATTTTTCTTTCACGAGCCTGTTGCTGTTGAGCAGCCTAAGCAGTTTCCCCTTCGCTACTCTCCACCGTCGAAGCGCAACCATCTCGACAAGTGGGCAGCTTTAGGGCAACGTCGCCGGGCACGAGGAGAAGCCATGGAGCCGAAGTCGCCGGACCACAGCGCAAAGCCGCGACGACAGTTTGGTACCGGCTTACACAATCTTGGAGGAGTAGGAACGTCGGATAACACCAACCAGTCCGGTCACAAATTGAACAGGGAACGCGTGGTAGCTCCAAGTGGCTGCCCGTGGACTCATGGCCGAGACTGGAATTGGCGCAAGGAGAAGCGCCATGATTTTGGTGATGTTGCGTGGGTTGGCCACTGGCAAGAGGCTCACTGAGTCATTCGCCGGTTTCGCCACTTGTGGTTGGGCTCATCCTCCACCATCACAGGGGTTCGCTGTCTGGGGTGTCTGCCAAACATTTCTTTTAATCTGCCATGTCTTGTTCTTGGTAGTCGCTTATCTTGGGACACTATTGAGGAGGATCATTGGCGAGAGGCCATGGCGGTGGACTTTTATGGTTTTCTGGTTTTCTTGTATTGGATCATCAACATTGGCACATTGGCAGCAGCACCCCAGACTCGACCCGGTGGATGGATCTAGCTTCAACTCGCTTTCTAGGTATTAGATATCTCCAAGCTACTCGAAGAATACCAGAAGTTACCCACTCACAGACTATTTCCCCATCGCTTATTCGCTCTTGACACAATGTGACCCTTCCCATATGATCAGATCAAACAGCAACGATGCTTCCCCATGTAGCCAAGAATTGTTCATCAGTGGGCTGTCTATAGTTCGAGATCCTTTTACATTTCGAAATCGCCAGAATTTGGGCTGGTCATGGTGACACTCTTCGCGACTTAGAAGCCATTGGGTTTGACAATCTTAATTTCTACTTCTCCCTTATCTGGGAGGCGCATTTCCAGCATCACGAGTATGTCGATTCGTCACAGGGGTTTCCGCAGGTGGGCTTCTAATCTGACGCGAGAAGATGTAGTAGCCAGAAACGAACTGAGCCGAATCGAGGGTGGGTGGGTTATTCGAACATATGATACGGTAGACTAGGTAGGGGGCGGGAACTGGGCTGGCCGGTGGGGTGATTACCAACGATTGGCTGTGAGTTCGTCGTTTGTTTTTAAGGCATACTACTATCTTACTATCTAGTTCCAGACTCGGGACTCGGACTCGCACTCGCACCGAGGTTTGCGGCGAAGAGGCTCTGGTGCTGGCTGCGCTTGGATGCCCAAGCTGAGAGATATATCGAGGTATGCTTGGAGGCGCTGCGGCGGGTGCGTCGTTTGGAGCGGAGCGGAGCCCCTGGATGTTGGGAGGTTGGGAGGTGTGTTGACGAAAGACTGGCGACTGCGAACCCGCCGAGGCTTTGGCGGAGCATTGGATAGGCCTCTGTCACGATCTCTCTACTACGTCGCGGCGGGCCTTATGTTTGTTCTCGTGATAGGGGCCCATCCCGTTCTTTTGGGGGGCAATGCGCTGGATCTTTCAGTCATGTTACAATCACCCCTCACAAGTCAAAAGTCTCCGCGGGTACCGTATCTCAAGATATCAAAACTTGAACAGCGTACCCGGAACAAGAAACAAGCACCTTGGAATAAGCAAGGAGAACGTTGAATTCCTTCAAACCTGTGCTTGTTCAAGAAGTCGCCTAGTTGCCTTGAGAAAAAGCCACCTGTATCAGGGGTTGGCATCGGAGACTTCTGTGGGCTCGGTGTACTCGAAATTCTTCGTACCAGGCTCCGCGCTTCAGCTGAGTCTCATGTTTGGTCTTAGAGCATACTGTGGCATTCCATACCCATTCCAGAGCTGATTTGCGACCAGGTTGATGGTGCAAATTCCGAGGCATTCCAACCAACCCAAATACAATAACCGGCTTCGTTGGGATTAGAAGGCTGCATATTCACTTGTCAGTTTGGACAGGTAAAGAGAATAGCACCGCAGACCACAGATGAGTGTGACAAGGTGGAAGGCGGTATGGTATTTATTGATCATGGTTTACTGTTTGCGAGATGGTATATTTGTATGTGAAATAATATGGCACGTGCCCGGAACTGGAACGCCTGGTCATGCATAGCCAGCCGTCCATCGGCTACTTCTTGCCCAGCCGAGAGCCAAGGTCCTCCCTAGCCGTCTCCAGCGCCGTCTCAAGATCATAGTCCCAGACCTTGCCGAAGCTCTCGCGCAGCTCCTTCTCGATCTTGGTCAGGTCCTTCCCGGGATCCTCGGTGTTGAACTCGTAGATCTCGCCCGTCCTTCGGCTGTCCGCCACGAGCCACTGGTCCCGCTCCTTGCGGTTGGCGTTGAAGGCGGCGAAGACGGACTCCAGGTCGCCGGGGGCTGTCACCCGCTCGTCGGTGAGCAGGTGGGTGAGGACGGCCGAGTCCTCGATGCAGAACCCCGCGCCGGCGCCGTGGTGCGGCGTCGTGGCGTGCGCGGCGTCGCCCGAGATGCAGAGGCGGCCTTTGTAGAAGGTGGGGACCGGGTGGTCGCAGGTGTCGAAGAGTGCCCACTGGGTTCGGATGTTAATATTAGGTACTTACCTATATACTCGTGCTTTGGTTCAAAGATAAGAGACTCACCCTGTCAACGTTGTCGTCCACCATCTCGAGGTTCTTGAGGACGGAGTCCCCGAAGTGGCTGTAGTCCTTGAGGGCCTCGTCCTTGTGCGCTGGGAGCGTGAGGTGGGTGACGTCAGGCCATTCCTTGTCGTCCGTGACGATGGCTACCAGGTTGAATGTCTTTCCGTGGTTGATGGGGAAGGTCAGGACGTGAGCTTTCTCGCCCATCTATGTAAAAGGGGTCAGCTCTCGCTCAGGGTGAACAAATCACGGGAATGCAGTCTCTGGGCGAGGTGACGTACCCATAGACAGGCGTTCTCGGCTCTCTCCCCGCCGACGGCCTCGATGGCGCGCTGCATCGGCATGACGGCGCGGTATGCGTATTTTTGCGAGTAATGCGGCTTTGCAGAAGGATGGTCCTCGCCTACAATGAGCTGCCTCGTGCGCGACTTGATGCCGTCACAGCCGATGACCGCGTCCGCCTCGGCGGTCGTCCCGTCGGTAAATTTCATTCTCAGCCGTCCCGTACCGGCGTCCTCGGTCACGTCCTCGAGGCGCTTCCGGAAGTGGGCCAGGTCCTTCGGGACGAGTTTGGCCATCTGCTCCATGAAGTCGGCGCGGTGCACCGAATTAGCGCCGACCTGGTTCTCGAGGGTGAAGAGGATGTCCCTGTCGACCTTCGGCTTCGTCTTCGCCATGCCGTCGAGGAAGTCGAAGTACACCGTCTGCTTGGACGCCCACTGGTTGCGCGTGGCGACCTCGTCAAAAGCGTATCGGACGCTCTGGTCGCAGTAATCCATGGCGCGCACGGCGTTGGGCCCGAAGGCCACGCCGGCGCCGATCTCTGAGAAAGCGTGGCCCTGCTCGTAGACTTGCACGGGGATGTTGTGTTTCAGGAGGGCGATGGCCAGGGTTATGCCGGCGATGCCGCCGCCGACGATGGCGATCTCGAAGTCTTTCTTGGCTGCCATGGTGTGTATGGTTTGGGTAGGTGTGCTTGTGCAGGGAGGCTCAGATGTTATGTAAGGATGCCGGGCGTAGGTAGGTACTTTGGTGAAGCAGGTAAGTAGGTACTTTGGTGATGAAATAGGAGGTAAGAACTCAGACTTTGGGCTGGTCGCCAAGTCTTTATAGTAGTTCCTGAAGTTCTCAAGATAGCTCCTAAAGGTAGGCGGTAACGTTACCCAGCAGTCGCGCTCACCTTCGGCTGGCGAGAGTCGGACCCGAGACCCCCCGTGCGTTGAGCATCTTCAGGGGCTCGCCATTCGGGGCTCGCCATTCGGGGCTCGCCAATCGGGGGCTCGCCACTCCGCTAGAAGCTGCCGGCAGCAGTGTGACGAGCACCCGTCGGCCGGCACGCGAACATGTCGAGGTTCGAGGTTGTTCTGGGCACCGAACTCGCGGGCAAGCCCCCGCCGTTACCCGCCGTTACCGGTCACCACCCAACTCTCGAGTCTCAGGTGGTGCCGTTTGTTCAACGTCCCCACCTGAGCGTGAGGCACCATTCGAGGAACTTTATTAGACGTGTGTTTTCCGTGCTATTTCCACGCGACAGTAAGGCATCAATGCAGTGGGCTGAGTAGATACCAGCAGTGTTAGCCTCGGGGTTAATGTAAGTTAAAGCTGCGCCGCAGCTCTATGCAAGAGGTACCTTACCAGCGGTGCACCTACATGTAGGATGGGGAAGATAAGTTCCCGACGCGCGATTGCCTCTATTGAATGCAGATACTCTCTTTGATGACGCCCCTACATGTACGGGGCGTCGATCACGTGCCCCTGTAGGGCATCTCGTCACGCTGTATATCCCCCTAAGCGCGAACTACACTCCTTTTAGCGTGTTTAAAGGTTAAATTAACTATAGTTCGAATAATTATCAGTTGATACTTGAAATAAATCTAGTTTATATTATATAAAAGTTATACTCGTTTTATACTTACAAACAACGTTAAAAATATAATTAACGTTAAAAAATTCTTTTCTTGTCAGATGTTAGATCCTAGATATGGTGCCCTTAGGTGCAGTACCCACTAGGGGGCTGTCAAGGGAACAGTGGATTCACCCTGGCATGGTGCAGTATGGTATTTAGCTGTGAATTAGCCCTGCCAAGCATACTTAAGAATGACAACAACATTTGCAGCGACCGCTCACACCCCCAAGGCTTGTGATCCTTCTAGAATCTCATACAATATATTAAATAGCTTAATAATCTAAGCTTTTTAAAAAGATACGAGATAAAAAATAAGATAAAAAGCTTCAAATATAAGTTAAATATTTATATAAGTTATTAAAATACAAATTGATAACGTGATCGTTAACTGAAAAGCTTTAAATTAACATCGTTTTTTTGTATAACTATAAAAAACCTTTTCTAAACCAAATTTTTAATCAATAATATATTTATATTATATTTCATAAAAAGAATATACTTTTATAACCCGGCGTTATTACTTTTTGTTGTAATGATTTATATAACATTCATATACCATTATAGCTTATTTAAAATATATTATAATTAAAATAAAGTACCTTTAAAAATGTTATTATTTTAATGATTAAAAGGTACCTTTTTAACAAGGTTAAATGACTTTAAACTTTAATTTAAATAGTTTATATTTTTTTAAACACTTATTAGCTTATTTTAACGCGTTAAATATGAAAATCATGTACTTAATATATTTAAACATTTAAATTAGTTTTCTATTATTTAATATCTTAAAAGCGTATTAATATTATCAATTTTCTTTAACTTTAATAGAATAAAAAGGTTTTTTTTATAAAAAACCACGCGTTTATCCTAGGTTTTTCGTATTATACGGTTAAATACGTGTTTTATATAATATCGTATTATCTGATAAAAACACGTGTTTTACCCACCCTTACTCGAATACCCTACTATAAGGTATAGGGCCAATCTCCTGGGTTGATTGGCTAGTTCGTACAGGTGGAGCGCTAACTTCTAAGAAAGGAGACTGAAGACCCCCTTTCCGCGTAGTCGAGCTGATAATTGGCTGGGTAGAGTGCGATATCCGACTTACATCGTGCTCTTCCCGACTGCAGGTGCATAGAATGGACAGGCTCTATTTTTGCTGCTTTGCTTGACAGCCGGGCTCGGGACTCCCGAGCAGACAGTTATAAATAGGAATCCGAGCGGATCTCGAGATCCTTCTCGATGGACCTCGGTGTAGACCAGCACCACAATTCGGAGGAATTTTCATCAGATTGAAAATGCCAAGTGATTAGATCCTCAGACCGAGACTATACTAGCTGTGAGGACGTCATGAAAATATGTGGTGTGGTCCAAGAGAAGGGTACTAGAATGCGTGTTGTCACCGATGTAGCCAGTAGTGGACTAAGGATAAGAACTGGAAAGCGCCTACTAGAGGATCCTCTGAGCAGCACATGGGTCTCTTCTCCGTCCCAGAGCCCTTCTTTTCACTCCAGTGGCAATGTAATGCGCCGTAAATAGAAGGTTTTCCTGCTCGTGCCCCATGCCATCGTGCCACCTCGAGGTGCGGGCTTCCAAAGCCCACTTGCGATGGGTCTTCAGAGTTTTGACTCCCTTTCAGAGTGTGGTTTCGGTATGGGTGTACTGCTTGGTCCGGAGTAGGTGTAAGCTCAGACGACCGCCTATATAATGAGTGATGCCAAACCTGTCGTTCAATGTCCAATATCACGCACGAGAAACAACCCAAGAATCAATAGGAAAGGGCGACACACAGCTCGCTGGAGCATTTCACACAATCAGAACTATCCTCATCATATCTCTTCACTCCAGCCATCATGCAGCTATTCAACACCCCCACTCCTGTATTCGTCGCTCTATTCTATATTGTGGCCTTGGTCCAATGCCGAGTCGCTCTTCAACCACGTGTCTGTCTGGGACTTTCAAGCATTGGCGATTTCCTCAAGGATTTGAAAAAGTCATCGGGGAAGGTAGAGGTCGACAAGTCGGCGTTGCCGCAGCCTGTCTACAGCAACGACCTATCCTGCGCGGGCTTGACGCGAGAAATAGCCCAGTGGGATTATCCTGCCGACGCTTGGCTGAAGCGCATCGAGGCGCAAGACAAGTCCGCTGACTGGCACTGGGACCACTACTATATATCCCACAAGTCCACCGGTGTGGTCGCCTCGTACAAGGTGGACGTCGTGAACGGAGCCTTCAGCTACGACTACGGCGGCTCGTGGGAGAAGGGCAACGAGATCGGCTGGCCCAACATCGACTATGGCACCATGCTTACGCACAATTACCTCGAGGTGGCTGGTCGGAATCTGGCCGAACTCCGCTTCATCGGACAGAGAGACTTCAACAACAATGACGACGTGGCCGCCGTCAGGGAGATCTTCAGCAAACAGGGCGAGAACTGGGGGCCCGGCGGGTTCCTTGAGCTGAACAAGGGGAGTGACCTCTGGGACGAGTTCGTGAAGAAGAATGAGGTTGCGAAGGGTCAGGTCCAGATGTTGAAGGACTACAAGGACGAGTTTGGCGAGAAGCATATCTGGAAGTTCCAGTTCTATCTGGATCAGAACAGGGCCTACAAGGACGCACAGGAGCCGGTGGTCAGGATGATCACTGTACTTGCGGAGCCTTTTGGGATCGGAAGCGACAGCGATGACGAATGATAGCTTTGGGAAGCTGTGACTGAAGCCAGTGGAAGCAATTGTGGTGGTTGTCAACTTGTACGATAGCCGCTTTGGTGAGGCCAGACACCTGGGCTGTCAACAGGCAACGTCTAAATGCGATTAGCTCTTCGTTGGGATTCGTAGAGGGTTAGACACATTGTTTTGAAAATATAAGCCAGTTCTCCATGGTGGTACGTTATCTCCCGCAAGGGTCGATGAGGTAAAATCCCATCTCCGTCACATTCACCACCTTCTACGCACGTGGTCCCTTCAATCCAGAGTACAGGGCTTGGTGTGAAGCAGTGGTCAGACAGCTGGTCCGGCAAACTCACAAAGTGCTCTGTTGACCGCCTAAACGCGCCTAGCAGAAGATGAATTCCGATGACTTGCTTCAGAATATGAGCTTCTTTGTTCTCTCCGATCCATGACCAACTCACACAGGCAGGACAACTCACCAGCATGTAACACGTCACTTATTAGCACTGAATTCTATCCATGCCAAGACCCAGCACAACGTATGGCCTTCATTTGTTCGAGCCACGGTCGTTTCTCGGAACTGTATGGTGGTCTTCATTGGCTTACCTCCCTTGTTCTGCTTCATTCCGTGGTTTCACGTGGTGGTGGTGACGTCTGGTTTGGAAGATATGAAGACGGAACAGAACTCAGCAAGGCTGATATATAAATTCCCTCTGCTATCCAGGAAGGAAGCGCGTGTTATATTCGTTCAGCAAACAGCACTACGTTTTCCCTTGGTAGCTCTTGAGTACGTCCCTCGAAATGGTTCAAGATCGTGCTCATCATGATGAACATCGCTACACACGATGATTTGGTTTCACGCATTGACTTCGCCGCCGAATGGATGCTTCGGCTCGCCTGCAGACTTCCTGAATTCGGTACGCCCGAAGATGCAGCCCAGAAGGAAACGAGAGCTGAGTTTGTACGTTTATATACAAATGACGCGGCACTCCATATCGACACACAGATACAGGCCTGGTACAAACAATTGGACCGGTACTTTTTCCTCGGCCTTCTCACAAATGTACCCGGGTTGGCTGTACCTGTCTTTGTCGCGCACCAAGATACGAGGAGTCAACTTTATGGATACTTCGACCGAGTACACCGACATATCGTCGTTTTTACACGGTTTTCTAACGGAGATACGATACCTCGGCATGAACTCTTGGACACTTTAGTTCATGAGATGGCACATGCTTTTTACTGGATGTGGTGCAAGGACCGTCTATCCCCTCGGATAGATGATAACTGCGGCCACGGGGTGATCTGCGATGCTCATTACCATTCAATCATCAATGAGATGAGGTGTTGGGCACCCGAGTTCGACGACCTCAGGGTTGCATGCATGACCTGGGACTAGAAGGGAGAACCGGTAAGCAACTGCTCTTGCCTGCCTTCTTGTTTGCCGAACCCACGGGTTTATCAGTTTTACTCACGTCGGAGTACCACAAGGTTGCCACACGAACAGATAGTTGGTATCCCAAAGGGGTCTGCCGAGTGAAACCCAGAAAATATGGCTACCATGCTTTGAACTACGGAATCATGGCAATAGCTCTGGGTGCATATCCCTGGAGCCCACAGCTAAGCATCGTCACGTTTCTCTTCGTTTTGAGCTCTCTTGCGGTGCTTCGTACCCGGAAGCACTGGGACATCAGCCGGCCTCTCAAGTACTGGGACTGCGACAACGCGGAACACAAGAATCTCATCAAATGGACGAGTCTGAGGATCTTCTTACTCGCACTCTGTGTCTGGGTTTCTTCATTGACGGATTGGGGATCCGAAGGCATCGCCGCGTTCTCATTCTGTCTCTCATGTCTGAAGGTCTATCTCGACCTGAAGTTCCAGGAGAACGAGGCACTGTTGGATCTACAGTTGTTGTGATCGGAGGTGACGTCTTGCGGTGGAATAAGTTCAAAGGATTGTAGCTAGAGTCCTGCACAGCAACAGTCCGGAATAAGACGTACTGATGGATAGTTATCTTACCTACCTAAGACAGTTGCGACGGCCCAAGTTTAGTGAAGTATCTCCTTGGAGCTACGTCTGCCGCTGTCAATGCTCACCCGCAACTGCAGCGGGCAAGGGGAGTACGGAAGTAATAGAGGTGATGGTGTATCGGCGCTCAGGGAGGACTCGATGGAGATGGCATGGCTGTACAGAGAAGCAAACAAACCTGTCTTGAAAGAGGAGTATGATAGTCCCAGCTCGTCGAGAGTTCCAGATCTTGAACAGACGATACCCGCACTATGCTATTGCTCAGTGACTATTACACGCATTGATCATAACGCGTCATGCATCAAGATTGCTATGTTAAAGGCTTAAGGCTATCAACATGCCTATACAGGCGGCCCACTGCATTCTCGTCGCCTCCGAACCCCTTCGAGCACTGCTTTGGCTGGTCGTGATACTGGCTGCCGCCGTGCTCGCTGATGCACCAGACGCGGTGGTTGTCGATGATATCGGCGCCGATGTCGACGTCGCCTTGCTAGTCCCACCCGGTACGAAAGTCTCTGCAAAAACACTGATTGTCTGTCCATCAACCACAAACGCAGAAGAGCCCACGCTTATTACGTCACCATTCGTGAATGTGATAGCTTGGCCCGCCGTGAGTGTCGTGGAGAAGTTGGTTCCGACCAGTTGATAGTCTCCGGGCCCAAGCTCGGAAGCTTCGAAGGTCTCGCCGTTGGCGACAAAGACTGCGCCGGATGGGGCTGCGGCGGTGAAAGAAGACGAACCCGAAAGCGCGACGGAAGTGCCGATGGCGAGGCCGTTTGCCATGGTTGTGGCCGGCCTGTCTTGCTGTCAACGTCGCGAACCCGAGGACGTATCTCGCGAGCCCGAGGACGTATGTTCCGAACCCGGTGACGTATGTTCCGAAGCCGGCTTGGATGGCGGTGATGCTTTGTCCGTTGGCGCCGACGACGGTACCGCTGATAGTTACTCAAGTCTCAGAAGCACCTGAGTGCTCTGCTCTCCTGCTGCAAGTGTCGTAGGCGATCCAAGCGTATATGTACCTGAGCCGTCTTGAACGGTGATGTCGAGCCTGTCAGGATTGATAACAGCACCACCGCCGATCCCTGCGGAGACCCCGGGGCACGCCTGCGACAGGAGGATTTTGATCGCCAGCGGTGAGGCTCTGATTGGCAGTGATCCGCGGCACTTCGGAACGCTCATGGCATTTTGCGGGGCCGTCGTCGCTCTCGTGCTCGCTCTCGTTCTCGTATTAGCAATAACGACATATCTATCGCTGTTCACCGAGTACAAAGATTCTCCGATCATCGTTGCTTGGCCGGGCTGGACTGTCTGTCCTTCGACCACGGCAGCGACTTAAGAAATGGATCGCTTCCTGGGTCATTGTCGGTACCAACAGATAGGTGTGGACTGCTGACCTGCAGGCACGCACGGTCTTGGGTGCGGCTTCGCCCTGGCCCAGCGTGCCAGTGCCGTGGACGGTGGAGGGATTTGAGCCGGAAGCGGCTCCAGTTAAGGAGGTTACGGGACTACCTCCGGGACCGGTGCCCTCTGCTGACGAAACGGGAACGGCATTGTTTGAAGATGGACGAGGCACCGTTCGATCTACAGTAGTTGCGATCAGAGGTGACCTCGTGGTGAAACAAGTTCAAAGATCTTACACCGAGAACGCACATTGCTTTTGTAAAATTACGTCCGGTAATCGTGGCGCCTGAATCGATTGGTTTCGCATCCATCGAGCGTACTGCGTGAGTCCCTGCTGGCAAGGTACGCTGCTCGCCGGTTAATTTGCGCCTAGGTAGGCGGAAATCCAGTAATATATGTCCCATGGAAACGCCTACGAGCGAGAACCCAAACAATCCAGATCCTTCACAGGAAAGCCCCGGAGTATCAAACTACTGCGTACGATCAGATCAAATAATTACTAGGCAGGTGCGTCAGACACCAGCTCTACGTCCTCATGATTAGAGGTAGCTGGAGTTCTTCGGTCCTGCATACATGTACCTTAGAATGTACGGATGGATAGACAGTTGCGACTGCCTATCTAATATTTGTTGGGGTATGTCCTTGATCTACCTTCCGCACCGACATAACAAGACCGTTGCGCTGGTCGCTCTTGCTTTATCGTACGATTTGCTCTGCCCGGAAAGCAAAAAGCATGGACCAGCGCAAGAGGGCGCCCGATTCCCCTCTCGCTTGACACAACCAGTCTTTTCCAGCTACAAACCATCCCCATCACCCTTCAACGACGAATCGAGTCTCTTTACTCTTCTTGTGAGCTCTTGGATACGCCATCGTTAGGTCCTCGAGCCAGTCATCATCGTCATATTCAACATCCACCATGGAAAACGACAACGGCGTAGACCTCGAGAAGAGTCTCGAGAAAGTGTACGAGGACGGAATGTCCAACCTGACCCCGAGCTGCTCGCCAGCCCCCAGCTATGGACGAAGCCAACTCGCAGCCTCGGCTCTCCCCCAGAAATCCTGTGCAATCTGCCGCAACACGCTCATGCTGAGCTACTTCAGCTGCTGCGCCGTCTGCGGCAACGTCATCGAGTGCGGACGAAGCAACGAGAGACTTGGCTCTGAAAGGGGATCCAGCTCAGCGCCGCAACTACCCACGACAAGTTCTGCCGAGGGAACTGACTGCAGCAAGAAGCTCCACTGCAGCAGTGCGTACTGCAAGTACACACACAATGTCTGGCTCCTCAGATTCTTCATACTGTTCGAGGCGATGCCGGCAGTGGGCGCCCTGATGCTCCTCGGGAAGGCCTTCTTCGTCGAACACGACTGGTACTTCCTCAGGTTTAGGGGGTTGATGGCGGTGCAGTGGTGGCAGATCTTCCTGATGCCGAGACAGTGGCATGCGGGACAGTCGATTCTGACGGGGCAGCTGGTGGCCACTCTTTTCATGGTCTGGTTCTACATAGAGGGCAGGGAGGCGTGGCGGTGGTTCGAACCGTTCGCTGTGAGCACTATACTGTTGAAGATACTCTTCCCCTGGTGATCTGGGCGGTTGGTATCGATGAGCCATGGTTGTTGAACCCTATATGCTACGTTGTCGGTTCGTCGGGTCGTCGGGTCGGAGGGGACTTGGACCTCGATTCAAGAAGGAGGAAGTGTCGGCTGCAGGCCCATTGCAATAGAAACATTAGAGAGCATGATTCTATTACCATCAAGAGAAAGCCCACCAGGGTTTCATATGGATAAGGGCAGGATGTAAGCCCAGGGGCTGAGGGGTAAGTCAGGGTCTGTGATGGTCCGTGCATCTTACCCGGGGCTTGGGTACTCGGGCCTGTCGGGCATCTATCAAACGGTCTGAGGCTAGCCATGTTGGGCCTAGCAGATCTCCCTTACATCGCCTGGCCAATTACGTACCGCGGGGCATATTCTGGCTCATTTATCTCGACTCAGAGCGACTGCGGGGCACAGAACAGCAATATCGCACCGCGTCGCAATAAATTTCGACGTGAAGCCCGGTGTGACTCCTCCGCCCTGCTACACCTCACAGACAAGTTACCTTCCCTTGTTTGCGACCATATCTTCGAATCTTTCCCCAAGTACCGTTGATATCCATAAGCGATCATGGCCGATAACAACCCCACCACGGAGGAATCGAAGGAGCCCTCCAAGAGCGCTCTGAAGAAGGCCGAGAAGCAGGCAAAGATGGCTGCTGCCAAAGCCGAGAAAGCCGCGAAGCAGGCTGCTCTCCCTGTTGTCGGGGGCAAGAAGGATGATGGGAAGGAGCCTATCGGTATTATGGCCTCTAAGGACACCAATTTCAGCCAGTGGTACCAGGAGATCGTCACGAAGGCCGAATTAGTCGAGTACTACTCCGAAGTGAGTGAGAGGGAACCCGTGCGCGCTTCGCCAGTCAAAAAGCTGACTCAAGTTGCTCTGCAGATCTCTGGCTTCTATATCCTCCGACGTAAGGAACCTTCGCCAAATACACTCGTGCGGGGCTGATTGCGGGGGACACAGCGGGTGCCATGTATGTCTGGAATGTCATTCGGAAGTGGTTTCAGGAGAGAATCGAGGGCATGGGTGTCGAAGAGACGAGCTTTCCCATGTTCTTGTCCTCCAAGTCACTGGAAAAGGTACGCGATTTCGAGCGGGACTTTCTTTGGTGGTCAGTCATCTGACTCCCTGGAATTTGTCACCGCCCCCTTGCGCCCAAAGTTCGCACTCTCCCTAGGCAGGAACTAACCCCCATTGTAGGAGAAGTACGCATCCCCAAGCCTCAACATCATGTCCTAGCCTACTCGAAAGGAACATCCTACCTACGATCTACGACTACACCCGATCAACAAGTTGCTGATCTCATGAGATAGGAGCCACGTGGAAGGCTTCGCCCCTGAATTGGCATGGGTGACCAAGGCGTAAGTGTTCGCCAAATAGGACACGGATTCGCGTATAGGTACTGACATGGTGCAGCGGTGACAAAGACCTAGAGGTAACTACAATCCTCCTGTCCCCCAACCCTTGAGGTGGATGCTGACTCGATCAGGTCCCCGTCGCTGTGCGACCAACCTCTGAGGCTGTCATGTACCCTTACTACGCCAAGTGTACGGTTTACTCTCCGAAACGCAATATCGAACAATGCTGATATACCTCACAGGGATCAGATCACACCGCGATCTTCCCTTCAGACTGAACCAATGGAACTCTGTTGTTCGTTGGGAGGCTAAGCAAACCACCCCTTTCCTGAGAGCAAGAGAATTCCTCTGGCAGGAAGGACACACGTCCGTAACCCTACCCATTCAGTCGAGACGGTTTTGCTTACTATCAGCAGTGCTCACCTTACGGAAGAGCTTGCTGGAAAGGAGGTTCTTGAGATTCTTGAGCTCTACGCTGGAGTTTACGAGGTAAAAATACGAAACTCTGGAATAGAATGGATTGAAGAATATTCACTGATCGCCTACAGCAATTGCTTGCAGTCCCTGTTGTGCGCGGCAAGTATGTCACAATCCCTTCCAGATCGCGAATTTACTGGTTTCCTAACCCAATGTACAGGAAAACCGAGAATGAGAAATTCGCTGGTGGCCACTGGACGACAACCGTAGAGGGATACATCCCAACAAACGGCCGTGGTATCCAAGGAGCAACCTCTCAGTAAGTCTAGAGGCTTTCGGGATAGTGTCACGTTGCCCGCGCAGGACTGATAAGCCTTAGTTGCCTTGGTCAGAACTTCAGCAAGATGTTCGATGTCACAGTCGAAGACCCCGAGAAGCAGGGCGAGAAGATTCACGTCTGGCAGAACTCCTGGTATGTCTTGATGCTTTGAGGTACTCTTGAGAGGAAGTCCACTGATGCAGCGTCGTTAGGGGTTTGTCGACTCGCGTCATCGGTGTAATGGTTATGTTACACAGTGATGACAAGGGCCTCGTTATGCCTCCTCGAGTAGCCAAACTTCAGGCCATTCTCCTGCCCGTGGGAATAACCGCCAAGATGAGCGCCCAGGCTAAGGCGGACCACGCCAAAAAAGTCGAAGAACTCTACGAGACCTTGAAGAAGGCTGGTGTCCGTGCTGACGTCGACAACCGTGAAGGATAGTAAGTCAATCTCCGGACATGATATGGTCCTTAACGACATGGCTGCTTTCATTGTATAGCCTAGGTGCCACTCCAAGCACCCTTGCATGGCTCTTACCATCATGCTCACTTGAATATGGCGACTGGCCACTGACGACTGACCTAGCACCCCTGGATTCAAATTTGCCGACTGGGAGATGAAAGGTGTCCCCCTTCGCCTTGAGTTTGGTCCCAAGGATGCAGAAAAACAGGTGGTGAGCTACGCTCGACGTGATACTGGAGAGAAGGGCACAATCCCTATCGCCGAAATCGCCACCAAGGTCCCCGAGCTGCTCGAGACGATTCAGAAAGCGCTCTACGACAAGGCGGAAACGTCCTTTAGAGAGCACCGACTGGTCTTGACCGACTGGACCAAGGTCGTCCCAGCTCTGGACGCTAAGAATGTGGTCCTCATTCCATTCTGCGGGGAGATTGCCTGCGAAGAGAGAATAAAGGAATTGACGAAGAGCGAAGAGCCCAAGGAGGGAGCACAGAACGAGAAGCAGCCAAGCATGGGCATGAAGAGTCTCTGCATCCCCTTTGAACAGGTAAGTCCCCAATGTCAAAGTGAACGAATTCGAGGCAAATCTGACCCTATATCATAATAGCCGGATGGTCTGGTCAAGGGCGAAACCAAATGTCTGAGTCCGGAATGCTCAGCGCTCGCGGAGAACTGGGTTATGTTTGGTCGCAGCTACTAGAGTTGCATTCTAGATCATCTAGACAAACTCCAGAGGTTGTCAGGCGCAACCAGTGGTTGCTATCTAGAGTCTCAGCCCGATCATCCGGACCTACTAGGTCTAAGGTAAGGCTGAGCGACTGACTGGTAGAACTTGGCATATGATGCTATCGGCACATATACTACCATTGTAGAGAGCTAGGGGATGGTCTATCAGCTTGACATCACACCACATCAGCTTCATTGCAGGAATCCAACAGGTCGAGGATCATGGGTATAGCTGGCAATAGAATAGCCATCAACGGCGCTCATCTATGGCTGGGAAGTCAACGTCTAGGGCCTTGCTGGGTTGTAACAAGCAAACAGAAATCATCAAGAGTCACGAACCTAAACCCCGTGTACATGCGTAGATCCGTGACTAGAGGTAGCTGTCCCTGAAACATCAACCTCGCCGCGTTGACCTGAACTCGATTAGAAACACAATTGGCGCTTGGATCCGGAGTCGCTTGGAGAGAACCCTGTCCACGGCTGGCAAACAACTTGTACTAAGTAAGGCCAGGGTGAAGCCGTCTCATAAGCTCATCTCACAGACTACCTAGGTAACCTAGGGGTCAGGGGGAAACAGGGAGGTTACCAGAGCTCCCAGACAACACCAACACTGGTGGAGCCGAAGGCTTGTTTCTACAATCTGTCATGGTGTTCGTATTGTGCAAGTGCAATTGTCAGATTAATTGCTGTATTCATTCACAGCCGCAGTCTTGTTTGTTAATACAGCAGTACTTTGGGGTATATCGGCAACCCAGCGAAAATGCGAGCAGATATCCATCCCCCTCCCGTTTTGTGTACCCCCAGTGCTTTTGTTTACCGCCAGATCTCCCGCGATCGATGCTGATGCTGGAAAAAGTAACGAGAATCGAAATCAAAGAATTCATCGCAACCGTGATTGACAGGAGACGCCTGAACATGCTATGCAGCGCCGATGAGGTCGCGGGGAAGGAAAGCCCACACGGTGCCGATTAATGAGAGAATCGAGGACAGGAGCATGACAGTCCAGCACAGAATCCGCTCACCGGCACCGATCTCGCGCCCGAAAAGCTTGAGGTAGAACGCGAGAGGCAGACTACAAATCCAGGTCAGCTTGCCTACTGCAGCTGTAGAATCGAAGTAGTCACTTACGTTACGCATATGGTGAAGCAGAGAGCACTTCCCATAAAAGCCATGATCGAGTCGAATGCCGGAAAGAGGATAGCGACCGCCAAGAAGATGAGAAGAGTGACTACCCTGATAAGCGCTTTCAACAAGCCTCGGGAGGTGCTTGAAAGGCCCACGAGGGGTGTCTCCTCGGCCACGACTTGTTGTCGGAGACCAAATAGTACCTCCGCAGTCGTGATAATCGGTTGAGCGTTCAGGGGTACCTTGGTCAGAGGGATGATAGAGATGAAGATCACGAGAAGAACATTCATCACTTCAGGGTAGCCGGTGGTTTCGAGAAGATTCGCTGTGATCTCATCGCGAACCCCATCACCAAACATGATATATCCCACTATAGCCACAGAGGCATCGATGATGAACTACCGGACGGTCAGTTTTGCTGAGGCAGGATCAAGTAATCGATCAGAACTCACGGTGAAGCTGAACGTGTATGTAACGGCCTACTTCTGGTTAGCGAAATCGCCTCAGGGGGTTTCCTAGGCACGTACCTTCTTATACTTGTAGGGGTGTCGCATGTCTCGGTAGATCTGAACTCGTCTTGTGAGCTAAAGTTGCGTTCTTGACGTCTGCGAATTGGAAACGACTTACGTTTGGGAACACGCTGTGTCCACCCCACGGCGACATGAGGAGACCAAACGACAAGGGCAGAGTCAGCCAATTCGTAGGGAACAAGTACGTCGTCGCTGGCTCAATGAGGGAGCCGGGTGCTTCCGCTTTCAGCAGGCCATCAAGTATCACGATGAAAGCAACTAAAACGTGAGTTCAGCAATGGAGGGTGACTATACCAGAGAGATGGACTTACTGCTTAAGCAAGAGATAATGCCGACGAAACTAGTAACGCTCAGAAGTGCGAGAGGTGCGAATTGCAAGGGTATCAGCACCAGAGTGCAAACGACCTTCCACTCAGTGACGCTCAAAGTACCAGGAAACAAGAGACTCAACGAGTCCGCGAAGAGAACAATGAGGGCAACACATGCTGCAAGCAGTTCGAGACTGAAGAGGACAGCTGTCGCAACCCGAGCTTTCTTGCCAAAGGAGATGTAGGCTATGTCGGAGAATGTGATCATGGTAGTGTCGAGGTCCATGCACTTGGACAGTAGTCTTGCTGTCCAGCTGGTGACTCCAGCGCAGAGCACCAACGCAACGATCCCACAAATCCAGCCGGCAAACTTGAGCCCCATAGGCAAACTAAGCAGTCCGACACCGATGAGGACACTAGATATCAGTCAGTACCAGACTCGAGTGATTGTGTAGGGACAGTTGCTGACTTGGTTGAGTTGACAATGGTCTGCGGCAGAGTAGACTGGCCAGAGACGGCCAAGACGATCTTGCCATCTTGCTCTACCTCTTTCACGAGGATGGGAGGCCGTTCTCCGCCGGGCACATCGGCCCCTGACTCCTGTTGCTGGCGCCACAGGTCGGCAGCATGCAGCATGGACGTATGACTAGCATCCGATGCCACCGTATCAACGGTGCCATAGCTGCGAGCTGAGCTAAAGCTGCCGACCAGGGGAGGGGCAGCTAGATGAGGCGGAACAGCGAATATGCTGCGTACGGAACCAGTTCCCGAATTCACTCGGTGGAGATCACTTCCCAGGTGCTTCTGGTCGCCTTCTCGACCCTGAGCGTGAGTCACAGGGGCGATCAAAGTCGAGTCGTCGTCGTCGTCATAATTAGCGATCGCATTTTCCGACCCTCTTGCCTCGAGATGTCGTCCAAGCAGAGAACCTCTAGCAGCCTCGGCATCTGTCCTGCCGTATGAACTCGAGCCGGTCGTATGTACAGGTTCTTGGTCAGGGGCGAATCGGAACGAGGGTCGTTGAGGTATGATCTCGGGAAAGGCAGAGGCTCGCTGCCAACTCTGGCCAAACTTCCTGATACTGTTGACACCACCAAGTTCCGTGAGGTTTGCAAGCGTGTTCGTCATGGAAGATCTATTGCAAGATGTTGTTAGCGCACGCCACAAGTTTTGCTCTGCCAGGGCGAGCTAGATACCTTCGCCGTCCTCGTGGGGGCCAATGATCATCTTGTCGGCGTCCTTCGTGGTCGTCATCCAAGAGGGCATCGTCTTCGAAGCGGACGCTGTGGCCGCCAATTGAAGAGGCGCCCTCGCTCGGGGCAGGTGAAGCTCCCCGCTCATAGTCGGCCCAGGTGGTGGGCTGTCTCGCAGGCATCGTCGAGGTGGCAGCCGCTGCGACAATGGAGCAAGTTCACCAACTACACAGCGGCGCAGAGGCGACAGCGGAATGAGAGTCGACAGGCAAAAGTTGCAGTCGCAAGATCGCGGTTCGTGGAGGATTTGGGTGGGGCTGTAGATTGGCGACATGCACCTACCATGTCCTGGTGATAGTTTTAGCTTTTCACAAGAGGCAAGGTTAATTAGAACCGACCAGTCTTTTGGGCAAACAGAGAAGAGAGAGACTTCAGATGAACACAGGAAAGAACTCTTTCCAATAGTCACCGCTGGCGCCGAGAGAGCAAATGATACCTACCTAATTCCTGCCTACCGTCCACGCGGGCTACGGTGCGTGTGCCTACGTACCGTAGCGCAATGTTGCTTTGATAGAGTGGTGGATGCAGCACGAAAGCTGGTGTTGATCAAATTTGGTAAAAGCGTTCCTGGCTGATAAAGAGGTTTGCATAGGCGTCTGGCATAAGCAGTTATTCCGGGGAAATCGACTACAATAAGTTTGTTCAACCGCTTGCCTTCTACAGTCTTGTGTCGTCTGTGGTGGCAAGTGCCATTGGGACTGGGGAGGTTGTACTTGCCCATCCCATCCAGTTCATGTTTGCCAGTCTCGAGAGGTCCCGTGCAGCAGCGGCGGAGACGATGCCGGCGGTCTTATCACGATACCCCACCAGGCCCCACCACTGCAGTTGGACTGGCGCTATGATCGCCAATGCTGCAATGCGGAAATCCCTGCAATAGGAGTGGGCCAGTGTACAAGGCTGATTTTCATTTTCTAGTCTCACCTCCTTTCTTGTTACGCTTGTCTCTCAGCACAACCAGAGAACAAAAGTTACATACAGGCCACTCTGTTAATGCAACTACTTTCGTGTCGCTCTTTGCTAGTCTAGCAGACACTGCCAACTCTACACTTTTGTATCAAACCTGGTCATGCAGGTGGTCGAGAGGCCGGTGCCGTTCGAGACTTCGGGACCTTGGACCCGGTCTGGGCTGTCTGGCCGCCGCGCCGCTTCCCATCGGGTCAACATAGACTCGAGGTGTCCGGAGATGCAGGTGTCTTGCCTCCCTCCCTCCCTCCCTCCCTCCCAAGCGCTGCATGTTTGACAATGCGAAGAAGAAAATTTCTTCTTATTGCAACGTGGCGTTATGTCGCTTCCATGGAAAACCCCAATTGTCTAGAACTTTCGACGCGTCCGCACGACGTTGATCGTACGAGCTTGCATCTGCAACAAGTGAGGTCTATGCGCGTAGTGCCGCATGCAGGTGGTGCGATGGCAACCTACCGGCAGAACGGGCACAGTAGTGCGACGCGACGAAGGATGCTTACATAACCAGGAGCCCCCTTTCTTACAACACCCTGGGATCAATGCTGCCATCTGTAATATGAGGCTTTGTTTCCTCTGGGGAACATCAAGCGGCCCATGACACTGTTTCAGTCAGCGTATGAACCCATACTCGCACTATGTCCCTTGTGAGAAGATCATGAGTTGTCGACAGATGTTGAAAGGGCAGGGTTTGGTCTACAAGCCAAAGGACAAAGGGCCTGTGTGCACTCACGACCAGCCATAGCACAAAGCGACGGTCGAGAACAATGACATTGTTCAATAGAGACCTGTCCGTCGCTTCAGCATAAATATAACACCAGTGACCACCCCCATCACGAATAAGTCTCTCTCTCTCCCTCTCATCAGCATCTTCTCACCATCATTCCAACCAACTCACCTCTCACAACACCCATCACTCACCAAGCACTCTTCAACCCAAAACAGACTCTACCAGGCACCATGTGTAGTATCTGTTACCAGTGTTACCGCGGCGAGGTGCGAAGGGAGGAATGCCAGCTCAAGAAGGATGCCGTAAAGAACCAGCTTTGCGAGGAACTTGATTCGTACTATGACGACTACAACGGGGACGACGAGAAGAAGCAGATGAGCGAGGAGCTTGAGTCGTACTATAACGACTACAACGGGGACGACGAGTACGACACGCGTTCGCAGTCGCATTCGGAACAGAACTACCGACAAGCTCCCGCGACGGCAAATGAGAAGAATCCTGTACGCGACCTCTCAATTTCGGAGCACAAGGCAGCATTGAAGGAGCTTGAAGTCCACGAAGCTGAAAAGGAGCGCCGGCAAGTAAAGTATGAGCAATCATATCACGCAGAGATTGTATTTGGTGTGCCCTACCCAGAGTACCTGGCAGCATTTCAGGAGCTTGAAGTTCACGAGGCTGAAAAGGAGCGCCAGCAAGCAGAGTATGAGACAAACGACCAACAAACAAAAAGTGATCAGGTCCTCTGATGACTGTAGGGTTGGATCACTGTAGAGAGATAGAGAGAGAGTGCCTAAGTAAGTACTCATGTATGTAAGTTTTCATTCTAGATATTGAAATTAAATCCCACCACTTCGAGCATATGATAAACAGGAAGTGTGTCACGAGAATAAAACAAGAGCAAAATAAAAACAATTCATGACCACAGCGTGATTCGAACTAATGACCCAAGCAAGAAGAGTTCGGAGCAAACATAGTCTCTAATGTGTCTACTCCGTAATCAAGGAGTAACTCTAACCAGCCGGGTCCCTAACCCGATTCGGAAGCGCGCCCCACAGTCTTCTAGATTACAGCGCTCAGTCCACTGTAATCACAACGGTCGCGCAGAGCCTCAACACCACACCGCATCACCAGATTCACCACCACCACCACCACCACCACCACTCCAGCACGCACAAGGACACATTCACAGAAGGGGGGCTCACACCGCCCCCCAAACCCCCGGCTAACCCTAACCACTAAACCTAACCCTAGCGCTAACCGTCGCTGCGAAATGATATCTTGAACAGCCGGTCGCATCATGAAAGGTACCTTTCAATTGGTGGGAAACGCACGCAAAATGAAGTACCTAGAATGCGGTGCTTGGGGCGGGTGCGCAGACTTGAGTGCGTGGGATAGCTTCCGAATCGGGTTAGGGACCCGGCTGGTTAGAGTTACTCGTAATCAAGTTCATGTATAACTGAGCCAATCCACACCCCATCAGCTTTCGCCTCACTTGGTGATTTTGTTTGCTTTTGTTCAGACATATAACCCTTCCGCTGCCTTGCCGCCTGCCCTACCTGCTGGTGCAGGTGCCTGAATCATCATTAGCAATGCCCTGACTCCGGCTTTTCGCACGAATGGAACTTCCTGGCGGCCATGCACGCATCTGAGAAGCTGTTTCCCGCTGGGATGACGTAGCAATAGCTTGAAGCCCTTTGAACAAACATGCTCGTGGTGCGGAGGGGAAGAACACATATCTGGCAATACTGCCTGCCTGCTGCCCAATCCTCATGAACAGGCTGGGAGAAACCGGCGATCCTGGCAGTGCGTTTCCTCGCTTCGGGCACACCGTCTTCGTCTTGCTTGTAGAACCCATCCACCAGGGTAAACTGGAAAGCCCTGCTTCGTTGATGGCATGGCTTGACAGAGTGAGCTGCATTGCCTTTCGGACCACGACAAGTTCCTATGACGCGATAGCACGTCGCTACGCGATAGCACGTCGGTAGCACGTAGGTCCCTCAAGCCCGCAGCTTACCTTGCCTGCACTGCCCCAACACTCTCGTGAGCTCCTATGAGCCACCGGCGCCGGGTATCCTCCCGATGAGGACTCTGGGCAGGCCGAACTTTCGCTCCATGGCACTGGCTCTTGGAGCCGGAGTCAAACTTGCCGCAAGGACAATCTCTGAAACGCTTCCGAGCTGCGGCAGACGTGCATGGCCAGATCTGGCCGCCCTTGTTGCGTATTGCTCCTCAACGGTTCGAGAGCCCATCAACATTACCGCCTGCGACAACCGCGATGCGATCATGGGTTCGAAGAACCTGTCAGATCCCGTCTTCAGGTCGAACTTCGGAGGCTGGCAGGCGACAAAGCGAGTATTTCGGAGTGAAATGATCAGCGGATCGGTGGTTTTCCCAATTGACTGCCTTCATAACAACATCCAGGCGATCATGCAATTCGTTCTGTCAGTCATCGGGTCATCAACGGGTAGTCTCTCGGTGCGAAACCAAGATGTCAATACAGTGCTGTCAGGAGAGGCAACCCGACCAGGTGGTCTGCGTACTGGTTGAGAATGTAAGAGCGGTAGAGTAATCATATTCGGAGAATTAATAAATACCTATATACTCAGTCAAGCGAGAGAGCCTGGGTTTCGTGCTGTAACATAGCCACGTGAAGCCGGTGCACTCAAAGGCAGCCTTATGTGGAGGGCTAAGAATCATACGACGATGGTGTGACCTGACCCCGGCGCTTAATCAGTTACACAGGAATGGTCCGATGGAAGTCTAAGACTCATCCTAGTATCATCCTCAGTCGACAAGCCATTCGAGTAGACTCTCCAGCATCTGCCCCGGATCTCAATCTAAGTGGCACACGGTGGAAGATGGCGATCGCCATGTGGCCAGGATCGATCGAACGATGGACGCCGATGCATGCCATTGTATGCGATTTGTTAACCGACTCTGGGGTGACTTGCGAAGAATTCATGACGCTGACATGTATTCAAGCTTGTTGTTGTTGTTGTTGTTGTTGTTGTTGTTTGTCGGTCCTGCTCTCATCAGCTGCTGCAATGTACTTTAACCATCAAAAGTTTTCCAAGGGAGAGACCCAACTGGACCCGACATCGGGATGACAGCATCGACATTACTCTCATAGGGCTACATTCCATTGAGTCTGGAACATCTGCGGCCCGACCGACTTGAAATAACGAACTCGCGTGGCGTCGAAGGTCTCTAGACCACTAGAAGGCTGAACACTAATGATGTTGATGTTTTGGACGATGCTGAGAACCCTGTTGATATTGGTCGGGAGGGATGCCATGTGGGCTAGGGGAAGAAGTGTCTCGGAAGGCCATGTTCCTGCCCGTTGTCATGCCAGAGCTGATGGCGGCAAGATTCCAACACAAAACGTTTATTAAGGCCGTAAGGATGGGTCAGTTTCATCGGAAACCCCAGTACCATTTCGAAAAGGGGCGCCAATAAATATGTTCTCGCTTCAGTCCTACCATGATGTTCAGCCCAGAGGATCTCTGTGATCGCACCGAAGATGGAAGCCTTGGGTCCTTGCGTCGAAAGGATGATCAGGTGGAGGTCAAGGTAACTTCAAAAAGCCCAACATCAAGACTGTGAGTGAGTTGTTTTGAACTGACGACGATAGGGCTTCCGCGTCGAACGGCATGGAGTCGCAGCGGTAATTGAAAGCGATCCCTCGCCGACGACAGCGTCTGCACTGGAAACAAGTGAAAGTCGCTGTAGGTGCTCCTCGGCACACAGTCAAATTCGGAAGAAGAACCTACATTCTAACACTTCTCACAGCCAATGGCCAATGCGACGAGCAGACGCTTGTATGTATGGAGATGTTAGAGTCCCCCAGTCCCAAACCCATTGCGAGCAGCTCGGCATCAATCAGTACCGCATCGGCTTGTAGCCTCGACCTTGAGAAAGGCATCCTGGAAGTGTCTAACTGCCAGCTGCAATCCAATGATGCCTTTGGAGTTGAAGGGTCGGTTGTCAAGTACGAACTACCCAGCAAAAAGGGCTTCCATGGACTGAGATGGCTACGCCACCGTTTCTTCTCTCTGTATCGACGATTCTTCTCCCTTGTCATAGTGGGGAATCTCATCGCTTTTGCAATGGTCTCATGGCAGTCTTGGGACAGAGGTAGCCTGCCGATCCCTGACCTCGCGACAGCGGCAGCAAGCAACCTATTAGTCGCCGTTGCCATGCGACAAGATCATGTCATCAACTTTCTGTTCGGGCTAGCAACGCGGGTACCGACTTGGATGCCACTTGACATCAGACGCCAGTGTGCCCGCGTGTATCACATCGGAGGAATCCACTCAGGTGCTGCCATATCGGCGACCATGTGGTGGCTCGTGTTGACCGGGGCTGAGACAGTGAACTATATCAATCGCAACGAGGAGTTCACCATCAATACTGGGACCATGGTCCTCGGCTATCTGGTAATGGCCCTATTCACAGCCATTGTGGCTATGGCACACCCCAAGGTGCGCGTGAAACTGCACGACCAGTTCGAGGCGACGCACCGATTTGCCGGTTGGGCTGCTACTGCGCTTGTATGGGCGCATCTGATCGTGGCAACCGACTCTCTTCGACCCGACACGGTCTTGCTGGGAGTTGCTTTAGCCACGTACCCAGCGATCTATCTGATGGCACTGATCACCCTCGGTATCGCTCTCTCTTGGCTGCGACTTCGCCGAGTGGATGTCAGGCCGGAGCCACTGTCCAGCCATGCGGTGAGACTTCACCTCAGTTTCGATATACCGACAGCTGGCAAGACCATTCGCGTTGCGGACAGTCCTATGCGAGACTGGCACGCCTTTGCAGCCATTAACAGGCCAGGGCAGAAAGGGTTTTCAATCATCGTGTCGAATGCTGGCGACTGGACTGGCAAGACGATCGACACGCCGCCGCGGCAACTTTGGACGCGTGGTTCGCCGGCCTCGGGGGTCCTGAGAATCGTGCCATTGTTCAGGAAAGTTATCCTGGTGGCTACAGGGTCAGGCATTGGGCCATGCTTGCCGATTCTTCTAGATGGCCGCGTGCCAACAAGGGTTTTGTGGTCGGCGTCACACCCACGGGATACATTCAGCCAGGAGATAGTCGACGATGTGATGCGCGCAGACCCAAAGGCAATCATATGGAATACCAGGACAAAAGGCAAGCCTGACTTGGTCGGCATGGCGTACCAGATGATGATGACGGAGGGTGACGCCGAAGCTGTGTGTATAATTTCCAACCGGAAAGTCACGCAGACGGTGGTTTACCAGCTTGAGGCTCGCGGTATACCAGCGTTTGGGGCGATATTTGACTCGTAGGGAGCATGGCTGTCGGTACCAGGCCGTACGTGATGGTATCTGGGTGAAGCGTCAGCTTCGTTACGGACATACATTATACCCAACTGATAATATAACAACAACAAATAGAAATTGTAAGTTGGCGACAGGAACGTCAAGCTCAGAGCGTGAGTTGTGGTGTCTATCGTTGACCAGTCTGTTCAACGCTGGGTTTTCTCTTTCCACGTGCAAGATGTGTGGATACCAGGTCTGAGGTGTTCGTGCAAGACCCTGACTAAAGCAACGTACGTCATGATCTAGCTGCCTGTCGGTCAGAGTTGGAGACTGCAAGAATCCTCATGGAATAGGGTGGTGAAATAAAGTTATCAAAGAACATTGCTTCGGCGTCGCCTCAGGACAAGACAAGATGGCGTGCAGGCTGCCGGGATCAGATGGCCAGCCGAATCAAGGCTTGCATGGAAATTGCGTACGAAGTTGTCTGCCTGCCGCCCCAACAGCTGCCCGCCCAGGCTGCCATCTTATCTCAGACAGCTCAGCCTCTGCATCTGCCCTCTGACTCTGGTATTGGCGAGACAGGCGTGGTCTGAGACCATCTGAGATTAGGTGGTACCTTAGTAGCCTCGCATCAGTCAGCTGTGGCGCACCAGCGAACAGCTGGCTTTTGGTGAGTAGAATACGTTCGAAGGTGGCGGCTAGGTAATCTGGCTCAGAAAGTGGCAGCTCTGGGCCCGAGCTCCAACGCTCTCGTCATACAGTTCCAGCTGCTCAAACACCTCCAGCTAGCAGCATCCAAACTCCGAACCTTCACCTTCACAACCTCTCCATTTCCACATCGTTCATTCACCTCCATCCCATCTCCAGATACACATCTATCTGTGTATATCTGCGAAGTATCAGCTCCTTTCGCACCCTTCTGCAAACCTCACACTCCCATCTTTCGATACCCTCGTCCGCGAACATTACAAACGTCCGGATCCGCGCTTAGTACACGCATCTACCTACCTTACCTTCAGCAAACGGACAAGATGGCATCCGAGCCCGAGCACAAGAAGAAGGCCAACTTGGCGTGAGTCCAGTTTGCTGCACCCACGTGCATCACTGCATCACCTGGTAGACCCTAAGCTGACAAGACCATAGCGATGTCTCCGGCGCTGAGCCCAAAGATGTACGATCGCAGCCTCACATTCACTCCTGATCCACGACTAATCTAGCTATCCAGGAAAATGACACCTCCACCGCAATTCTGAAGAAGAAGAAGAAGCCCAACCAGCTGATGTATGCACCCACTGCCCAGCACCTTCCTTGATAGCCGGAGTGTGCACTAACAAATCGATGCAGGGTTACTGATGCTGTCAATGATGACAACTCCATCATCGCACTGTCGAACAATACCATGGAGCAGCTCCAGCTGTTCCGAGGCGACACCGTTCTCGTGCGGGGCAAGAAGCGGAAGGACACCGTTCTGATAGTCCTTGCGGATGATGACCTTGATGATGGAAGTGCCCGAATCAACCGAGTTGTTCGACACAACCTGCGAGTCAAGCACGGCGACATTATCACTATCCACCCTTGCCCGGATATCAAATATGTAAGTCGTGGTGCTTCAGTGCAGCTGAGAAATATATGTGTGGAATGTATTCTAACTTCTGATCAATTAGGCGAAACGCATTGCCGTTCTCCCGATTGCCGATACCGTCGAAGGCATTACCGGGTCGCTGTTCGACGTTTTCCTTGCTCCCTACTTCCGAGAGGCATACCGACCCGTTCGCCAGGGGGATCTGTTCATCGTCCGTGGTGGTATGAGACAGGTTGAGTTCAAGGTGGTCGAGGTAGATCCCCCGGAGTACGGCATAGTGGCACAGGACACAGTCATCCACTGCGAGGGTGAGCCCATCCAGCGTGAAGAGGAGGAGAACAACCTAAACGAAGTCGGTTACGACGACATTGGTGGTTGCCGGAAGCAGATGGCACAGATCCGAGAGATGGTCGAGCTGCCTCTGCGCCATCCTCAGCTTTTCAAGTCCATCGGTATCAAGCCCCCGCGCGGTGTCTTGCTCTACGGACCTCCGGGTACTGGTAAGACGCTCATGGCTCGAGCCGTTGCCAACGAGACGGGTGCTTTCTTCTTCTTGATAAACGGTCCGGAAATCATGTCGAAGATGGCTGGTGAGTCTGAGTCGAATCTGCGCAAAGCTTTCGAGGAAGCCGAGAAGAACTCGCCCGCCATCATCTTCATTGATGAGATCGACTCCATCGCCCCCAAGCGAGACAAGACAAATGGAGAAGTCGAGCGACGTGTGGTTTCCCAGCTGCTCACCCTCATGGACGGCATGAAGGCCCGCTCCAACGTCGTCGTCATGGCGGCCACTAACCGCCCCAACTCCATTGATCCTGCTCTGCGACGTTTTGGTCGGTTTGACCGTGAGGTTGATATCGGTATTCCCGACCCCACCGGCCGCCTCGAGATTCTGCAAATCCACACCAAGAACATGAAACTCGGGGATGATGTTGATTTGGAGCAGATCGCCTCTGAGACCCACGGTTATGTCGGTTCTGATGTCGCTGCTCTCTGCTCCGAGGCTGCCATGCAGCAAATCCGTGAAAAGATGGACCTCATTGATCTCGACGAGGATACCATTGATGCAGAGGTTCTCGACTCTCTGGGCGTCACAATGGAGAACTTCCGATTCGCTCTGGGTGTTTCCAACCCGTCTGCCCTTCGCGAGGTTGCAGTCGTCGAAGTCCCCAATGTCCGATGGGAGGATATTGGAGGCTTGGAAGGCGTCAAGCAGGATCTCAAGGAGAGTGTTCAATACCCCGTCGACCACCCCGAGATGTTCCTCAAGTTCGGTCTCTCGCCTTCGCGTGGTGTTCTCTTCTATGGTCCACCTGGTACGGGTAAGACGATGTTGGCCAAGGCTGTTGCAAACGAGTGCGCAGCCAACTTCATCTCTGTGAAGGGTCCTGAGTTGCTCAGCATGTGGTTCGGTGAATCAGAGAGCAACATTCGAGATATCTTCGACAAGGCCCGTGCTGCTGCTCCTTGTGTCGTCTTCTTGGACGAGTTGGACTCGATTGCCAAGGCTCGTGGAGGTTCTGTCGGTGATGCCGGCGGTGCCTCAGATCGTGTCGTCAACCAGCTTCTAACCGGTAAGAAATATCTTCCACCTTCACATTTTGCAGCGTACTGACTTTTCTTCAGAGATGGATGGCATGACTTCAAAGAAGAACGTCTTCGTCATTGGAGCTACCAACAGACCCGAACAGCTGGACCCCGCCCTTTGCCGTCCGGGTCGTCTTGACTCCCTGATCTACGTGCCTCTGCCCGATGAGCCTGCTCGCGCCGGTATCCTCAAGGCTCAGCTCCGGAAGACGCCCGTGGCTGGCGACGTTGATCTCGACTTCATTGCCTCCAAGACCCACGGTTTCTCCGGTGCCGATCTTGGCTTCATCACCCAGCGAGCTGTCAAGATCGCCATCAAGGAGTCCATCACTCTCGACATCGAGCGAGTACGACAACGCGAGGCTGAAGGTGCTGGTGACATGGACGTTGACGAGGAAGTTGAGGACCCTGTTCCCGAGCTCACCAAGCGTCACTTCGAGGAAGCCATGCAAATGGCCCGGAGATCCGTCACCGATGTCGAGATCCGTCGCTACGAGGCTTTCGCTCAGCAGATGAAGAACACCGGACCTGGTGCCTTCTTCAAGTTCCCCGGAGCCGACGAAGTTGGGGGCGCTGGTGGTGATGCCAACTTCGGTCAAGCTGGTGATGATGATGGTCTCTACGACTAAGCATCAATGGCGCTCAATCCTTGGCGGTGTCAGAGCACTGCTGTTGTACTTTAATCTCCTTTCCCGCCGCCGATCTCTCTGCACAAACAACGACAACGGGCACTCTCCTGGAGACGGGCCTACCTCGCCCTTACTCCCGACTTACGGGACTGCCCTCGTCGCTCGTGAATAGTGGCAGGGATTGGCAATACAGATAGATCCAGGCCATCTGAGTGCTAGAGGCAGGATACAGCCAACTAACTATTGCCTGAGTAATGACGGTGGAGTGGTCATTCTCATGCAGTCTGCGAGTGTCGCGCTTATATCCTTGACTGGATCCGCTGCCATTTGCTGGACGGACACCACTTCGCGGTGGATGATAGTTCACGATAGATCTCATAATTGACTTGCATTACCCCAACCGATATGCAGTACCAAGTGCAATATTTCCAGTCCGTGACGTTATGTGTTGTAGAAGCATGGTTCATGGACATATGTTTTGTGTGAAGGCAGTCTGTTGCAGAGGCTTGATATGGAGTGTTCGAAAGACGCCATCTTGAAAGACGGAAGTTTGTCGAGAGGCTTCCTCAACCTACCCAGGTACGTGCCAGGCGAGGGTGGACGACAGGCAGCTCGATGTAAAACTCCCCTCTTCTCTTGTCTGGCTCGGGTGATGCTATGTAAAATCTCAGACAGACTTTAGACCGCATGATAGACTGACTCCCATGGATAAAAAATAGACTGGTCTATCAAGTTCTTCAGTAGCTTGGGTCTTGTGCTAGGTATAGTTCATTTCCAGGGACAACGGGAAAGCCGTGTGGTACCGCTATAAGGCTGTATGTAGCCCTACTTACCCTTCTCTCCATTCATTCCTTGGTGTAGCACATAAGGCGGCAGTGAGTAAGTAAGTAGTGGTAGTGGTCGTAGTAGTAGTGATGATAATTGATAATCTGCAGTATTGATCAGACCCCGCCGATAAGGTTCAGTACACAACGAACGCCATGCTCCCCTTATGCCAATTGATTTGTCTCGATTCTGAAAGTCTTGTTTTGCAGGTTTACTGCCCGTCCCCTTCCGCAGAGTCTCGACCTTCTTGGCCCTGTTCCGCGGACGTCACCCCGATTCCGCGTGCCCTGCTTTGCCGCGATGGAGGGGAGAGATATGCCGATGATAAAGGCAGACGAACCAATAATGACTTCCTTCCCCTTAATTGAATATTCATTCCTTGCCCGACGCCCGCTGACCCTTCTCGTGTCTAAGACGGCACCTGACCCCGGCTGTCCTAACCGCCCGTCCCGTCATCATCGTCGTCGTCGTCCACTCCGCACACCGTCTCCAGGTTGTCCCGTGTGTACTTCAGCACGGCCTCTACGACCGAGGTTGGTATCGCCAGGTTGGGTGTCCCACCACCACCACCACCGCCGCCGCCATCAGACCCGCTCCCCGAAAAACTCGCGCCGTTGACGCCCGTCTTGGAGGCGTTACCATTCGTCGTCAATGACGCCGCCCCATTGAGGTCGCTCTTAGTTGTGCTGCCAGTGTCGCTGCCGTTCTTGGTCGCCGAGTCCGTATTTGCGTTTGCCATCGCGAATGAGGAGGATGAGGAGGTATTGTTGTTGGTCGTCGCTGACGAGGGTGCTGCTGCTGGATTGCTGCCGGCGGCCGCCGCCGCTGCGTTCACCGTCGCCGTGTCGTGGCGCACGTCGTCGAGCACCCGCCGCATGAGCGCCGGGAATGTGCTCACCTCGCCCGACCGCAGGAGCGCGAGCGCGTGTGTCTGGATGGCCGACGGCCAGTTGGTGTTGTGGGCGTCGAGGGAGTGGAGGAGGTGGTCTTGGATCCTGAGGTGGGGGTTTACTCGGTCAGCTAGTGTCTCTTCGGGCTACGGCGGCAGCGGCATAGGTAGGCACTTTGGTTTGAGAGACAAGGAGGAGCGTCGCCAGTGGTGCGGTCACCGGGGCAGTAGTGGGATGTGTAGGTAGAGAAGGCCCCAGGTGAACAGGGTTTGAATTGGCAGCACACTCACTTGGTAACGAGCCCATCTTTCAGCAGCAGCGTATTGATCTGCGACCGCAGGTCCGGATCCATCGTTGCGGGTGTGTAAGTAGCGGCTGATACCGGGATCTTGGCCGGTGTCGACGGCGGATGGGACATGTCGCTGCTGAGCGACGCCTTTTTTGCAACCGGATGCCGGTGAGCGCGGAGGAAACCCTCCAGCAGCGATCAACAGAGAAGCTGTGTTTTGTGGAAGCCTCACTTTTCAATGAATTATGACAGCCCGTAGGGTGGTGGTTTGCTTATGATGTAAAGACGTTGGAAAGGTATAGCTCGAAGCTCTTTGTTGGTGGCCTTGTCAATAGCTTCGTTAATTGGGACACTTAATGGCGAGGCTGACAACTGCGCGGGAAAGTTCAAAGAAAGTGGCGAGGCTGAGAGAAGGGTGGGGCACCCACTCCACATCATCGGCTGCCCCTTCATGTTCCTTTGGGGGTGGCTGGGGTGAAGGCTGCGCTAGGCTGGGCCGGGAAGTGGGGTGTGGATGTGGCTCGTGCAACATGACCCCCACGACCCCCGTCTCTCGGACCTTGAGGCACCCCCCTTTTCGGTTTGAATGGTACTCTGCCTGCACACCTCCTATTGCATACCGTACGTAAGTGCCGCTGAACACAACCGCATCGTCACCGGTCGAAATCTTCTACGCGATTCGGTAGGGTCACCATCCTAGCCGAAAGCCAGCGGGTACAGATCCCATATTCGTCCTTCAGCTTCTCCAAGAAGGCCGGCGTAGAGCCGCTTATAGCAGAGCATGCCGAAGGGAATGCTTCTACTAGGCCTGTCCAGTATTTCTGCCATTATGCACAACCGCCGCTGTTGCGACAGTTAGACAGACCACTTGCTATCATGAGGAACATAGGTATGCACTCTTGCATGACGTACTCGCTGGCCAATATGTCCAATTCCAAAATGGCCAATCAGCCAGCTGGATAGTGATCTATGGAAGTATCTATCATGATCGTTTACGACCGAGTCGGACAGGGGACTGGCTATACCGTCCTGGACCCTCTCCATGCCGTGATCGCCGATTCGTTCGGCCCAGGCCGAATATCTTCAAGCACTCCTATCCCGCCCATCCGAATCCTTTACCCCATGTAACCGGCAAAATACCAGTCACAGGCGTTTCACGACTGTGACTGCTGCACGAACCTGGTCGGTTCGGGGGAATACTACATAGGCTTACGTTACGAGGCCGCGGGATGGGCATCTGCGGCCACGAACGAGGCGATCACCCATGTAGCCTTACTATGATGGACGGACGTCAAATCCTTAAAGGAGGTTGCATATCGCGTTGGAGTCCTTGTCGACATGGAGAGCCAATGCAGCGTTAGGGGGTCATATGTAAACCCTGATCGAAGTTTGATCAAGGTACGTTCTGGTTGCTCGTGAGCTCCATTGTGATTGGGTCCCGACCCCTTGTCCCCAGCTGTACAGTACTACACCACCAGGGGTAGCTCGACGACACTTCATCCAGGACGGCCGTATGTGCACTTTGGGAAGTTTGAGGAAGGGCTTGTGAGCATATGAGAAAGTTCTCGATGATCAGCATCCGTCATGATTTGCATTCCCTCAAGTCCTACGGTAGAAAAGTGCTGCTCGAGGCACGACGAGGTTTGCTTATTGTCCACCCTCACGGTTAGTGGCTCAGATGTAAGGAGAAGGATCAAAGCCCCATGGCCAGACTAAAGGAGATATTTCTCCAATGGCTAGAGCATCACCTTGGTAGTCCGGCGAAGTCTGGGGTCGACACGCCTTCCACAGCGTAGTGAGTCTCAGGCCATTTGAGTGTCTACAAACTGGCATGCCCCTTCAGCTCCAAGGAAATTCGAGCTGATGACTGAGATATTCCGATTAGGGCTGTCTCTTAGGTATCAGGCTTGGCTCAGGTCACCGATACCTACCGACTCAATAAGGCAACACAATGTCCTTCGAAGTTGGAAACCGGTTCACCCTTCGGAGTGTGGTGAAGCTTAACCATGTTCAGCTCGAGCGTACCAAGAGGGGGCTCGGTTAATGCTGCCAGACTATCAGTGTAGCTTCCACGTCAAAATCCCGGCCGTGTCTACAGCGTTTCCTCGGGGAGAGTCGTCAGGATGTTTGCGGATGACGGCCGGCGAAGCGAAGAGGGTGCCTAGTAATCAAACCCGGCCGGGGTAGTTGCGGCTTTGACGGCAATCCCAGGCTGGTGATACTTCATCTGAAGCGGTGCTTCTGCGGGGTGATCTATTCGCTATGGTGGTATGCCTTTCGTGTCGGCGACCTCGCTCTGTAACCAGTTAGCTGCAGGTGAATTGTCACACCTGCATGGAAAAGGTACTCAGTGTCACATCCCTGCTCACCAGGGGAAATCATTGCTGTATAGACAAGACCCGAGCTGGCTGCAGCTGATGGACGGTTTGGGAGGTCTTGAGGTCATGAGGTCGAGTGGGCGACCAAGCCCTCTCGCAACCATGTCTCCGGCTGCCAAAGAAGCTCAAGTGTGGGGGGCTACCTGCGTTGAGCTGCATTAAGGGGTGACTCTTCGTCTGGCTTGTCACCCCATGCACCCAAGCACTCATGCACCGATCTAAAAGGCCGAATAGTCGGCATTATTAGCCAGACTCGCCGGTGATGCCATTGTTTGCCTCGCTCACTCTACCGAATTCTGGTCGCGACGTTCGTCCAAGTTGAAAGGTGTATCGGCATCGGCGGCCGCTTGAAGTATATCGACCTGCCGTGTGAAGAATGTCGGATAGGGGCATGATCTTTGTGATCATGTATCATGTGTAACCCCCAAAGTGCGGGCGCCGCCCCAGACATTGGAGTTGGTGGGAAGGACTAAGGTAGTGACAAGCACCTCAAGTACCTTCCCTGTAGGCCTATTGAATTCGTTGGCATCGGCAAGGATTCCGCATACCGTGATGATTGGGCGATGGTGAGATCCTTGTTGAATCGTGACGTGTGATGTTGCGTCTGCCGTACATGCTGCTTACAGGATGGTTGCCAATCTATGGAGGTTAGAAAGCCGAGTCAGCACTCGATCGCGACGGCTTAGATGCAAGAGAGATGTGACCAACAGGGTATAATATGCTTGCTTCTCTAGTCTCGCAAACTGCGGTAAGTCGTAACGGGGTTATGCTCGTGGAACACGTATTGTACCACGACCAACAGCAGACAGGCGGTGCTACTGCCGTTGTTCCAAGGTACCGGGACACAGCAATCTAGATGGGCGCAGATCTTGGTAGAACAAGTCCAACATTGGCGGGTCACATGGCTGGTTCGTTGACTCTGGCGCTGGAAACGACATTGGCGACGATCCGGTACGATGGCTATCTGGGGGGGATTAGCTGGAAAACCTGTGGTAAGTGGTTATACAATACTTCTGTCGGGTAGCGACGTGCGACGACTCCCGCGAGAGGGCGCCACCAAGGCTTATGTAGGGGACCCCGACGAGACCGTGACACCACCAACACCCCCACGACAATATTACCCGAGGTCAGCTGGAGCCGATACGCAACTCCAGACCGTTTCCGGCGGCCGTAGGTGCGTCGGGCCAGATGCAGTCTGTATCGATCCAGGGTCGGGTCGGGCTGGAGATCGATCGTTCCGTTCCGCTATCATGATAGCCGCAGCTGCATTGCAGGAGGAGGGTCTTTCCTTGCTCATTGTCTCGACTTTGGGCTGGGCGTCGAGAGCAGGTGGGCCAGAAGGCGTATGCAGTGAGCACGAGATCATTCGAGATGGCTCACGGTGGCTACCAGCTTGCTGGATCCGGATCGTTGGCGGCTCGCGTCTGCACCAGGCTCGAAGGGGAAGCAGAAGCATGGAGACGGTCGTATGAGCTGCATGTCAGCTATTTTAGCTGCGTAGGACGTCGGATCAGTCGATTTCCCCAAGAAACTTGGCAAGCCGTGCATGCTCGGCAAAGCAGACATACATGTAGCAGACCCAGCTCAGGATCTTCGCAGAAGTCTGGACAGTTAGGTACCTACTATGTTGAACTGCAGGCGAAGGTACAGTACGTGGATGGAGTGAGATATCGGACTTGGGAACCCGGGAACAGCGTCCCCCACCGCATGAAAGAGAAAAGAGATGGTGCCACGACTTCCCCGTCATGGACAGGATGTCTTGGCCAACGACTTTGATAGCAAGGTGGCCGAAGATCGATCCAATAGATCTTGAACGGCTGTGGAGCCACGGCCTACTTTCGTGTCTAATGGAATGACCAACGAATGAGAGGTGCATGTGGTGCTGAGGCTCAAGCAGGTGATAGCTGATAGCTGATAGCTGATAGTTGACAAGTCAAAACGGCTTTTGCTCCTACCTACCTTACCTAACATGTAGGTCTCAGAGGAGCATTAGTGGCTTCAAGCCCAAGTACCTAGAAGTAGGTGTGCAGTAGGGAGGTAATTCCAACTCAAAAGTGCCAGACTGCTCACTGCCTGACTGCCTGACTACCTGACTGCCTGTTAGCTGGGCTCGAGCTTCAGCTCGCGAGGATCAATCTCAGGGCATAAACATGGCATTGGTAGCTCCTCGAGAACTTCAGGTTGACAGAAGAGACTGCAGGTGTGGAAGTCTCCTCAGACCCAACCCCGGGGACAGTGCAAGTAGTGGATTCTGCGGCACGTTCACCCCTAAAGGCCCACCCGTCCAACAACTCGGCAGCCGCCAGGAGACAATCGAGGTCGTCCCCTAAATCGTCACAATAGCTCCTGCCCAACAGACACTTTTCGTAGCCAATGATACAGGATTCGATCCATGACAGCTGGTAGGCGGGGCTGCAGTCGACAGGACGGTAGAAGTGGCCCGTGGATACGCATCCCATGACCTAGAAGAACAGGACCGGGTGGTGCCGGCTGTCTCAAGTCCAACTCGCTCTTGGAAGGCATGCCGTCTCCGTTTCTGCAAGTCCCCTCTCGCCATGAGACGGCGTCTTCTGATTCGACAACATTCGAGTGCTTTTCCAGCACACAGCAAGTTTGACGTCTCTTTCAAAACCCTTAGCTGCCAGGAAGAAGTGTTCCTGTAATGCATTGCCCTCGTCATCATGGTCTTCTACGTCTTCCCCGTCTTCCCCGTCTTCCCAAGAGGCCCGCATCCAAGATCCGATCAGCTGCTCAGCTTCAGTTTCAGCATGTGACGAAAGGCCTGCACGACTGACTGACGACGGACGAGCAATCGTTGACCATCCCATGGCTGCCACGACGGTGCAGCACGTTGCAGATCAGACCTCTTGTCGTGTCGGAGATGCTCCACGTCAACTTGCTGGTAAGTACATTTCTCTGCATGCGTGTCACTCGCTGACGAGCCGCACTGGCAAGCCGCACTGGTGAGTGGCCTTTACTGGAGCAAAACCTGCATGATCAGTAGAGGGGGAAAAGTCACTGGATTCCAATTGACACTTGCCCCTACTGTCGTTTGTATGACCATCGATGCCATCACGTTGCCGAGATCCCAGACGTCAGCAGCACGCTTCTTTTTCCTTCAAGCCTTCGGCTAGCATGCTCTCATGGCCACAACCCAGACAGCCCAAGAATCGACGCAGGCAAGGATCCAGTTCACCGACAGTAAGTCCTTGGTCCATCCTTTGTTGCTTGTTTGTCTCGACTGGGAGTACACCGGACCAGAGTATTGCTCGTCTTGTTCACCGCATCCTCTTCTATCCAATACTGAACTAACAGTACCGTGGTAGACCAAGCAGTCCTCGTCAGAACCCGACAACGACAACCTACTCGCCCTTAACAATGACGTGGACAGCCAGAACGCCAGAGTCCAAAGCAGCCAGCATTGGCACGCCTAAGTGCTGACTTGATATACTCAACAGGTAATATTGACAACCAATGTTGGATGCCACGAAGTTCTCTAAGGCCCAGGCTCGGTCTTCCCCCAATACGCCTAGACAATCTAGACAATGACCGGGAGTTCTGCAGGGATCCGTGCAGACATCCGTTCATCCGTTCAGCCCTGTGAGACATAACAGCCGGGCTTTGTCCACTCGGACGTTGTAAGAACCATGGCGCCAAGTTAACATCTCTGCCTGACAGTAGAAGAGCACCTTCTGCCACGGACTAAAGTCGTGAGTCTAACCTGGGTCGGTGCCTAACCTACGGAGCCGCAGGTTGCACTTGACAAGCTCATGCGGCATCAACCTATCCTACTTGTCTCGAAGCTTGAGACCACAGACACGCATCCTCGTGTGTGCTGAGCTGTCAGGCTCTTGCTGGCCTTAGCTCATCCAGGTGTTGTTGGCTCAGGACGTCAGCTCCTTCTGCACCCATACCCAATAGCTCACATGTCATCCAGGAGGTCCGGCGAAGGGCACTCTGGTACCCGATGCTTTCACCGTAACAGCAGGCAGGAGACAGAGCAGGATTGTGATACAGTCGGTTCTGTCAATGACACCCTGCAATGCATCGGTGGCATGCTGTAGTCTGTACGACACGCGCAAAGTGGAAATGCATGACCGAGATGAGACGCGCGGAATTGCAAAAGAACCCACCAGACTCGGAGGTTGGATACCACGGCGATTCAAGTACTTACTCGGACTCGGAGCCGGTCTCCGCAAAGAAGCCTCCAGCTTGGGCGAGCATACGTCTGAGCGTATGAGCGGTAGCATGGCAGCCATGCGATTCACACTGCAGAGAAAGCGCTCCACTGCCGACCGGTGTACTGGGTTGAGTCTTATCGTACATTCTATCGCAGTCGGTCAACCATTATGGCCACTGGCAGTCGTTGCCAAGACACGGTTGGCAGAGCGTGACGGTTCCTGGGACGGGCAAGCGAGATGCAGGCGATGCAGGCAGGCATGAGGTGAGTTGCAGGTTCGCTTGGTGGTGGGACGGACGGACGGACGGCCGGCCGCCGGCTGATGTGGTTGATGGTGGTGATCAAGCTTGCCGTCCTGAAGCGAGAGACAGCGGGGAGAAGCGAGCGAGTGAAGAAGTGAGGATGCCGACAACATGATCCCTTAGAGAGCAGCGATCGGGCAGAATGATGCAAGATCATCAGATGCGGCAGTCGGGCATCCGCTCGTTCCAGATGCGGCATGGGCGAAGCTGAAAAGGTCAAAAGAGCCGAGTTGGCACGGGTACCTGATGAGTAACTGCGAGAATTGGGCGAGGGAGCTGGAGCTGGAGCTGGAGCTGAAGCTGAAGCGAAAGTCAAATGCTTGCCGAAACCCTCCACCTGGGGTGTTGTCACGGCGTTCGCAACTTGGAAGCTGCCAACTGGCAGGAGTGTCTTTGCTCTTGTCCTCGGCCGGATTGGACCGGACCACACCTTACCCTTTGGCCATGATTGATCAGATGACCTAGTGATCTACCTGTCCGCTGCCTCTTACGAAGGGGAAGATTGGGTATCAACGTGGGAAGCAAGCACGCTATCTGATCAGGGCTTTGTGGGGAAGCTTACTGTGACCCCTGAATGGCTGCCATCACGACGACAGGAGTTGGACTGAGCGCAGTTGGCATTGACCTTCAGGAGAGCAGACTGGCTAGACTGGTACATATGTGCCAAGTCTATACCTGCAGCAGAGTATACCTGTGGCAATCAACTGTGAAGGGAAACTGGGGCACGTTACACGACACAGCCTAGGAGCTGCAGCACAACCACATCATGCAACACATGCCCCCAGCCTAATGGTAACGGGAAGCGTACAAGCCGACAACTTACAAGCTGCGTGATCACACAAGGCTGCGAGGGGAGCTGGGGAGCTGGGGAGCTGGGGAGCTGGGCTTGTTATATAAAAGCGGAACAATGGATGCTCAATGCTGCATGTTGGAGGTTGGGAGGCAGGTTGGAATTTGGAAGTTGGAGGCTCCCCGAGTCCCGACACACAGACACAGGGGCTGTTCACTGTTTGGAGCTTATCGAACCGATCTCCATCAACCAAGCCCACTTATTGCACTTATACCCGGCAGTATACCGTCTCGCCTGGGCCTGTCACCCTGTCACCCTGTCACCCTGTCACCCTGTTCCAACGTTGAAATCACCTGCACTGGCAGTCGAGCCGAGAGCCCAAGAACCCCGACCTCGACCAGGAGGTTACAGTTATCTGGAACAACGTCTGCTTTTAATAGCCCCGGCTGCTTACTGGCCACCAACACCTGAGACTCGATCCTCCCTCTCCGATGAGTCTCTAGCCTCTCGTTATATACCCACCACGCGCCTGTGCGCAGTTGCCAGTACCAATAGGGTACAGCAAGAGGTCCGCAGCTCCTCCAAACCCCACCACACCCTCTTCTGAAGGCGTCTAGCCACGACAGCCCCCTGCTGCGTCGACAAGCCCCAAGACACACATGCATGCAGCTTTGCTGCAATCACAAAGCCGAAAGGTCAGTTTCCCTCTAGTCACCCCCATCTAAAGAGCTAGACGCAGGCGGTGAGGGCGTGAAGCCGTTTGGCTCATTGTGTAAGCCTCTCCGACCAGCGGGCGGCTTCTATTCGTCCCTTTCAGCCGCGAATCACACAGGCTTTATACTTACAACCCAGACGTTGGTGTTGTTCCTTTTTCCTTTTGTCCAAGTCCATGTCTATTCCATGTCGACACCGGCGCGGATCTGTTCTGTCTTGAGCGCAGGCCTAACACTTTGACCAGCAGAAACGGTCTTGGGCCGCTAGTCCATCCTGGTACGTTCGGGTCATGGCCTGGGGGCCGTTACTTGCTGTGTACGACGTCGCTGGGAGACGGGAAACACCTTCGAGTCCACTGCATAATACATATCACTGACCTTCACTTGCAACCAAACCCTCTTTTTATCACCTCTACCATCTCTACCGACAGCTTCGTCCCTCATCCCGCATCCCTTGTCCCTCGCCTTCCCCGTCCGCCTGCAGCTGTGGTCTAGAAACCATTGAATGCGGCTGCGTGCCTCTACCGCCGTCCTCTCGACAACCTACTTGTACCGGCTCACCTCCGCTGCCCCTCATAATCATTGTTCCTCTCTTCTTACACCCTCACTTTCCATTCCGCCCTCGCCCTCGCCATTGCCATCACTCACCCGCGCCCTCCCAGCAAACCTTCCCGGGCGTTCCCTGACTCGACATCAGCTCACGCAGGTCCCCAATTCCAGACCCGGGTCCGCGTGACACTGTAAGTAATAAACTCTGGCCGTGAAAGAGACACAGACACATCCATCCCACCTGGACAAGTACCTCTCCACATGTCAATACCTCGACTGCCTGGTGCACTCTGCCTACCTTACATACCTTCATCCCACATTACATATACCTTCAGAGGGTCGTTCTTTTCTCGTAGATTTAGGGGTCCCTCTACCTCTTTCCAGCAAATCACCCTGCCTGACCGACCACCTGGCATCCTGCCATCCTCTAGTTTCCCGCGTATGTAGACACTCGTTTGGAGCAAGCTCTTGTTCGTTCCCGCCCCTCCACCCACGCTGTCGTCACCTTTAGGCGTGTGGTTGCCCTCGCTGTATGTTTGTTTTCGCCATTGTTTGTTTTGCTGCTCCTCGCCTGCCTCACCACCCTACCACCCTACCAACACTATCATCCCCGGCGCTGGTCTCGGTCAGTCGCTTCCCTACTAGCCTGTCTGGTGACCCAGACCCAGACCCGGACCCAGCATGAGACCCAGCATGACCTGCCCCACCACGACGTGAAATCGATTCGATTATCGGGAAGTTCCATTGCTAATCTGGGGGCCGTCCGCCCACCGCAGCAGACACCCGACCTGTTTTCTTCGCCTTCGCCTTGAAGCATCACAAGGCGAAGCAGCCAGAAGCTCTTGCCGTGCGACAAGAGAGGACTGGGGTCGGTCTTGTGCACGTCGGCGGTGGCAATGACCAAGGGCGACTGCCGTCGCTGATATGTACGTCACGCCCGCCTTGCAGCATGCAGTGCTGCAGTGCAATGCCATCGTCCGATCTACTTACTCCTGTGCAACTCGTGTCCCCGACAAGTTGCAACCTGCTCACTGCTGACCCGAACTCCACGCCAGCAGACCACGATGACCGAAGTCATCGTCAACCCGGCGGAGACCCCGGCCGAGAGGGCCAGAAACGTTGCCCAGTACCTATACCCTGACCTCCTCCTCCTCGTCGTACTGGTATTCGGTGCCCTCTATTCCGTGTACAATGCCAGACGTAAGGAGGACATCATTGTACCCACGGTCACTGGCCCTGGGGGAAAGCCGCTACCCGTCTCCAAGAGACGAAGAACAGATGACGAATCGAGCGAGCCCGAAGAGGCCTTCACCCCGCACGTCCGACGATGCTTCCAATGGATCTACACCATGGTGACCTTTACCTTCATTGGCCAGGGAGCCGCAATTGCAACCCGTGCCTTGATCAACAGAAGTACCGATGGCGTGCATGGCTGGTGGTGTGGCGAGCCAAAGACTGTGAGTCGGTTCCTTAACCCCATCTCAGCATCTATAATTGTGACTGACCTCGTAACCAGGTCTACGTCCTCGGATCGACATTCCTCTACATATTTGTCTGCATCACTTTGTTCGACAATAAACAAGAACCTGGACCGATCTTCATGCTAATGTGGTCAATTGCACTTTGCATGGAGATCATTATCTTCGTCTGCGATGCTGTCGTACTTTCCAGGCCTCACAAAGTCATGATCAATCTCAATCGCGATAAGTATGTGATTGTGGACGACATCAACAAGTGGGACATGGCGGATATAGGCCTCTCGGGTGTTCGACTCTGCTTGATCCTTGGCAGTGTTCTTGTCTGGGCAATCGTCACACTCCTCAAGAGACGCGCCGCTCGTGAGAAGTACGACCGCGAACATAACTACCAGTTCGAAGCCGACGAGAACACCCCGCTCATGAATGCCAGCAGCAGCTCGAACGGCTACCACACTAATAATGGTCATGTTCGGCACCATGGTGCGAATGGGAGTCCCGAGGGAAACGCTCACAGTGAATCTGCCCACGGTGGCCCCATGGTCGACGAAGATGCTGGGTTCTACCGACCAGAGAAGCTTCCGCACACGACATGGTTTGAGTACCTACGTGGCTACTCTGTCTTCTTCCCCTACATGTGGCCTTCCAAGAAGCCAAGCTTGCAGCTTGTCGTCGTCTTCTGCTTCGTTTTGTTGGTCCTCCAGCGACTGGTGAATATTCTGGTCCCTTACCAGATTGGAATCGTCACCGATCAGCTCTCTGGTGAAGGTTTGGCAGATGGGGAGGGACTGCACATGCCATGGACATCGCTCGGGCTGCTCGTACTGTATAAGTTACTGCAAGGGCCGTCTGGACTGCTTGGATCCCTAAGAAGCCTCCTCTGGATTCCTGTTTCCCAGCATGCGTACCGGGCTTTGACGACATCAGCCTTCGAGCACGTACATTCTCTCAGTCTTGACTTCCATCTAGGCAAGCGAACAGGAGAGGTGCTTTCGGCCCTTAACAAGGGCGCATCCGTCAACTCTTTTCTGGAGCAGGTCACATTCCAGGTCTTCCCTATGATTGTAGACCTCCTTGTGGCCATTAGCTACTTTTACTACAAGTTCGACGCCGTCTACGCTGTTATGGTCTGTTCCATCACCTTCTACTACCTCTTCCTTACCATTCGTTTGGCATCCAAGACAGCAGATCAGCGGAGAGCCATGTCCAACGCGGATCGGGAAGAAGAGGCTGTAAAGAACGACTCGATTATAAGTTATGAGACCGTCAAGTATTTCAATGCCGAGGACTTCGAATTCAACCGCTACAGGGAGGCGATCGAGAACTTCCAGACAGCCGAGGCCAAGGTCACATGGAGTCTGAGTATCATGAACATGGCCCAGTCTATGGTTTTCATGTCAGGCATGCTCATAGCAATGATGCTTGGCGCCTACCAGGTGACACAGGGCACGCGGAAAGTCGGAGACTTTGTTGCACTCATGATGTACCTGGGGCAGCTTCAAGGCCCGCTCAACTTCTTCGGTACCTTCTATCGCACCGTCCAGCAAGCCATGATCTCCGGAGAGCGACTTCTTGAACTGTTCAAGCAGCGTCCCACTGTGGTCGACCGTCCCGGCGCCCAGAAAGTCACTACATGCGAAGGCCGTGTCGAATTTTCTAAGGTCAAATTCGCATACGACAGGAGAAAGCCTGCACTGAGGAATCTCACCTTTACATGCGAGCCTGGAACGACTACTGCCCTTGTTGGTGAGTCTGGTGGGGGCAAGTCTACCATGTTTCGTCTGATGTACCGCTACTTCAGCTGTACAGACGGCAACATCAGAATCGATGGGCGCGATGTTAAGGACATCACGATTGATTCCATACGACGCTACATAGGAGTAGTGCCCCAGGACACAATCTTGTTCAACGACACTCTCATGTACAACCTGAGATATGCCAATCAGAGCGCGACTGACGAGGACATCATGGCTGCCTGTCAAGCTGCCAGCATCCATGAGCGAATCATGTCGTTTCCAGATGGCTATAACACCAAGGTTGGCGAGCGCGGTCTTCGACTTAGTGGTGGCGAAAAGCAGAGAGTTGCCATCGCACGCACCCTGCTCAAGAATCCGAAGATCATCATGCTCGACGAGGCCACTTCGGCCCTGGACACCCATACAGAGCAGCAGATTCAGTCTAGACTTGCTAACATCGGTCGTGGTCGTACGCTGCTCATCATTGCGTAAGCCTTATTCACTGCTGTCTGTCTTCTGCTTACTCTGCTGACTTTACTATGTTAGACACCGCCTGTCCACGATAACCCATGCGGATCAGATCCTTGTCCTTCACCAGGGAACGATTGTGGAGAAGGGCAGCCACGAAAAACTGCTGGAGCTGAACGGTCGGTACGCATCCATGTGGAACCGGCAAGCCAAGGCGGAAAAAGCAGCGGAAGATGCGCGCAATGCGATATCGAAGGCAGAGAAGCTGATGCGAAAGGCTAACATCTCATCGCCATCAGCTGAGCATCATGAGAGAGCCCAGGGAACCCAAACCCATGGCCATGATGACTCGAGCAGTTCATCCGATGAGTCGACTACGCCTGGTCGACCATCAGCACAGCAGGAATCCACCGGTGCATCCGAGGTTCCGCCCGCACACTGAACAACACAACCAGATCGATCCACTAATTCTAATATCCTCCGACCCAGGATCGATGTGTCCATATTCCCAATGGAACCGATACATATATACATACGGTTCACTAATCACACTCTCAAGTCCTCACTTGACGGGGCATTGCATTATAGGCGGCGTTTGGTGGCATATACACAAAACGATGCCCGACATCCAAGGATGTTGGCGGTCTGGCATGTTGCACTTCTTTACGTTACGCGCGACGATACCAAAGACGTTTGTTACTGTGTCTTAATACTTTGTCGTTACTCGCGCAGCATTGCTGTTGTTACGGCTTTACTTCTCACGAGTCCTCAAAAAGGCGGCAACGGTAGAAGGGAACTGGAAGGAAACGAAAAAAGACCAGCACAGATGCTGCCATCAGGTTTTGGTCGGTTCTGTCTGTCGGTTTGCTATGGCTTTTGATGGTGGACTTGGTATGCCTTGACGAGACAACGATTTGCATTGGTAGGCGAGTGTGGTCCATTTGCAGGACAGGGGTCGAGCTTGCGTGTGCGGTTCTTGTACATGATAGATCCTAGAGGTGGCAGATCCCCACCGGCGCGAATAGGAGTTGTTAATACGCCAAATTCTTCAGTCATTAACCAGACGCCCCCATGCGTGAGTCCCCTTGCATCGTGCTTATTACATCGGTCGTGCTGCGGGGGGTAGGACAAGTCTGGTTGCGTCTTTCGAATACGAGTTCCATCAGGATCGACCGGGGTGGAGGAGAGTACCGACGCTGTAGTACACTGCCACGGGATGGGGATCGGAGTCGTCGTGACGCCACTACCACCGCCGCCGTCCGTTCCGCTGGCAACTAACTAGGCACGCCGTGGCTGGTGGGTGGTACTGCCGCTTGTGCTGTGCGCTGTACGGACACGAGATTCTTCGGCTGACTGTCTACGAGAGTCCGGTGTTGCACGTTAGACCCACTCGACACGACAGACACGACACGACAGCGACACGACAGCACGGGGCAGGGCAGGGCAGCGAGGTGAGCGAGGTAAGTGGGTTTACTATACGTAATGTATTTCTTGCGTGCGGGAGGACTTTTTTTGACGGTAGTTGCTAGGTAGGTAGGTAGGTCGAGCATTGATGTCTACGTTATCTCGGGATGGGAATAATCGGCAATGAGGACTCGCGGTGTTCTTGGACAGAGCTTGGATATGGGGCGCCGGCCAGTGAGTTGAGTAGTGAGGTAGTGAGGTAGTTGCCAGGAGACTGGGCGGTATCTGTCTGCTTTTCTTGCTTGCTTGATTACTTATGCATATCGGCGTGTGGTTTGCGAATGTGAGCTGTGTTGTTGGTGTTGCTTTCGCCCTTGCTTACGTTGCCTAGGTAGTTTATACAGACATGCCTACTCACTCGCTCACTCGCTCACTCACTCACTCACTCACTCGCTCGCTCCCTTGCTCGCTGCTGTTCGGCTCGTATTCGCTACCTACCTACCTGCTGCTGTTGAACAAGACCCCGTTGGGTGGTCAGTTAGTTGATGGGAGTTGAGTTGAGATGAGATGGGTCTCTGCTTATGGGAATTCTACTTGGGAACTAGTCCTTGCCTGCTGGGAGATATAGTGAGTCCAAATTGCTCGTATTGTTTGGTGGTCTGTTAGTATGGTCTGTCAACTAGCTGTATGTATGCCAGCCAGGCTGCTTTTGGGGGAGAAGACAGGGGTGAGAAAGGTAGGCGCAAGTAAGGCTGGCGAGATATAAGCTGTCCAACCCTACGACACAAGACATTACATGTGAATCCCTCCTCTCTTCCCCTTTGAAATTTAGTATCATCTCAGCTCAGTGTCAGAACGAGCACACTACTCAAGATAGAGAGAGGTATTGTCACCACTACAAGGCACAGGCTGGCTGGATTTGGGGTCACGGGGCAGGGTTGGGGAGGGTTTTCGGACTCGGTCAGTGTAAGTATAGAAACCAGACTGTTGGCCTTACTGTTATAATTCTATAATACTTAGGCGAGCCCTACCCTGTCGGTCCGTCGTCTATGGTGTATCTGACCACCACTTGATACTGATTTTCCGCGGAGGCATATATATGTAGGGAAGTCATCCAACGAGGCATAGCCTCTGCATACCAGAGAGCAGAAGAGCAACACTATATATCTCCAAAGCGAATCAGCACTGCATGGGCGGACGGCGAAACCTTTCTTCCAAAACAGCAAAACCACAATTGGCCGCCATTCCTTGCATTAGCTATTATCTATAGGGCAACTATGATACTCGGAAGCGAAAGTATGGCTTTGGGGTCATGACGCATCTTTCATCCACCCATGGAACAAAACCCACTTGTTGTACGTGCTTGCCATTGCCACATAGCAGTGACCATCAGGGACATCCAACGACTGGTCAGCTAGACCAGACGGCCAGACCGAGGGGCTGCAAGCGATAGCCCTGCCAGAGGCCGAATCCACCAAGCTCGGAGAACGCGTCTCCTCGTGTGCTTCCAGCCTTTCCAAGCAAGCCGTCCCCGGAACTCGATCCGTATGCGCCACTCCAGACCCTGCGAGCGAATGGCTTGGGGCGCCCAGTGCAAACCCCCTGAACGCCAGATCCCATCAAGACCGACTGTCTGACCAACAGCACATCGACGCGGGCGGACAGAGCTTCGGCATGCATATTCCTCTCGCTCGTACATACCCCTCATCCACTGCAGTCGCATGTGCTAAGCTCTTGTATCGTACACAATATCCCAATATGTTGTCGAACAAGGTTAACAAGCGAATGTCGTGAAACGTTAATATAGGCGGCGGGTGGTCTACCGCGTAGACATCTTCTTCTTCTTTGGCGTTGTCACAGGTCCGTTGGCACGCTCCTTGAGAGAGCCGTTGGTAGCAACGTTCGTAGATTTATGGCCGTTCAATAGCGGCTGCATCTCGGAGACCTTCTCCTTGATGACTTTGATGACCTCGGGCTCTTCAACTTCGGTGTCTTCGGCCTCAGATCGGTCGTCGTCCGCTGTCTGGTACACCACAAAGCGATATGCGATCCGGACGATGAAGAAGAGCCAAAACAGGTTCAAAGCCTGCAGTGACGCGAGCAAGCCCAGTGTTATATAGAACGACAGGTCGCACTTGTACTGCTGGGTCTCCCAGTTGACTCCGTATGGGCCCACGGTTTTGAACTCGGTGAACAGAGACCAGATGATGCAGAGGTTCAGGTAGTGGCGCAGGTAGATCCAGGCACACATGAAGACGCCAAAGTACGGCCCGACTAGGAAGTGGTCGATGTAGTTGAGGGACTTCGAGGTCTATCAGAACGACTGTTAGTGTACTGTTCCCTAACCCGAAGATGTCAAAACGATGTTAGACAAGAACCTGACTTACCGCAAGGAAGAAGTCACTAATATCGTGAGTGATGTAAACAGCGAGGCCCATGTAGGTGAAGTGGAATCGGTAGCTGAGCCCAATAAGCGCCAGACTGACGATGTGGTGTCCGACGAGCTCCTTGAAGTCCTTCCGTCGCGCCTCCACGCCGAGCAGCAGAACGATGGCCTGCTGCGCCCAGTACGCAGCCTGGAACAAGTAGTAGAACTTGAAGACGGCCTCGTGCGTCTTGTGGGGGAAGTTCTCGTACATCCCGCGGGTGTTGAAGTACCACACCGGGGTACGGCTCATGACATACATGCCCGCAGGGCCCAGGACGCCGAAGTACACGGCTGTGTACATCTGCTCCATGAAACGGGCCTGCTTGCCACGCGACCGTATGCCGGCCTTCCTGGCCAGCGGACGGAGAAGCTCCTGCATGATGAACTCACGCGTGAAGGAGAGGACGATGATGTAGAAGCTGACGAAGGCGACATCCCACAGCCCTTTGCCGTATTGCGGAGGGGTGGTGGGGTCGGCGCCGGCCACGAGCGGGAGCTCGTAGGATAGGAATATGAAGTGGTGTATCGGGTTCGACTCGGTCGGGTTGATGGCATACAGGGCACCGAAGATGGCCAGCAGGACCAGCGGTATGACCCAGGTGTGCTTCAAGGCGAAGTGTTTGTAGCGGCGTAGGAGCGAGCGGGCCTTGCGACGCTTGAAGCCCCTCTTCTGGGGGTCCTTGATGTCGGTCGACGATGACCGGGGCGGAGATCCAGAGCTGGACGACGAGGCGCTCTGCAGGCTCGCGAGACTGGTTTGCAGACTCGGTGCGCCCGTGTCTCCGGCGCGTATCTCAGCGCCAAGGCCGCTCGACTTTCTACGTCGACGCGCATTGCCGTTGGCGGCAGCCGAATGCATCTGGTCGGCCCCGGTGTTGAGTGAGGGGAAGGGCTCTGAGGAAGCCATGGTTGCAAAAGGGCCGCGTCGCGTGGGCGGTAGAGGGACACGCGCGCGTGAGGGCTCAGGGTTCGGTTGTCGATAACAGGCAGGTCCCCAGGCAAGCTTCGGATGAGGGGGAGCGCAGCAGTGCGATCTGAGATCAGATGACAGTTGGTAGGGTGCAGAGTGCAGGCTTCTGCTTCTGCTTCTGATTTCGCCTCTCTCTGGAGGGACTCGAATCGGCGGGATAGCTGACGGCTACGAGGAGGGTTGAGGATCCAGAGATGCTTAAGGAGTGGAAGTCATCTGAGGATTTGTTCACAGCCACGAGACACGACACAGCTTGAGAGAGTTAGTTGGGAGTCGTGATGAATAAATAGTGTTTTGCGTAAGGAGGAAATTAGGGCATCGTTGGATTTTCTGGGCGCGCGAAACTCAATTTCAATTGAGGGAGCCCGCCCGCGGCCCACCAGCCCGCCCGCCCGCGGCCCACCAGCCCGCCCGCTCGCTGCCCACCTGCAGTTGCCGTGTCCACTGTCCGTCGGCTGTAGCCTGTCAGCTGCCGCCAGTGGGTTGGCCTATTATCGATAGCTGAACCCCTATTTTTAACTTAGGGGGACCATCCACCTACATCCACTAAATCTGCCATCAGCGATCCCAAGATGCACGGAGGCCGCGGCCGACGAAAAGGAAATGAAGAAAACGAAGAAAATGGACTGCGACCTTTACGAAAAGTTCTTCTCTTCATACGGGATCCGTGGACGTACTCTTCGCTGTGGCCGCGGCTCCCGCATCGACACTTGTCGCGATGCTGGATATCGGACACTTCGCTTGCATGCAACCCTGAGGGCCGAGAAGTTCCATTATCAAAACAACGACACCTCGAGTAAGAGCTAATGAAAGCCCACCAAGTCCGAGCAGGCCATATCTACCTACGTAACTACTCTGCCTCCAATCTGTCCCTTCGGCGCCGTTGATTGATTGATGATCTTTGACCGCTAAAGCATCACCCTTAGCTCTCACTGGGGTGCATAGGGCTGGCAACCTAATCTTTTGACTCCGTGTCCACTCCTTCTAGGACTTCGTGACCCTTCGGCGCCGTGTTAATAACATGAGTAGATACCTAGTCTAAGCAATCAGAGATCTTGGCTTCTAGGACCATACTGTACATCAACCTACCTGCCAAGTGATAACAGCAAGCCAGCTGGCTCCGTCAGTGGTCCAAGCCAGCCTGGGCCGAACCACAAGATTTGCTTTATAGGGGACCGAATGGCATATCGATGCTGCCAATGCCACCCTGCATATCAAGAGCCTCAACGTACTATTTGTGGAAAGTCTCGAGGCTTACTATTTGCGTTCTGACCAAAACAACTGGCAGATGCGAGTTAATTACAAGCATCTGTGGCGTCGTCCAAGGTTTCATTGCCAACGTCTTGGAGAACCGGTTCTCGTATCTTCATGTAGTCGAGCACAGTGCAATCAATAGCATGCACGAGTTGTCATTTGCATTGAGACAAACAGCCCAAGCAACAAGGTTAGAAGTTCTCTTCATTGGCTTATTTGCGCTGAGTAAGCCGTAAGGCAAAGTGTCGCACATACCTTAGTCATCCATCGTAAGCGTGTGCGTGAATTGCACAATCGTGCTGTCCTCGCTGATCCACCGATGAGTTATCGTCCCGTATCCAAGAAAATGCTACGCCAAGCCCATCCAACGGCCCGATGTCTGATGAAGACATCCTGCAGATGCATTTGCAGCGCCGGCAATGCCCCCAAAATGATCTTCCTCCAAGCCAAACTCCATATGTGATGTGTGTTATGTACATCCGGAGACCATGTCCCAGTAGCCACGCGGGCTTATATAATGCGTTGGATCCATCAAGGTGCAGTGCAGATACATGAGATATATACGGCATGTGTGAGAACTCGGATTCCAAGCAATCCCATCCTGTGGAATATATAGTGCAAGAGGGAAAGGGAATGAAATTCTCATGCGAAACAACCCATCAAAAGACCAGCGCCTTGCCATGCCGCCAGTGCTTTTCGTGACTGACTAAGAAAACAATCCGAAGCGCCTCGCTCGTGTAGAAATTTCAGAAAGGAAGAGGGGTCGACCTTTGATGAGACAGCATCGCTTAATATGTCGGAGGTTGTGTAGGCTCGTCCCGTAATATGTGGACTACGGGTCTCCTTTCAGAAAACCCCCTTTCTCGTTGGTCGCCACTTCTATTGAGCGGTGACGGCAGGGAGGTGCTTTCGTGTCTGTTGGCCGACCTCAGATGGAACGTATCGTTCCTTTCTGGCGGGCTGAGCATGGGACCCAACGAGCGTGACGCTCCGCTGTTCGTCCGATGTCTATGAGGTAAAAGTGGTGCCATCGTGCCAGATCCTATGCTTCCACTGCTCGTCATTCTCTCCGGACCTAGGGAGGGCGACGCGGGTGTCATGGTCGATCTGCTTGTCTCGAGTTCCTCCTCTTCCAAAAGCTGCGCGAGTGCTGCGCCGCGGCGCTGAGGGGGAGGTATCACTGCGACAGGAAGACTTTCAGTGTCTGGCGTCGGCCTTATCTTTTCCAAGACCCTCTCAGCTTGTGAGGCAGCAAAGTCTTCCATCCGTCCTCGGAAATCCCACATGCCCAAGTCGCTTTCGCGCCTTTGTTTCCGTGGTTTGGGCATTGTATGGGGAACGACTTCGGCTGGTGGCTGACGCGTTGCGTGACGGAAAGGATTGTGCTGCGTCAAGGAACCCCAGCGGCCTCCGTTTCCTGCCTCGTCTTTGTCGGATGTGCGTGCTACAGAAGGTTGTCGCGACTGAGACGTGTTTTCTGGTTGCTCGTTCCGTTCCGGAATTACTTCCGTAGTTGAAGAATCCACGCTTCCACTCCTAGATGGCGGCCGGCCATCTCTCTCGTCGGTGGTTCTCGAAGTAGTCTCTGTTAAAGGTTGGTACCGAACAGCGTACACTGTGCTATCAGCACTCGCGGTATCTGTCCGGCTGACTGGGGTAACAGCTGGAGGCGGTCGAGAAGGCCAAAGGGGTGGTTGCAAGAACCGAGGCGCTGATCTGCTACTTGAAGCAGCTTCGGTATCTTGATTCGGTCGTCTCCTGTCGGGGTTACTGTTCGACCTTGACCGACACCGACTGGCGATCGACGACATGGCAGGCCACATATTACTTTTCCCCCCTGACGACGAGCTGCCGCCATTCTCACCGCCGTCGTCGTCGTAGTCCTTCCTTCTGAACTTCCTCCGCCGCGGCCACGAAAGATCTGAAGGTGATACTTCGATCATCTCATCGCCGTCAAAGACCTCTCTACCCAAAACGCCATCCTTCTTTTCTTCACGTTCCAAGGCCTCGATACGCTCTACCCACTCCCAAACAACAACGCTCGCCGCGGCTGCGCCAACCCATCTGACGTAGTCACCCCAGCCTGTAAACTCGGGCTCGGCGATGTCGAGGACGAAGAAGACCACGGGAACAAGTAAGGATATGATAGAAAGCATAGCCATGATACATATATTCTTCATCAATGGGTGATAGAAGGCGTATCGCTTCTTCATGAAAGCATAATAAAGCACCCATGCTGCATATAACAGCCCTAGGGAAAGCTGAAAGAGGTAGCTGAGTGCCGGAACAGCATCGGTGAAACTACGGGGCCTGGTGTTGCCCGGTCCAGTATAGTGGAAGCTGTTGAGCGCGCCAAATATGACATCCAGAGATATCAGCGAGAAAGCCGTCCATTTGATGATGACCTTCTCGCGCTGACGCGGGAATAGTCGGATGAGGGTCTGAGCCTGGGCTAACCACAAGAAGGTGTCCGAGATGAGTTGGATGGCCTTCAGCTGAGTTCCACCAAGAACTTCTTCCTGGAGCTGCTGCGCATTCTGAATTCCAAAGGCATACTGGGTCTCGGCGACACGGAAGGTATCAGCAGTCGCGATGGTGAGCGAAATAGCAACCGTCAAAGCAGCGACCTTTTGCAGCCATGGACGTCCTCCGATACTGATGCCGTTGGAAGGGCTGTTCGTGAAGCCACGGCGACCCAGAACGACAACTCCACCGTCCAAGAACGACCTAGGCGCAACGAACAGCATAATGAGCAGCATGTAGGCAAGGACGGTCGTCGCGGCTAAGGCGTAACATTGCGGAAATATCGAGGCGTAAAAGGGGTCGCGCAGATCGTCGATTTCAGGAGAAGTGGTTGACGCAGTCTCGTCTATTTTCAAGCCACCATTTGCGATGATTGCGGGTTGCGCCATTACTGAAGTGCATAGTGGTGAATAAAGGGCATCAGCCAGTAGTGTCGTCGGTGTAGCAGCACCTGAGATGTACAACAGGCCGCTCGCGGGGATGGTATACGGCGTACAAGCGGTGGCAGCGGCTGTGGTTGCGGTGACGAGCGCTCTGGGCTGCCACAAATGCCGCGAATCCATTTCCAGCACGGAATTGAACGGCCAGCCGCCGAGCGACAATGGTTCCAAGCAAGGAGGCTTGCTATCGTGAGGCACTCGCCATGGAAAATGCAGGCTCCTTCGGAGGTATTCGAGGCGCGTTGTGTCGTCGCTTGCGTCGTGACGCTCGAGAGTCGCTAGTCGGGGGACTCGGGTCGGATGACTCGGGTCGGGTCGAGTGATGGCAGGCGAGCGACTGTCGAGTCGAATGTGCGATATCCGTCGATCCAGCAGGCCGTCTCTCCCACTCGTGTCAATGCTTGTCCTCCTATGTCCAAGGCACTTGCCAACGACTTCAAGGGTCCAATCGATACGTGTCCCGGGCGTAGACTGGAGGCGTGGCTGATTTGCTGGCGGGAGTCGGCTCGTGGTTTGGAAGAAGATGAAGGCTGGGCGCCGAGAAGGCTTGGGTAGAAACAAGAGATGGGAAGTGCGTGGTAGCGGGCGGAGGCGTGCAAGCAGGACGACAGGAAAAGGGCAATGGGTCTGGCCAGACAGCCAGACTGGGGTGGTGGTGGTGCAGGTGCAGGTGGGATTCGCTTGTCAGTCCAACGAGAATCCCTGATCGCGGAGGACGGGCGAACGGGGTGGTCGAGTGGAGAATTTGAGGAATAGACCAGATACTGTAGATCATAGCGGACCACAGCCTACAGGTGACACGCCATCTCTGGCTCTCTGGCTGGTCTGCGGTGTCTCGAAAGTGTTTGAAAGTCTACGAAGCAATAATCAATCAATCATCATGGCCACTCTTCACCCGTCCGCTCTCACTGTGTGGGTTCTCACTTGGTACCGGTACACTGCAACACAGGCACGACAGGTAAGCCCGTGATACCTGTCCTCCGTCATGGCAGTAACGCCAATGTAACACGTGTGTGGTATGATCGATCGTTATGCGCAATGGCAGGCCGGAACGAGCAACGGTCAGGAAGAGAAGAGCGACGGCGGTCTTCATCCTTGGCGGGTGAATTGCCATTCCGTCGAGTCCGTTACTCAGAATTGTAATGTTTGGTGGGCGACCCTAGAAATCCCGAACGAATATGCGGCCGTCACGGTCACGCGCAGGACGCCATACCATCCACATTCCAAATCCCTCGCTGGAGGAACCTGATTGGGAACAGCGTCCACGATGGTAGGCCTATCTGCCAGGAAGGGTGACCGTGAAAGGGTTACCTATCTGTTCGACCGAGTCACCAACCACCTATGCCGGGGTCTCGGTCTCGAAGTATTGTCAGATTTGTGTCGTCCAGTTGAATTGTCAGCGGAATGAGAAACGCGACTGCGATTCATCGCGGTGGAAAGGGGGCCCTGCATGAAACATACCGGCAGGGCTTTGACACTGACACCCGAGAACTGACGGAACCTAGAATAATAATAAACCAAAGGGACTTCCCGGAAACCCAGTGAAAAGGCGATGAACGGCCTGCCTCGTCTGCCCTGAACTTTGCAGAGTGACCAAGAGGTTTTGGTGAGATGCTCGGTTCCGAAGAGGCAGGACCTACGGAGGAGAAGCCGACACCGGCGGTGCACTCGCTGCGTTGGCCCTTCCGTGTCGTGACACAACCTGACAACCTTTGCAGCTTTGGTCCTTTTTCGCTTACTCCCGGCTACCCCGCAAAACAGCCACCCTATCGCGGCGCCTGCCTGCAAGCCGTTCGAGCCATGCCAATGCCTGGGCCGTCATTCTTTAGTGAATGCTCACCGCCAAGGGATCCCACAATATGTGCGGTACTCGATGCTTGACTTGAAGTCTTGAACGTGAGCTTCCGTACGCCATCTTCACTTGCAAAGGCCTTGGCGCTTGGCAAAGCTTGTTGCCCGTGGACGCCCGCCTTGGCATCCCATGATGAAGAACGACCATCGATGCAGCCAACAATAAACTAAACTGTACTATATTTGGGTGGTCTCGCCTCTCCCATGTGGTCCAGGTTCACCCTCCTAGGTTAGTCGCCTGATGCAGAAACCCCCCCCCCCCCCGCCCCCCCAGGCTAATAAGGTCGTGCATTTGCTAACCTTGGGATTCCATAGGTGCCAGCCTCGGTGTTGGCATAGACTGTCTAGGATTTTCGAGCCTGTGACTTACCACGGTAGATAACGTCTATCATTACCAGTGATCATGCACAGCCTTATTTTTAGCCTTCCAGGTTCCTCGGCAAAGTGACCAAGCTCGCGTGCCGTTGCAGTCGGCAGGATGGCCGGGATTCTGGCATAGCTTGAACCACCAAGGTATAGGGGCACTTTGGGGTAGAAACGAGACTGCTAATAACGCAAATGCAGGACGCCCTATGAGACTGGGCCCGGCCAAGCTCAAAAAGCCAGTGTCTCCCTAACGGCTCAGACCTGTTATATTGTGCTAGTGAGATCAACGTCGCCCGCCAGCACGTCGGTCACGTCGGTCACGTCTTAGCATGCCGCTGGAACCATTTACACCTGGAAGTCATCCCAGCCCACCTCGATGCAAATGCTGGTTCACCCAACTCGTAGTCCATAAAGATTACCGCCGTCGAGGGCTCGCAACTGGTTTGGTCTCGAGGCTCCTGCGAGATGGCGACGACGCATACGGTATAGCAAGCTCAAACGCTGCCGTCTGTCTAACTCTGCTCCGAGCCCTAGTCGTATGTTTCCCAGTTTCCAATATCATAAACTCTTACTGATTGAAGATAGAACCTCTCGCACAAGTGGATATGGACTCCGTCAGGGAGACGGCGCATTCTACCATATAGGGGTGCCCAGTCCTGTACATCCGTGCAAGATCCGTCTATGGCTCCCTCTCCAGCGAGCAAGACAACACCGAGAGCCACGCAGAGGAGCTTGCGAATGACGGCGCGGTCTGCTCTAGGCGCCATAACAGTCAGTGAGGACCAGCTCCGGCAAATCCAATCGTTGAAACTTGGAAATCAGTTTCTCGGTCATTGCCTCGTAGCCGCAACAAACATGCCTCCAGGAGGTGGGTGCACTGCCGGAGTATATTCGTCCCGGAGGAGGCCAGCATAAGGTATTCTGAAAGCGTAGCGACGGTGAAGTCTATCTCCTGGTTAGCCATGATACGCGAGCTCATGCAGGGTCGCCCCGAGCCCGCAAGGGGACAACAACTAGCCTCCCCCCAAATGCGAAGTTGAACACCGGCTGCTGAGAGTGCGGTTGGGACAACAGCAAGCGCCAACATGGATATCCAACCGGATAATCCGCCAGGCTGTAGGTCTCGTCCCGGCGCGCAGGGGTATTCGACCCGGGGGGCTGGCGCCTACAGTTAACTGCAGTTAATGCCGGCCAATGCTTCCACTTGGTGGCGGGGGCCAGCGGACACGGTAGATCAGTTACCGGTACCGGTATACACAGTCTCCTGCTCAAAAGTGACAGCAGCGCCTTCCAAGAAGAAGGCGTGCTAACTCGTCAGACAGCTGCTGAATGGTCGTTATATCTTCCAGTCGTTCGGCTTGGCCCGTTACTAGCACATTGTCTACTCTCTCCATACCGTATCCCCCTCCCTACTTCAGCCAGCTTACCTCCCCCCTGAGACTACGACGCAGACAACTATCAGAACAACCGACGCGCCCGTTGCATCTACAATGTCCCTCCATACCATTCTCTGCCTCGTCCTGGCTTTTTCGTCGACGTGCTCGTTGTGGTGGGCTTGGGACCAGCATTACTTTCTGAAACTCCTTACGAGGCACAACCTGGCAGACCTCGGCAACAAGCTACTGCCGTCATACTTCCACCCGTATGCCGAGAGGGGCCTCCCGACCGTGCTAGGGCTGCTTGCAACTACCGTTGTCTCGTGCATCGCCGTTGTCCAGTACTCCCCTCCAAGCCAAAGTTCGCACTCGTTCTATATAGCTGGTGCGGTCCTGGCTGCCAGTCACTTGTTGTATACCCCCTGGCTTCTCCCGCCTATCAACGCAATCATGGGAGATGCTAAGGAGCACAACGTTGCCGAACTTGGAAAATGGCTCCGCGTCCATGGGTTCCGAACCTGCACTACCGAGCTGGCATGCTGTGCTTGCTGCATTCTCGCCGCCGTAAGACGCTTTCATAGCTGTTGCCTCGAAGATACAGCGAGCGCACCGTGTAACCTGGCGGGATGCGGGGGAAGATCTCACATTTCTTCGGCCTCACTTGGCCCTCAGTCTCTACCGATACGACTTGCTCTAGCTCCTTAGTTGCCCTACATCAAGCAGTCCAGGGCTTACGCCTGGGAGAGGTTGATCAAGCGGTAATACCCGGTACCTCATTGCTTCTGGACCCACCGATGGATATAGCAGAATCCAAGCTCCACATGCTGTCACCAGATTCTCGCTCTCGTCTTTGGGATAAAGACGCCAGTGGATATGTCCGTGGAGCTCCCTTCGCCGTGGCTCCGATACGCGCCTCTGTATGACTTGGACTGCGTCCATCAGAATGAGACACAGGCTTTTGCTAACTATTAACACACTACAACGTGGACACTCGACACGTGCTAAAGTGAAGGTGGATGGGAAATAATTTGATCGACGTCTGTTTCACGATGATCACCCGCGCTACATTGGCCCTGGGCCCAGTAGACTTGCAAGAGGAAGGTATCGCCTGCCGTGATCGCATGCCGTGGGCGCAGAATCACAGTGTATAGAGGTAGAAAAAGTATTACATTTGAAACGATGAATAATCCAACCTAATCACAACCTCACAGATCCTCTGCTTAGCCCACTGCTGGAGTGCAGCGGATTTCCCTAGATAGGACATCCGTGGTGAGCTCATAGCGGCTGTTTGCCAGGGTGCGTGTAGGGAAAGGGGGAGTGATGGCCGGTGGGTATTGATTTGAGACATTGTAGCAGGGCAACACGACTTTCCGGACAAAATCAACGCGACGGCAAATGAACCCATGATCCAAACCAGGCCGTCGTCGCCCGTGCCACCGAGTAGCCGCGAGGTCCCCGTAGGACGTGAGTCCAGTTCTATGACGCGCAAGTGTTCGTTGATCTGAACATTCCGAACTGCTCGGCACGGCCGCTAGGAAGATGAAGTAGAAGGGAGCCTTCACTGCGATGACTAGACTTCAGGCAGGATTTGCTCGATCGTGAGAAAAGGGTCGGTGTTGACTAAGATGATGAAGTCTACTCCGCCTTCAGCATCTTCAACGCCAGCGCAGAGGTAGCGGTCAAAATTCGGCTGGGCCGGATGCCTAGTCTTGTGGCTGCTGTCGCTGGTGTCGTTCGGTTGAGAATAGGTGGTTCGCCCACGCCAAATAAGGGGGAGTCAAGGGTGAACCGGGACTCCCTCTCGCACTGTATCGACCCTCCTCGAACCATAACCCCAAGTCTTCCAAGAAGACTCTTGTGACTTCCGCAACGGGGACTGCGAACTCTAGCGAGGTGGTGATGTCAATTCAAGCTCATGGCCAGAGCCCATTTTCGGGGACCTCCCCCTTTTCCTAGGTAGGTTCGGTCCACGGCCACCGCCATGGACGGGTCTGTCCTACGCGTCCACTATCCTTCTCCAGATCAATGATTCCCCAGTTGCGCCGCTGGACAGAGTCGATGCAGAAGCTGGGACTGTCGCTATCCATGCTCGTGTCGACGTCCATTTCGTCCGGTGACGTCTCAGAACCGGCCACAGTGACGCTTCCGTTGCTGTCGTGGCGGCTGCCCCAGCGCAGGAGGCGGGACCTGGTACAACTACACACGACGTCGCTTCCATCGCTCTGTGCTCTGCGTGCCCGTTCCAGTTTCTCGTCGTCGACGTTGTGGATTGTGACCAGATATGGGTCGTCCTGGTCGTAGGAGCCGTTCAGCTCCATCCACTCGTTCATCGCCTTGTCAAAGTCGGCGTTGTTTGCTGACTGATTGACACCGATGCGCTCGTTCTCGGGAGAATGCACACGGTCTGGGCTAGGCAGTCCTTTGACATCACCTCGTGGACGAACGGGGGTCACACCACCAGCTCAGGGCCGATGTCCAGGCCCTTGAGGTAGGAAGGGGAAAAGAGCGACTAGAGCCACCGACATATCCTCGGCGCTGTCAATTGCAAAGCCGACCTCATGGGTACTGTAAGTCCTGTGACCTCCAGGTAGGTAGGTCAGCTTGTTACTGCTGAACCGTATGGTGTGTTCGTCGTCCCACCACCCACCGCCATGGACGGTCATCCGTTACTTTCCGAAGTTCAGGAACTTTCAGTGTACCCAGCCAGAAGAGACTGTATCTTCGATGAGCACAGCTTGGGCGTGAGCAGGAACAGTCTAGAACTCGTCCTCGTCCTCGTCCCTCATCAATCAGCTCTCGTCGTCGTCAGACCCGGCAGGTTCGTTCTATTCGACTCGGCCCAGCCCGCCGGCATGACTCGCCATCTCGGATGTCATTGTTGTCGATATCGAATATCGACAGCTCCTCCAAGACGTTGGCGGAGAACTCGTACGTAGCCGATCTCGTGCCAGCTACTTGGTCGGTGATGAGCTTCCATTGCGCACCGGTGGGCTTCGTGACCGCGAAGGTTGCCACGAGAATGTTCTGGTGCGTATCCTCCCCCAATCCCCCCATCGCCACGCGGGTTCCACGGTACTTGCCAGTCGATACACCCAAAAGTCTCCTCTCTGTGGTGAATGAGCCAAGGTTGGTAGTGCCCACGATCACGGCGCCGGCTTGCGTAAGGTGGTCGACGCATGCTGCGGTCTCAGTGGACGCCGGATACAAGTTGTAGTAGGCTTTGTTGCCGGGCGAGTTACGAACGTTGCGGATCTGTATTTTTTTTTCGCAATTCTGGTGCCTTCGAGCGGGCGCTCATCGGTTCGTGCACGCGTCAGTCGTGACGGGACCGCAACAGCCATGGACTGAGGAGAGTTCCACCAACCCCACCCCCCAGGCGGTGTATTTCCCCGTCGTGCAACGACGTGATGGCAAGAGGTGGAAGGGGTGACCAAGTCTCTCTACCAACTCACCGATCGCTTTTGACCTCCCAGGCCGAGGTACAGGCTCGCCAGCCGTCCACCGTATACCCGGGGGCAAGACCTGGAGACCATGGCTTCCTCCCGAATAGGGAGGCCCAGCCCACGATCGCACCGTGTGTAACGATCTTCTTCTTCTTTTTTCGATTTTTCTATGATGGTATCATTATGCACTTACAGATCTCATCGTTGTCGACTGCCTGCGGCCTCCATGCCAGCGTCCTCGTCGTATTCGGTCTTGATGAAGACGTTCTCGTTGCCTGCAGTCTCCATGGTGGCGTTCGCGTTGACTGCGTTCTCCATGCTTTCGTCGTACAAGCCGTCAGCTCTGCCTTCAGCTCTGAGTTCTTGGAATATCTGGTCTACGTCGACTGGTTCGTCTTGGGCGGTATCGTGATTGACTGGTGCGTCAGGGCGGTGTCGTTATCGGCTGATCTGTTCTCGTAGCTTTCGTTGCCGGGACCTCGATTGGTTTGAATTGAATGGCGGAAAGACAGCTGCTTCGAACGCTTTCGGGGTGTCTGCAAAGTGATCTTTTTCCGCTTGTACTGGCTGACCAGCAGTTGTTTCTGGGCTCGGCGTGGTCACTGCCACGAACGCAGTGGAACAAGCAGCCGTGATGTGATTATTTATTACATGCCTAGTCATCGGCACTGCCATCATGATCGGCACCGAGTAGGCCGGTGGCGGGATCACCCTCTTCACCTCCGCGGTCGCATACGGGCCTTCACGAACCCCTGGATCTGGTTCTACGTATTTCGAGTCCATGTCGCCGAGTATCTCCCGTCTCAAGCTCTTTGAACGGTGTGATTCATCGGCATCGAGTAACCCGGCGGCGGGATCACCCCCTTCACTTCTGCGATTGCATATGGGCCCCCACGAACCCCCGGGTTTGGTTCTAGATAGTTCGAGTCCATTGCGGTGACAATCTCCCATGTCAAGGTATTCGATATGTGTGGCAACGAGCAGGCGGATGGATGGGGACGTCGGCATTCTAAACCTCCTGCGCACCAGCAAGCGCGTACCGTGTGATGTGTGGCTGTCCGTCGACCTCGGAGCACCTGCAGGTGAGGGAGGTGGTGTGTCGAAGCCGAGCCTTGGCCCCATCCACCTCCGGCATTGTTGTCAAAGTCGAAGTCAAGAGACATGTGCTTCTTGAAGTCATGGTCTCGAGCGTCAGTAGTGGCCTGAACAGCGCCGGCATCTCCCTCTACCTCAGCATGGCCGCCGCCGGTCTCGGTATGGGCTGCAGTTTTGGCAACCTTTAAGGGTAAGGGCGCGGCAATATTATCCTTGCCCGCACGCTTTCGATATACCCGTATATTCCCAAGCAGGGCATTTACTATCATGGGCGGGAACGCATTCCCGATCTGCTTCTTTCTTCCGGTCTTGTCGAAGATACTATCCTCTAAGAAAGTGTTGCAATACCATAGTGGTGTCGCACCTGAGGATGAAAGGCCGCCGGGGTTTGGAAATGGATGAACGCAAAGGCCGGAGAATGCCCAGGTCCGATCATCTGCCTACGCAGACCATGGTGAAAGGCATTGGGACCGGCAGTGCGGCCCAAGTTCATGCCCTGGAAGTCCTGAACCCAGCCTACATGATGGCCTGCCAGCTGCTGTCCTCCAGGGGCAGAGGCGGTGACAGCAAACTGCCGGGCAGAAGCGGGATAGGCAAACTGCGAGGAAGAACCGGCTGAATAAACCCATCTCGACTGTAAAAGGGGCAGTGCGGGCCGGATTCATGTTCTGGAAGTCTTGGACCCAGCCTTCACGAGGGCCTAATCATTCGAGGCAAGGATGACAGCCTCGTCGTTATCGTACATTCATACATATAATTCGAAACAAACGTACAGTTACAGACTCGAATGAGGGGAAGGAAGTCCTTCATGTCCCTCCCTTCCAGTTACTAACCTTGGTGGGAGCTAAAGCCAGTCGTGTCGACCGGGAGGAAGGGAGCTCGCGAGATCGTACTCGTAGTGCCGGGCCTCGATGGGTGGCTCTCGTGAGTACTTGATGGCGGCGTGGAGCGTTTACGATCAGCAAAGCATGGCTAATAAAATGAATGGTTCGTTATTGTTAACTCGTCTCTAGATATATACCCATACTCGTATGCCCACCCACGGCTCGCTCCCAGGAAGTTCAAGTACTTTCGACTCGACTTCAGCTGCCAGCCAGCAGGTGTTGTGCTCGTCGTGGGAGCAGGGACAGCCCACGACGAGGGTGACCAGAAGGTCCAGCAGTGGCCGTAGCCGGGGCGATCAGACGGTAGTGACCGGTGCTGTCGGGACCTCGCCCTCGAGTTCGATGCGTTCAGCCTCTTCAGTATAAATGGTACAGATCAAGATTGTCCGTCGGTGCTGTTGGCGAGTGCGAGGAACAGGGGCAGGTGCCAAAAGGCCTCCAATCTGCTGCATTTGCAGCGCATGTAGACGTCTAGGAGGGCCAGAGGCGCCAGCATAGCCGACAGCAGACTCTTCCGCCGGACGGGGCATCAACATTAGCCCCCCTGAGCTTGGGCTGCGCCCAGGGCTAGGACCTGGGAGGCCCGAGTGGCCCGAGGAGCGGTTGCCATACCTCCCTCCCCCGCTGAAATACATCGCGTAACAAGAATACTCCTACAATATTCATACAAGGTTAGTACAATATTCGTACAACCTGCCGCCCCACGACCATCGGAACATCAAGTCGCGCCAGAAGGCGTCCCCGCTGTGCGGCTGTCCCGTCCACGGAGATGGACGAGTAGTCGTGGCATCCCCCGTCTCGGTAGCGGTACTGGTACCGGTGACGGGCTCATCGCGGTTCTGCGAAGCCTCCCCGGTGGCAGTATCTGCGCCGACCGCCGTCTCCCGCGACTGAACACCGTTATCCCGTGCTGGCGATAGGTGCGTCGAAGGACCAGCCCGACTAGATGACGAGGGATCAATATCCGAAGCGAGTTGCCCGCGCTGGCTAGCGATGAGCCGGGCGAACCGGCGGAGGGTTTTTTCTGCGGCACGCAGGTCCGCGTCGTCATCGTGTCCAAGCAGGACATCCGTCTCGTCGTCGGTTGGCTCGCTGCGCCGTTCGTGGATAACGTTACGGGGGCTAGGTGTCGAGGGAGGCCCGGCACCGAGAATGTCAACTCGTTCTCGTGGCTGCTCCCCATCGGTGCTGGGTTCGGCAGCGAGAATGTCACCACGTTCTCGTGGCGGCCCGGCTTTGGTGCTGGGTTCGGCACGGGATCCCCCCTGCTGGCTGCGTCTGGTGCCGTCGGTGGTGGCCGTCGTCGTCGTCTCACCCCCGCTGTCAGTTTTTGAACGAGGCGACCCCGTAGCCGGCCCACCGTCCCCTTCTGCTGGCTCTCGTGGCCCCCCAGACCATCGGTGCTGGGTTCGGCACTCGGCCGACGGTCTACGGCGGTCTGCCCCCCGCCGCCAGAGTCAGAACGAGTGTCTCCATCCTCGGCCGGCTCGCCAGCATGCCCCCCTTGCCCCTCGTCGTGGTACTCGATATCGAGGTCTTCCTCGACCGTCACCCGGACGCCCCGGACGTCGGACCTCGTGGTTCTCCTATACCTGATGGTCGTGACGCAGCGCAGGGGCGAGCGACCGTGGCGCAAGGCGCTCGGGTCGAGGTTCGCGGGCGGGTGCGGCATCGAGGCCCGCGGCAGTCGGTGTCGGGGGGAGTATCGGGGCGGTTCTGGTACCGCGGGTGGGGGCTCGGGGTTGGGGGAGGCGGAGGCGGAGGCGGAGGAGCACGCGGCAGGATCGCCAGGATTCTCTCGACACCGTCGAGTGCGTCCTGCTGAAGAACTCGGCGGAGCGCATCCTGGTTTTCCGCGCTGTCGGTGGATTGCGATATCGTGCTGCCCTCGGGCGATGGGCTGTTCGGCGGCACTGGGATGGTTGGCTCGTCGGCAGGGTCGTCGTCATCGTTGCTGCTCCCATCGCTGTCGCTGCTGCTGGGGGTGCTGGCGCTCTGCGCCCCCGAAGACGATGAGCCATGGGAGTCTTCGCCGCCGCCGCCGCCTCGCTGAGTTACCGTTACCTCCTCCTGGTGGTGAAGAGCGAGCTCCCCAAGACTCAGGCGTCTCAGCTGGCTGCTGACCGCCGCTTCGGCGTTGCGACGGCCTACCAGTCGCACGTGGTCCCAGATCTGGTCTTCGTCGCGGCGTCGCGCGGTCTCGCTCTCGTGATGGCTGTGCCGCATCGGCTGGCCGAGAGGCTCGGGCTGGTAACCATGGGGCGGCCGAGCCACGGAGTTTGATCTCAGGGGATGAGGGTGGGCGGACAGCGGGTGGGCGGACATGGCGTCGGCATACGAAGGATATCGTCGGGAATCCCACAGCTGGTAGTTTATCTCAATGGGAGAAGGGCTGTGATGATGGCCGTGGCCGGGCTGATTGCGGATCGTGTACTCGTTCCCTCCAACGGGAGTGGTGCTCCAGTGGTGAGGCGCCACCCCCTCCTGGTGGTTACTGTGGTATGGGGAGAGGACCGGGTACTGAAGTCGTCCCCCAATGTAGCTATAGTCGGGCTCAAGTGTAAGAGGGCCCAGGCCCTGGTGCTGCCCTGTGTGGTTGCAGCTCGTGTGATGGTTAGGCCATGTATGGGGAGCCGCCCCTGGAGAATCGACTGGTACTCCGTAGTCGTTCATGGGCAGTGCAAGTCCCGGGTATTCCCAGTCATTGGGCCGGAAGAGTGGCTCTTGTCTGTCGAAATAGGATCCCCAGCCTGCGTGAGGACCAGTCCCGTAGATGTTAGGACGGGTGTCCTGACTCACATCACCATGGGGTTGGTGACGCGAGCCACGGAGTGCGTTAGAATGGTAAATAGCCGCAATTTCATCGTCACCAGACTGGCTGCTGGTGTTGCCAGCAGTCGAATTTCTGTCTGTTTGACGATCCATTGTTGGTAGATGTTATTTGTGTGAAATGTGATGGTTGATGTGAGGAAAATTCGTAAGGAATGTGAATGATGGAGGCTTCTGTGAGAGAAAGAAGAGTCAGAATAGATTCAAGTAGGTCAGGCCAGCAGAATACCGGGTAGTGCACCGACTTTTGATGATGTGTTCGTCAATGTGGAGTCACCAGAGATGTCAGAGTGTCTGAGATAGCTCCATACAGGGTATTGTAGCGAAGTTTCTGTGATGAGGTCAGCCAGGGAGGGGGGGAAACAGCATTTGAGTGAGTCTAGGGCACCATAGAACGTGTTGTAACGGCCTGGCGATGTTCCTTGACGAGGGAGTGACAATGAGGTTATGTAAAACGGGGTATGCGCCGCGCCCTGTGTGCAGATGGTTGATAATAGGGGAGTGACAGGAACTTACGGATGTCTAGGGCAGTAAATACAGGTATAGTGAGGCCCGTAGGGATGTATTCGAGGATGTAAACGTGAACAGACGCCTGAGGATGTCTGCGGCAGGAAAACGGGTTAATGTGAGGACTTGTGAGTCAGTAGGTTGACAATAGAGCTCTGAATAGAGGCCCGGGGATGTCTGGGACCGCAAAATAGGGGGGAGCATGGACCGGCGTGCGCCCAAGGTGACGAACCGAGATTCCAGGTATCTCTGGCACTAGAATACGGGGTATTCTGAGGGCCTGGGTGTGGTTCGGTCCACGAGGATAGAATGGACAGAGTCCTGAGGATGTCTATGGCACGGGAGTACCAGATATTGTAAGGCCCAGTGTGAGGGTATGTTAGGAAGAAGGGCGACAAGACTGTAGAATGTCTGTGGCACAGGGATACGGGGCACTGTAAGGGATCGTATGTAGTTCTGTCAACAAGTAGAAGCACGAAAGTCGGGAATGTCTGGCAGTAGGCCACCGGGTGTTCTAATAACTCGTAAGCTGGTCTCTCAACGTGAAGAGAACGAGAACGAGAAGTTTCTATAGGACTAGAGTGGTACGTAGTAGGTTATTGTGCGAAATCGGACGCGTTTTTGTTGGCGAGAAGCGCGAGGAAAGGAACAAAGTGTTGAGAATATCTGTAATAGAAGGCCGCCGGGTATTGCAAAGCCTCGTAAGCTGTTCTGTTGACAGGAAGAGGAATCAGACCTGAGGATTCCGGTGGCACCAGGGTGGAATGCGGCAAGTTATGTGTGAAATCGGATGCGTTTCTGTTGGGAAGCAGAGGACCGAGTGTTGGGAATATCTTGAGCAGCAGGCCACCGGCCACCAGGTATGAGAAGGCCTCGCGGTCCTGTTCACGAGAGGAAAGTTAAAGACTTAACGATACCATGGCACCGGGATATGGTAACTTACTGTGGGAAATCAGATGCGATATCGTCGGCGAGAAGACGAATAACCCTGGAAAATCTCCGTGGCACCAGGATATGGGGATCGTTAAGAGTCGTATGGGTCTTGGTCAACCAACAGTAGAGGAAGAACAGGGGCGTGACGATGTTGTGGCACCAGGATACCGGTATTGTAAGGACTCGTGTTTGCGTCTTGGTCTGCCAGAAGTAAAGGAAGAACAGAGACGTGATGATGTCTGGGGCACTAGGATATGGGGAATGTTAGGAGTTGTAGGCGTCTAGGTCATCCAGAAGTAGAGGGAGAACAGGGACGTGACAGATGTCTAGAGCACCAGGCTACTGGTATTGTGAGGGCTCATATGCGTGTCTTGGTCTACCAGAAGTAGAACAAGGATAAGGACGTGACAATGTCTGTGGCATCAGGATACGCGGACTGTCAGAAGTTGTCCGCGTCTTGGTCAACCAGAGGTGAAGGAAGAACAATGACGTAGCGGTGTCTGTAGTACCAGGATATCAGTATTGTAAGGGCGCGTGTAGGTGTCTTGGTCTATCGGTAGTAGAAGAAGGACAGGGAGACCTGAGGACATCCGTGACACTAGGATACTGGGCAATGTAAGGAGTCGTATGGGTCTCGGTCAACCAGCGGTAGAGGAAGAACAGGGATGTAGCGATGTCTGTGGCATCAGGATACGGGGATCGTCAAGAGTTGTCGGCGTCTTGGGTGATCTAGCGGAAGGACAGGGGAGGTGACTATGTTTGTGGCACTAGGTTATCGGTACTGTCGGGACTTGTGTGTGCCGTTTGGTCAACCAGAAGTAAAGGAAGAGGAGCAGAGACGTGACGATGTCTAGGGACCAGTATGTCGAGGACTTGTGTGGCTGGCTTGGTTAACCAGAGGTAGAAGATGAAGAGAGACCCGAGAATATCCGTAACGCCGGGATACCGGGCAGTGTAAAAAGTCCTGTACGGCTTGGTCAGTGAGAAGAAGAGGAACAGAGACGTGACGATGTCTGGGGCACCAGTTTACCGGTAGTGTGAGGACTTGTGTGTGCATCTTGGCCAACCAGAGGGGCAGAATATGGACAGAGGCTTGAGAGTATCCGTAATACCAGGGTACTGGGCAGCGTAAGGAGTTATGTGCAGCTCGGTCGAGGAGAGGAAGTGGAACAGAGACTTGACGATGTCTAGGGCACCAGGGTACAGGTGTTCCGAGGACTCGTGTGTGCGGCGTGGTCAGCTAGAGGGAGTAGACCAACAGAGACTCGAGAATATCCGGGACACCAGGGTCCTAGGCAGCGTAAGGAGCTCTGCGCAGCTCAGTCGAGGAGAGGAAGATGACAAGGAGACTTGAGAATATCCGTGACACTGGGGTCATTGGCTGGTGTACCAGAAGTAGAGGAAGAACAGAGGCGTGGCGATGCCTGGGGCACCAGGTGCGGTATTGGGAGGACTCCTATGTGCAGCTTGGTCTACCAGAGGTAGAAGAAGAACAGAGAGACCTGAGGATATCCGTGACGCCAGGACAATGGGCAGTGCAAGGAGTTTTGTGCGGCTTCGTCGAAAAGAGGAAGAGGATTAAGGACTCGAGGATATCTGTGGCAGCAGAATCCGGGGGTACTGTAACGACTTGAATGATGGGCGACGATGTGTTCAGAGACTGACAGCAGAGATTTCCATGGGGGAAGAGGTCAACTTTATATAATTTCTGTGCGTAGAGATGACAAGGGCTAGCAGCGAGAGCTACAACTCACCTTCACCTCCCTTGAACTAGCACAATGGACGTTTGCTCGAGGTGTCAACGGCGGGGCATGTCAGGTCATCTTCAGCTCAGATGATGCGGCTGTGGCTAGGATATGTTCACCGCGTCCTGCAACACGCATCGGCAGACAGTGGCAGGATGCCGGCAGACGCCAATAAAGCAACGACGTGACCGTAGAATATCAGACGGCTAGAAAATGTTCATGGCGTCATGCGGAATGAGCCGACGGACAATGGCGGAGGCCAGTGCAAGCCAATGAAGTGGCGACGTGGTCATAGAAGATCAGACGACCAGCCAATGGACAACTCGGTGATTATGTGCGCGCCATTGTCATCATCAAACAGCTTGCGTCGTGCCAAACATGCTTGTCAGGTGACAAAAGTTCAGACCCAAAGACCCCATTCAGCACGGGCGGGCAAGTCGTGAGTCACGATAAGAGCACATGAGGCCATAGCATACAGGCCGGCATGGGTAGGTAGGAGGATCCAGCTCCAGCGAGGCACTGATGATGCGGATGGGCGAGAAGACTGCGACGTAGGTCCAGCCCAGGCTGCGGCAGAAGCCATGGCACACCGAGAGGAGGATGGTGATGAAGCAGGCCGGCAAGTATATGACTATCTCCGCGATGGATATTTGGTTGAGCCTCATTCTTCTCATCGTCGTATGCGATAGGATATGTACGGCGCTGACTATCAAATGGGTGTCAAGTCGCCGGAAAGACTTGCCATGTGTAATGAGCAACAGCTCAAGACTGTTTGGGAGGGCGGCCATTAATCACAAACACGACGATGAGCTGCATGTGGAAGAAGATACTGATCTATTCATACAGTCTAGAAACTATTCATCGGTCTCGCCATTCACCTTCACCTTTGAATCCATCCTGTGGCACAAGGCCGGCACCAACAAGAACCAATCCCTTTGATCCCCCTCTCTTTGAAGTTTGCATGCAAGCCTTCACCGGCTTTCCAGATACTCGCTGCTTTCACTCGGCTCCATGCCCTGGCTCAAGTCCGTGTTGATGACCAGGTCATCTTTCCCCTTGAAATGCATGACAATAGTCAGCCCTTCGATACCGAGGTCGCCGTCATCTTGTGGTGCCAGCCCTTCGTGTTGGTGTTGCTCTGATCGGGTGTTCAGCATCTCCGATCCCCGGAAGGAAGCTTGAGTTGACAACTCAGCTTTCAGAAGGCGGATCTCAGCTGTTAATTCCATATACCGCTCTTTCCAGTCGCAGTCATGATTGGGTGGTGGGATTGGAGCTGGTCGGTGGACTTCGAGTTCAGACAGCACATCGATCATGTGAGAACTCTCCCTTCGCTCCAACACTAGGTATGAATGGTGAGTATCGTGGCCTTCGGAAGTTTCAGTCGTGACACTGGCCTCGTGGTGCAAAGGCAACTGTCGGGGCTGTAACAAAGGTCTGTCGCTGATAGTGCGAGGGGAATTTTCACCCTGCTCATGAGTCTCCATGAGGACTTCCTCAAGCTCCGTCTTAGCACGGCGGGTCGCTTCTTGGTAGTGGGATTCAAGTGCAGAACCTTCGTGTCGCGCATCGTGTCGCTCATCGTGTCGCTCATCGTGCCGCCCATTGTGTCGCTCATGGGCCTCCCCGATTGCCGAAGATCGAAACGACGGACCACCTCTATCAAAATCATGCGACCTTACAGTACCTTGATGAACGGGAGCGGGGGAGCCGATATGGCGGCGAGCATGCTGAGACTGGGTTTGCTCTACTAGTACTGGCGAGGCCTGCTGAACTGAGATTTTGGGGTCTAATCCAAGATAAGACGACTTGTTCACTTCTTGGGAGAATGGACTGAAGGACTCCCGACAGGTTGCTTTATGGATGTATTGCGAGTGTTCGTGAACATTCGATAAACGATCTGTCCTGGAGTGCGTATCCTTATGTTGCCCTGCGTGTGAAGCCCCTGCTGGGAGTGGTGCAGATGTGGCATGTTCTTCATTGTGCGAGCTAGCAAGGATACTCCTTGAGCCTCGCCGCCGTGTTCTGAGCTCTTGGTTGCTGTTTCTCTCGCGAGAGGCCTCGTTTTCGTTCAAGTCGTCGACGTTGATGTTCGAGAGGTATCCACGTTTGTGTGCAGGAAAGTCGTGTCTTCTGGTGTTGATGTGATGCAGTTTTGCAGTAGCGTTGGCTGCTTGCTTGGTCGGATTCTTCAACCATGCTGGTGGACTTGATATTCGCTTTCTGGGCACAGAGTGCTTACTCTGGAAAGGCTTGGGTTCGTCTAACATATGACTTTCCTCATGCTTTTCATGGGCGGCCGAGGTTCCCTGGACCGCGTGTTCGCTGGTACTGTGGCCAAGTTGATCCACCCACGACCTTTGCTGTGAGTTGTGACTATGTTCGTCATGAACACCCGTTCGAGGGTGGATTGCTGGAGAGTCTCGGATAACGTTCTCGCGGCTATGTTCGTCTTCATGGTGACTGCTTTCGGCCTGCGTGCTGTGCTGAACTGACTGAACATGGTCATGGAAACGATTATGCTCGTGTGCGGGCAAGTGATGTTGTACATCGCCCTCATATCCACTATCCTTCCCGAGATGAAACCAACTGTGCTGTCGGTACTGGTTTGCTGGACGGTCATGGTCGACGACGCGTTGGGCGTGATGGTGCTGCGTGTCGTCTCTTCCATGTATAGATCCCGATTCCCTCATAGACTCAACTGGCATTCCATGCTGTGCGAAGCTGTGGGGACCGACTGTCTCTGCGGAGGAGTGGTGCTCATCGTGGCTCGGATGACCTGGGGAAACAGCATCCTGGGTATACTGAAACGAAGCGATACGTGTCACTGGCTGAGCTGGAGTAAGGGGCTTAAGCTGTCGCGCACTTCGCGCAACAGGGTCTGCGCTTGCTGTGGCGACTGCATCAAGTGAATGTGCGCTTATGGACTTATTAGTTTCTTCTCTGGCTCTTTGGATACGGTCATAGGCCTCTTGACCTAACCCAAATGCGAGGTGCTCTGCAACATGGTGTTGATTGTGGAAGCCTGCAGAATGATGCCGGTGGACAGTGCTCTCGTCTGCAGTGTGAGGCGCGGGTCCAGGTTCAGTCTTCGGAGGCGCCTGTGGCTCTGATGATGTGCATGATACGGTGGTCGTCTGCAGATGTCCACTAGTCTTTGCCTTCTCGTCGCTTTTCTCACTCCGGTTCCAAGGGCCCTGAGTGCTGTGGCTGTGAGGATGGTGCACATCGCGAGGATCTCTGCAATCCAGATCGTCGTATACCACAATGGCTGCAGGTTTTCCATGGGAATGATGCGTGCTGGCCACATGCTGGCTTTCCTCATCTGCAAGCAGAAAGGGGTTCTGCTTAAGTCTCGAACTAGGTCGGCGGGGATGCGGAGGGCCAGGCCCATGTGAGTCCATGGTTGAACCATGTGCTACTCTTTCGCATGGTCTCTCCTCCCATGACTCCTCAATTAGTAGAGTCTCTCTAACGGTTCTCCCCAGGTGACCTTCCGGGTGTGGAGTGGAGGACGATTGTTGAGTTGTGTCTATGTGGTGGATGGTTCCGCACTTAGCTTCCGGACTTCGTTCGATTGTCTGCAGGGCTTCTGGCACCAACGTGGACGGCTGGATATCTTGTGCTCCATCCCGTCTGATCGTACGACTTGAACGGTGCGAGACATCGGCGTGCGCGTCTTCGACCCCCTTGGGTACCTCTAACACGCATTCGTTGCAAAAGAGATGACCGCAGGAAGTACAGTGAACCTGCGACCAAGTCCATCCCGAACAGACATGACAAATTCTGCAAAATCCTCGGGTACTGGCATTTCCATCTCTCCCGAGAGACGAGTCTTCCTCGTCTGAAAGCCAGCCAGATGGTCTCGCAATGCCGTATTGCTCGAACAGGTTTCGCGCTGATACCCGTCGTTTGGCCCCCGTACTCTTGTCGGAGGTTTGTGAGATAGGACTCGTCCCTCTCGTGCCCCTGATCGACCTCATAGACCCCCATCGTCTCGGATATACCCTGTCGGTAGCTGATATGCCGGCAGTATCGTCGTACGCATTGTCACCAAGCTGGGATGTGGCTGATGAGCTGAAAGCTTCTTCACCAGATCGGCGAAGGAAACGCTTGAGAGGGACGTCTGAATGAAGCTCTCCTGGAGGCATGGAAGGTCGCGATCTCGTATCAAGCGAGAGGAGCCCTCCAACGGCGAGGGCATGGTCTTCAGAATGCTGGTATCGGCCATACTTCAAGGTTATGAACGAATGCCCTTGCGGATGCGACCACAAATCATCTACATCGAACTGTTGTGTCGTCGATCGTGCAAAGCCGGGGCGGGAGTGTCGGCCCTAACCAACGGATGTATGTTCTCGCTCTCGCTCGCGAATCTCGACCTCAGGGTCGTCGAAGGAAGAATGCTGACGATGGGCAAGGTTGTGATAGCGGCTTATCTGGGAAGTGACGGTTCCACGAGGAATCAGGTTCTTGGCTATTGGCTCGGAGCCATGGTGCACAGCCTTGGGCGTATCAATTGGAGATTCATCCCATGAGTCAATAGACATGTCGAATGATTAGGCCCGGTTAGCTGGATCAATGCCACTCAAGTCTCAGGTGGGTGGCCGTCCACCATCAAACGAACTAAGGGAGTAATGAATGCATTGGCGATGTGAGTTGAGGTGATTCAAACAATTTGTTGACAACCGTAGGTCGCGTTGTCAAGAGTAGAAGTTACCTAGAAGGCTGGGGGTCGGCATCGGCGTCTAAACCCCATGAAACGAGTGGCTGGTGGAAGTTGCTATGTTCACCAACGGCAGTCACCAATACGAGCAATGGAAAGCGCCATCGGTAGGTCTCAACATGCTCAATTCGTGCTGATGCGCTCCTCGGCAAAGTAAGAATAATGCTGATGTACACGTTGCCTTGGTGGTCCTTCTCTCTATACAATCTATTTCAGAACGGCTTGCAAGCTCTCCAAAACCTATTATCGTCAGTAAATGTGAATGCTGGTTCCGCACGATTGATAGTAGTCTCACCTCCAGCTCGATCTTCGCCTCTGCGATGTCCTGTTCGCTGCCACCGCCGTTTGCGACCTTCTGGGCTTCGGTGATCTGAGATCTAACGGCATCGGCGCTGAAGTCCTCCAGAGGGTAACCTTCGACCGCGTTGATGCTCATTGACGAGTTGGGCTGGACAGTAGCAAAGCCGCCAGACACTGCAATCGTTCAGCATGATATCCATAGCTACCCCTTTCTCATGTCCACGTACGGAAGAATTGCTTGCTGGTACCGGTCTCCTCGATGACTTCAATCAGACCCGGCTTCAGCTGCTCGATCGACGGAACGTGGTTGGCGAGGACACCCATCTCTCCAGACTCGGCGGGGATGTTGACTTGGACGACATTTTGGGATGTGTAGATTGACTGTTGCGGGAATTAGCAAGCCGGCTGCTACAATTGGACCGAACTTCGATGAACGGAGAGGCCGGACGCTCTCGGGACTGCTCCGAGCTCGGTGGATCGCAATCGGCGGAGGTTCGTACCTGATGAGGGAGGGACAAGCTGAGCTTGATCTACAGCGAAGGTTAGCAGTCGTGTCAGGTGAAGAAGTACTGAGGACACGAGCCTTGTCGGGAACAGCTTCGGCGTAGGTACGTCGCTGCAGGGGCTGAATCGGCAGCCGCAGAGCTGAGGGGCGAGCTCTCAGAGCTGCGCGGGCGACGCGAAAGGAGTTCATGATGACTGGTGCTGTCAATTGAGGAATTACGTGACAAGCAAGCTCACGATGGACGTCGACTGCAAATTGAGACTCAATGCTGCGGCTGGCTTGTCGGGATCCCGGAAGATTGAGCACTAGCCTCATGTGGCTTGGGCCAGGCACGTGGCTGATCATGTGATATAGGGAGTAGCAATTGCACTAGGATGTCACGTGATAGACTTAGCTAAGCACTTCCAATTTCATCTGATGTGTTGGAGCAACTAAAGTCTTCATGTGTCCACGCCGCTGCGTATTCGGCATCACGTCACCTTTCCGCATGCTTCAAGCTTACCCAGTGGCAAGATCATGCTTGTTCTACTCTACACACTGCGAAAGCTCGTCCATGCTCTGCGAACAATTCATAAGTGGATGTGATGGTGTATGAGAGCTGAGATTGTTCGAAACGCTGCAGTGAATCCGTCGATGCAAAGCCATTCTAGCGTTTGGTTTCGACATTTTGTTAAGGTTACAGAATCTTTTCGGGGCATATCTGTGATTTTCTTGTATGAAGAGAAGCATGCTCCTCTCGTACGGCGCTCACCATCGGAACCTTGTCTCGAAAACTGCGGCAGGTGGTTCACGGTTGATACCTTCAGCTGTTGGAACCTTGGGTGCCCTGCCCTGCCGCTCTGCCGAGCTTGAGAGGTTTGATACTGTACTCATGATCATGCTGCAACCCATCAGCCGGTTACGCCATACACTGGTGAGTACTGGCTCATGGATGGAATGTGCTATCAACGCAGGAGGCCATCTGGCTACAACAGCCTGGCCGTAACGTGATATCCCCGGGCCAGTGTCCTCTTCGCATATCTGACTTTCTGTCCTCAGGATTGCATCATTGCTCGCTGACATTGTCATTATGGTATTTATACCAACTCGACTCCTGATGACGAACACGTACGGAGACAGCAGACAGGATTCACAGGACCAGATCCATATGACGTTGCACACGTCAGGTTGCGATAAGCGGGAAGCTCCTGCGACAGATAATGAATCCCGAAAATACCGAATCAATCCCATGAACCCTGGAAATCCTACGGGCTCACGATGCACTGTGTAGGTACTGTAAAGAGGATGAGGGGTCAAACCAGGATTTGGACCCTGCCAACACACCTCATCAGCCTGACCAACCGACTTATCACTGCTATCATACTGCCTTTCTCTAGCCCGTTGTTGATGCCGCAAAACGGGCACCAAGACGACCTGGGACAATGCTACCCCCGGGCCGTCGAATGACAGGCGTTCGGACCAGGCCGGGGAGAGTGCGGGGTTGCTATCGCAGTTGGACGTGGGGTCATGTCCACGACAGCCCACGGCAACTTGATGCAAGTGGCAACCTGTCAGTCATTCTAGTTGGGCCCGGTCAGGCAGAGTTGCCAAGATCATCTGATGATCACTGGCGAGATAGCAATGATGGACAGAGCGGTCGGCAATGAAGAAGGGCTTAGCTCACCCGCTAGAACACTGGGCACGACGAATGATGTTGGGCATGACGACAGTTCCCATCATCTAATGGCTCGTCCCGAACCACGTGCCAGACGGGATCAACGTTTGCTGGTTCAATCGTTTTGACACATGATAGCGTGGTGAAATTTGTAGTAGACCCTGAGAGCCAAGCGGTGCCGCCAGATTTCGGCTTCCTGCATTTGACAAGCCAAGGGACTTGAGAGCTGATATCTTGCCCCTCACGATGGATGGCCACACATAACACAGCCTCGGGAGACGCAAGGGCACCTTTCAAGCTATCAAATGATGACTTGCATGAGCAGGAACTTTCTTCCTAGTGGTTTCATGCGAAGCTTGTGATGTCAGAGGACCATGTGAAGGGTTGCAGGAATCAGACAAGTCGGCTGGGAAGCCCAGTTTAGGTAGACGGTGCCGGCCCGGAGCCAAGGTTGCGTGCAAGTCCCTGCACGATTGGACGCTGCTCTCAGCACATGTTCGTGCGATACGACATGTCGCTTGCCGGTTCGAACTTCAGACTCGTGCTCTCTGGGTGAGCCGAGGACTGCGAGGGCGAATCATAGCTTGGAAGATGCAATGTAACGCTGCTGCGCAAAGGACTGCCAAGAGTAGGTACCAATATCACCCTGCGTCTGCGATGAGGTGCATGATCCCTCGGAGTGCTGATTGTTATCACAGAGGTACGTTATGATAGGATCGCAGACTGGCTCACACGGCAAACATGAGAGATGTTGAACCGCCACAGGCCGATGTTCTAGTCGAACAGCAGCAACTTTCCGTTTGATTCAGGGCCGGAACAGTAGGAGTTCACCGCCTGCAGTGCAAGGTCACCCGGTGCTGACAGGTTGGCTTGCGTACAAAGGTTGGGACCTTGGAATATCGTTCGCGCCGCCGTCCGCTCTCCGACGGCCAGGGAATGGCAAAACGTGGAGCAAGACAACGCATCCCCGACGCGTAGATTAGAGAGGTCATCAGGCGTGCCTTTCGTACAGTTGTTATTCGGACAGTCTGATGGTCCATGGGGACACGCCGATGGAAATCCCTTGCGCCATGCATATTTGCAGATGGCAGAAAAGACTCGCTCCCCGGACAGGCGGGGGTCGTGCGGACCCCTAAAAAGCCGGGGGTCTCCTCTCAATGTTGGCTTTCATTCGCTGGTTCCCAACAACGGAAGCCCTTCAGCGGGCAAAATATTTGGCTGTTGCAAAACGCGCGCGGAGAGAATCTGCCTGCTGGCCATCTAACGAAGAGGGGCCGAGGGCCAGAAACCCTCGAGCGCAATTGGGTGTATAACTAGGTCTGAATGGCCGGATGACTGCATTGGGACTGATCGAGCAATCCCCTTGTTTATTTATTTTTTGTTAGTCCACAGATTGATTGCAGACGGGAGGCATTGCGCATGCTGTACTGTAGTACGGGCATGTTTTGAGCCGACCCAGGACCTTGGAGACTGGTCGCTGGTCGGGTGGCTGGCCTCGGCCTTTGTGCCACCAAACCGGACATTAGGTAGCTTCGTGTCATGCAGCGTAGCGTTTGAGCGATTTTCCGTCTTCAGCTCATCTCACCAGTCTGCCAGTCTCATTATGGACAGAAGCGGCCATTTGGCCATGAAAATTCTTTCCGCTTGCAAGTAACCTTGCAAGGTAATCAACCCGTGGACGCCTGCGAGATCGGGCTGCCCACTACCGTTTCCGCACCCACCCTTTTCCGGTACATTATTAGGTACCTTACACAGTACAGAGGGCAAGCCTGCCACCGGCATAGAGCTCGGACGGCTCAGGCAAAGCTTGAGGGCAAAAGCCAAAAGCCGAAAGGCAAAGGGGCAAGCCGCTCTCGTCTACGGTCTGACAGTCTGATCCATTCGAACATGCTCGCGCTGACTGGCTGACCGGCTGCCGATTCCTGATTTGGGGTCCACACCCTGGGCCAACGTGGGCCAAGGTCCCCAAGCCCTCTTCTTCAAGTTCTTCCGTCCTGGCAACCCTGGGCAGCACTGTCAAGCCCTGGGCACAGCTGGGCAATCTGCCATACAGTGCCGATTGGTGCTGCACCATAGACGGAGTACCCGCCGCTTAATACAGCATCACGCATTCTAGCGGCGTTCTATTCATGTGCTCCTCTCTGTTCATGCTCCCGCGCTCTTTTTCGCCCACTCTCACAGGCACTCTGCCACTCCAGTTTGCAGGCGGGCGGTCTTCCTGTTCGGCGTTCGCAGTGAATGAATGATTCGCATACCGCTTGTTTGCATCCCCATCATCCCACTCATCCTAGTCCCCCAGCCCTCGCCCACCGCCCACCGCCTCCGCGGCTCCGTTGCTGCTCTGCTCTGCTGGCGCTACATCAATTCGTGAGCTAAGCTGACTGCGACATCCACCGCACACACGCCGAACTGATCTTGTTATTATTATTTTCTCCCCAGTTGTAATTTCTGCAAAAACTCAAGGGCCTCCCCTCCTGCCCTCCCATCTGTGTGGCCTGTCTCCAGTCCTTCCACACCATCTACTTCCCACTCAGTAGAGGCAACCGTCGAGAACCTGTCCGACAGTTCTTGGTGGCTCTTCGGGTGTTTGCCGTTGTTTCTGGCGGATTAGTTGAAACTTGAAACGAATCCTACCAAGTACACGGTATACTGTGCGGCGTAACGCGCCACTTGTAACACCCTCCGAACCGCCTCAACGTCATTTTAGTCGGCCAAGATTCCCCAAGACCAGTGGCAGACCACCCATTCCTGAACGCTTGCCATTCTCGGTTTTTCACTGTCAGCCGTTCTCAACTTCCACCGCCTCGCCAAGTGAGCGATCTACCTAAACACCACCAACAGCTACTTTCCACGCCTTGGCTGTACACGACGCAAACCTCCAATTTGCAAATCTTTGCGGCGCAGTTCCCTCCACCGGCACACCATAGAACGCTGTTCGGATCACCATGTCTCTATACTTATAGCAAGTCGGTCCCTAGGGACACACTCGACCACGCTCATCGATCTGAGAGACGAAGCTCGCACCAGCCACAGCCTGTACTGTGCCTACGTGTTCGACATTGGTGGCATCTGTCACCTCTAGAAATCCGGCGTACGATACTTCCCTGCGTCGTTCAACGCGTCGTGGAGATATCTGGACTGCACTGTCTACGTTGCGACAACTTCACATAGCACTCGCGCTGTTCTTGGACCGACACCGCCTCAATAAACACATACCGACCATATCGATTACTTTCGAGAAATCGCCATGACGAACGAACACATACACGACTCGACCACGTCCAACGTGTTGGCGTGGTCCTCCCAAAGCGCGCATATGCAACACGATACGGAGGACGAGGCTGCTGCTGAGGCGGATGAGCCTCCTGAAAATCATTTTAGACGTAATGCCGTTAAAAAGGCTGTCGACCACTCCGAATCTCTTTTGACCAGGGCACTGCATCAGACGGAGGAAGAAGTGAGATTCCACTTCAGCGCATCTTCTACACGACGTCGATCCGTGAACAGCAGCATCAGCCTCGCATCCACTGCCGATCTTACAAGCGACACTGGATTTACCAGCCCTGCGCGGACTAATACCCCAAGTCCCCCGCCACCCGTAATATTCCTTGCACAGTTGAACGCGGACTTGTTTGATGCCAAGCCGAAGCCTGCTTGCATCAGCGAGGCCAAGCGAGAGGCGATGCCACCCTCCCAGCGTTCGACATCAATGCAGAGCGACTCCAAGCCCAAAGACGCTGCCGTCGAAGTGCTAGCGAAGAAGCGCTGCATCTCCTTTGCGTGTGGACCCAAGCCCGAAGCGAAGAAAGCCACCCCTCAAGCGCCGGCGGCGGAAAATAAGCCTGCAGTGGAGGCGAAACCACAACGGAAACCATGCATCAAGTTCGCGTGCAGTGCGAAACCCACCGGCCGAGACGCATCGCCTCGCCGTGAAACACCTGCTCCTACAGAAATTCAATTACCGATGAAATCGAAGACCGGTTCCCCCTCCACCTTGCGCAAGTACAGGTCTCCTTCAGTTGGTCGTGGCGGCCGATCGCACCGATCGTTGACCCCGCGACCATCGAGCCAAACTCCACGCGGTGCACGAGCTGCCAAGTATCTGACCGCTAACCCCAAGGATCTGGACAGCGAGAAGACTCACTTCCACGAGTTCGCCAGTGATGAGCCCCGTGTAGAGGACTGGATCAGCGAGAACTACCCTGCCACCTATGGTCGGTTGACCATCAATGATACGCTGCGGAAGGAGAACGAGATCCGTCGGCTAGCCAAGGAAGCCGAAGAAGAGGCCCTCGAAGAGGAGGAAGATATGGGTGAACTTGATGCGGATATCGACGATGAAGCCGATATTCAAGATGATGTCGACGATGACGACGACGAGGACCTTGAAGATGCAGCTGACTTGGACGATCAATCCGTTTATGGATCGGATGATGACAACTCAGATGGATACAACACCGATAACGAGGTTGGATTCGCTGACTCGGATGACGAGGACGATGGAGATCTCGAGCTATGGACACCCGGCAGAGGTACTCTTCTTCGACTTACCGGTGATACGCCTATCCGCCGTCGCCCATCTTTGGCGGGCAGGAGGTCCGATTCTTCCTCTTCGGATGGTTCCAACCATGCCAACAGAGCTGCCCGGGAGAGGACCCGCCGTATCAAGATTCGCCCTGGTACTCCTGAGTTGCCCGACAGTACCGACTTCGTTTGCGGTACACTCGACGAAGATCGCGCCCTAGAAGATGCCTACATTTCGTGCATCGCTGCAAGGCGCCGTGAAAGGCTCCATCCGATTCCTCAAGACATTGACCCAAGCTTTCCAACTTCTGAGCCGGAGGACGAAGAGGAGATCGAACCTCACAAACACGCACACGACAGCGATGGGCACCTTTGGATCCACGGCGAGCTGGAAGACCTACATCATGCCAAAGATGACGCTGAGCGCCGTAAGAAGAAACCAGGCCCGACCTCGCCAAACCGGCTTCATTCTCCACCTCCCAAGCGTCATCACTCGCCACCTCCAAAGCGCCATCACTCGCCGCCTCCAAAGCGCCATCACTCACCGCCTCCGAAAGCACGGGGTCGCTCACCCAGGCGCCTCTTTGATAGACACTCCCCTCGTCATTTCGGATCCCCTGCTCCCGGTCGTGTCGTGCTTTCTCCGCCAGCCTCTCTTATCCAAGACAGGAACGGCGGACAGCACGAATTCAAGGCACTTGCATTCCGGCCAGGGTTGACACACACCAAGTCCCTCCCTCGAGCGCCGGCTCTGTTTCCACAGCACTTCAAGGGCCACCGTCGAGCTGGCAAGTCGGCCAATGCAGGAGCCCATGTGCGAGGTGCCATCGACATTGTCAAAGGACTGGAGCAAAAACGCCAGCGTCGAAAGGAGAAGTTCAAGGAGAAGTACCTCCAGAAACACAACAACAAAGCGCGAAAAGGCCAGGTTCCCCACAGACCTCAGCCGGGCAAAGGTGCCCAGCGCATGCGCGAGATCGGCCTGCTTTCAGCCGGTAAACTAGGGCCGGATCAATTTGTCCTGTCGATATGATCAGGACATGTCGACGGTCGTTGCTGAGTTGGCTTACAGCCGCTCATCTTTCGTTTGTATCCAATATTCCCTTCTTCGTGGCGACCTCGGCATTAGATTTGCTGCGGAGTCCCACTGTACATAGATAGGTTCTTACACGCCATAACGAATTTCATTTTAGCCGCTGCTCTAGAGAGGAGCGCGGACACCCATTTGTCGCATTGGGCGGGCAGCATTGATGCATTCAGGATACCACAATGGGAAGGGCAAATTTGACATTTGGACGGCGATACGGTGAACATACTTTTATCAATGAACATGCTTTTATCAAATGAACATATTGAGATGGCAAATCCATCTACATACCATTATTTATATTCCAGATGTTTCTGGTCTGACCAGTGAATCCGAAGCGTGGTTGAAAACAGTACACTTGGTGAGAAACTGATTTTGCCGGTCTCGGGCACGTTCTCGACGGTGGTGTTACCAATGACTCAACAGACTTGAAGGCTTCGTGATCTGTCCAGTTGTAAACTTTTCAAGCTATAAACAATATGTCGATACAGTCATAGGTAAGGTAGAGTTCAGGCAACACCGACGCAGGGGACGTCTACCTGATGACTGTCTCGCTGCTCAGGTGGAGCCACCTGGCGGCAGCTGGGCTGCTGAGGACAGCACTAACATTTCCCAGGTGGCAGGAAGCCAAGTCCGGACTACGTATCATTGCAGTCGATTATCTTTCATTGTTCACCAGTCACCACTGCAAAACCATCGAGCCCTTTCAAAGGCGTCAGCTCCTCAACTGCACCGCTCTTCCTCCCTTCGTGACCCACGATCCTCGACCATAATCGCCACCAACGCCTCTGCACCGTCGCCAACATGTGGATGATCCAGTGGTGTTCGTCCTTCCCGCAATGCTCGCTATGGTACAATGCTTGGCAGTCGCTAACCTCTTGTGCCGACAGTCTACGATGTCCTCTCGTCGCTTGGCTTGATGAACAAGCACGCCAAGCTGCTTTTCCTCGGTCTCGACAACGCCGGAAAGACGACTCTGCTACACATGCTAAAGGTCCGTTCGCCACCTTTGCCCCTCTCCAGCTGCCCGCGACGGCAGCTACCCTCGTCTCGTCCCGTCCGACCAAGCCATCTGCTTCAGCGACTTCCTGATGCGTTGTACTTCCAACAACAAAAATGCTAACACAGCCTGTGTATAGAACGATCGCGTTGCCATCCTCCAGCCCACCCTTCACCCTAGTACGTCGCATACGCCGGTGCCTTTGGGCTGTTGAGGGCCCGGGAACGTGCCGTTGGGCTAACAATAGCTTGCAGCATCTGAGGAACTCGCGATCGGCAATGTCCGCTTCACCACGTTTGACTTGGGTGGTCACCAGCAAGGTAGGCTATCAGCGCGAATTTACGTCCAGGATTGCAACTGACTGTACGGTCTCGACAGCCCGCCGGCTTTGGAAGGATTACTTCCCGGAAGTGAACGGCATCGTTTTCCTAGTCGACGCGAAGGACCACGAGCGTCTGACCGAATCGAAGGCCGAACTTGATGCCCTACTGTCCATGGAGGAGCTTTCGAAGGTACCGTTTGTCGTGCTCGGAAACAAGATCGACCACCCCGACGCCGTCTCCGAGGACCAGCTCCGTCATGAGCTGGGTCTGTACCAGACCACTGGCAAGGGCAAGGTTCCTTTGGAGGGCATCAGACCCATCGAGGTCTTTATGTGCTCTGTGGTTATGCGACAAGGTGAGCCAGCTTTTGAGTGCTGCAGATGACTCTGAATGCAATATTGACAACTAGCAGGTTATGGCGAAGGTATTAGGTGGCTCTCGCAGTACGTCTAGGCGCCAGACTAGGCACATGCGAGAGGCCGTATTATCATGCAGGATGGAATCACTCACGCGAATGAGTACGTGAAAGCAATGCGGAAACCGGAGTTAGTTGACAGCTTGCTTGTTTCTATCAACCCATATCAATGTTTCTGGGCAGGGTCTCACGGAGTCAATGGCTAGAGGCATTTATTTCAGAATCCCATCTTATGACCCGTGTCCTTGACGACACCATGCTGTGAGGGGCTTTGCCGTCCCCATCGCGTGTTCTCGTTGCTGCCACACTGGGGATATGAGCAACCAACACACTGCCTCAGCTCAAGCAGTTTTATATCATTACGAATCGATTGGTTTCAATAGTTATTTCAATTTTTTCGAGACGGTGTTTCGTGATATGCTGGGACCATATCCGCCCAAGCTCACGGGTGGATTCAACTCAAACTCCAGGAGCACTTGACCGAAGGGTAATATGGACTATTACGCGAATGTGGCTAGATTACTCATACTGCTACTAGATGGTAACCCCCCTATTTCTCATGGGACCAAAAGGGTAAAATCCAAGTGCCTGTTCGTTGTGAGGGACCGTCCGGGGGCTCATATACCATCACAAAGCTGCGTCCTTGGTGGCCGCTTTCCTTAGCCAGTATGATGTCAAGCCTTGACTCATCAATGCTGTGTATGACTGATGATACAAGTCAGAAGCTACCTAAGATCGTCAAGTTGTTCATTGAAGGGTCATGCGTCATGTTGATATCTCTCGATGTATTTGACGAAAGGGGGTGTCAGAGGTATTGTCTACGGTCAATCGGCAGGATTAATGTAGAGTTCAAACCCAACATGAAGGTAACTAACTACCTATGGATAGGTATTCGTTGTTAGTTCCAACGTGCATGAAGCCTTGTCAAAGGCGGACATACAGACATAGACATATCAGCCTCAAAGGGAGGCGGACGCTTGGACCACAGCCTAGACTAAACTGCACCTGAATGACGTAGATCTTAGGTATAACGACAGGCACCCTCCAGCTATGCCGACCGGTACCGCCCTCCCCAACCATTCCTCGCCTCGCGATACCTAAAGCTGACCTACGATACGACCACGTTTCCTTATAATCGCTGCCTCTGCTACTTGTGCGCTCATAACAGCTGGGCAAGCACTGCATCATGTGTCTCAACATCAAACATCCAGTCAACGACAATGGCAGATAACAACCGATTCCGAATACCCTTCCTGGGTGCGAGACGCCACCACAACTACGGCTTCTCCGACGAAGACTTCGACTTCACGAAGCTGCCCGATGGCGACCGCGACTTCCTCCCTCCCGAGGACCTCGCCGCATTCGCCCAGGCCCTCAGCGCCCCCGACCCCATTCCCATCCCCGCGTCCGACGATGTGACCTCCCCTCGCAGCTTCGGCAGCTTCGCCGGCCGCAGCTCCGCGAGCCTGGAGCTCACGCGCTCGGGCTCGATTGCCTCGTCCGACATGGCGCCGGGCCAGGACGGTGCCCAGAGCAGCTATTTCATCACGGCGCAGAACGACTGGGCGCCCGTGAACCTGAAGATTTCGAAGAACGGACGCCGGCGGCGGCGTAAGAAGACGGCCATGGGCCGGCGCACCGTCGACGAGACACGCGAAGGCCATCTATACGGACTGCTGAAGTGGCCCTTCCTTTTGGGGGTCATGTTCTGGCTCGTCGGGCTCGGCGTCACGTACCTGCTCACGCGCTTCTACATCTTCATGTACGAGCACTACATAGCCTGGACGGGCCGGCGGGAGCGGCTGCGCCGAGCTATGCGCGCTACGAGCAGCTACCGCGACTGGGTCAACGCCGCAAAGGAGATGGACGCGTACATGGGGAATCAACTGTGGAAGGAGGAGAACGAGTACGCATACTACGATTCCAAGACCGTGCGCCGCGTCTGGGAGCAGATCCGCAGGCACCGCCGGGCTGCCGAGCAGTACGAGGCCAAGGTCTCTGGTGCACCTGGCTACGAGAATGGGGAGGAGGTGGTGAACGGTGCTGGCGACGGCAAGAAGGCTGTGGAGGATCTGAAGGCACTCATCGAGGCGTGCGTCAAGAATAACTTCGTCGGTGTGGAGAATCCAAGGCTTTATAGCCAGACGTACTACGGCACGAAGAATCTGGTTCAGAACTTCGTTGATGAAGGTACGTCTATTTCGTTTATTCACGTATGTTGCGTGGCCATGGATCCGAAACACATGCTTGTCAATAGAATCGGTAGTCTCTTGATGCTAACTCGCTGAAAGTTGAGAAGAGTACTCGATTCTTGACGAACACGAAACAACTGCCCCTGGAAGAGAAGCGTGCCCTGTTCAAACGAATGCACGCAAACTATGGACGCACTGCGCTGTGTCTCTCTGGCGGAGCTGCGTTTGCGTACTATCATTTTGGACTTGTCAAGGCGCTGCTCGAAGCGGACTTGGTACCGGACGTCATCACAGGCACAAGCGGCGGTGCGTTGGTAGCAGCGCTTGTCGCAACCCGAACAAACGAGGAGCTGAAGCACACACTGGTTCCAGCTCTCGCGGGAAAGATAAGAGCCTGCTCTGAGCCAATAACTACATGGCTACCCCGATGGTGGAAGACAGGGGCAAGGTTCGACTCGGTCGACTGGGCTCGCCAGTGCAGCTGGTGGGCTCATGGTTCAATGACCTTCAGGGAGGCATATGAGCGCACCGGACGCATTCTCAATGTCTCCTGCGTCCCGGCTGATCCTCATTCGCCGACTATTCTGTGCAATTACCTTACCTCTCCAGACTGTGTCATTTGGTCTGCTGTCTTGGCCAGTGCTGCTGTCCCGGGTATCCTCAATCCTGTTGTGCTCATGATGAAGACTAAGGATGGGGACTTGGTCCCGTATTCCTTCGGTCATAAGGTCAGTCATCAATCAACATGTGCCCCCCTTTGATTCAGTTCTTGGCCGTACTTTTCTAGGCGCCTCGCTCGCACCGCCTCCTCGATGTTCACAGATAGGAATACTAACTCGCAAGCAGTGGAAGGATGGCAGTCTGAGAACGGATATACCAATCAGGGCTCTCAACTTGCATTTCAACGTCAATTTCACCATCGTCAGCCAGGTGAACCCGCACATCTCCCTCTTTTTCTTTTCTTCGCGAGGCACCGTGGGTGGACCGGTCACGCACCGGAAAGGCCGCGGCTGGCGAGGTGGTTATTTGGGTTCTGCAACCGAGCAGTACATCAAGTTAGATCTCACGAAGTGGCTGAAGGTGCTGAAGCATCTCGAACTACTGCCCCGTCCACTTGGGCAGGACTGGTCTCAACTGTGGCTCCAACAGTTCAGCGGTACCATCACCATCTGGCCTCAGGCCAAACCGTCTGATTTTCTGGGCATTCTGTCAGATCCCGATTCCCATCGGCTGGCCCGTATGTTGCACGAGGGCCAGCAGAGTGCATTTCCAAAGCTCAAGTTCATCTCAAACCGACTAAAGGTAGAGCGCCTGATCGAACAGGGCAGGCGTGAGACGCGACCCGGCGTTCGGAGAGGCAGCATCCAGAGTATCATCAGTGAGGACGACTTGCAGAGTCTCTTGCGCGGAACGGGAACCGGTACGGACGAGGAGACGACAGAGGCGGAGATTGACGAGGACGTCATCATCGAAGATAACCACCTCGAGGATGCTGTAGAGAGCATCAAGGAGGAGTGAAGATCATAATGCTTCATTCATGTCCACTGCGTTCTGCATTCGTCCAAGCATCGGAGTTGTGGTTTCGTGGTCTCTGGAGTTGGAGGAGTGTGTATGATAGAGGCGACGCATACCAGCATACTTTGGTGGTGAAATCAGAGACTCAGTACCTACTGTAGGCATTAGAATGAATGATAAAAATACCTTATGTCTTTTTTGTTATGGACGTCGAAGCTCCTGGTCTTCTGCCGGTATGTAGGTAGCTATCTACTGCATGCAAACGTCGTGAGGTTCGACGTGACGTTAGCTGTTACACCCAATCGGTCGCATGCTTCTTCAGGTCGTTCGTCCAGCGTTGTGGCGGTGTGTTTCTTCCCCCCTCTCTCGTCTCTCTCTACCTCGTTTGAGGGTTTGATGCCAGGGACGCAAACACAGGCCGGCGGACAACGTGGCACGGGGACTCGCTTAGTGCCCGCGGTTTGATACGTCCGTAAGGGTCCGGATTTGGCAACGCGGCTGAGCTGTTGGGATTTTGATTGTGCTTCGGTCTATTCACAATGTACATGTAGTCTAGCTTGTTACTCAGGTACTTTTAGGATGTCGAACCACAGTTCATCATCGTAACCAAAACATGAACACGACAGGTTCAGCAAAGAAACGTTTACGTTTCCCCTCCTCACTTTGGCTACTGCTTACGATCAGTCGAATTTACCTATCGATTGTGTTCGTCCAATGTAGAGTTTGCTCCCACGGCCGTTTTTGAGATTGGATTTCTGCGGGCAGGCGAGGTCTACCTGCGACGGGCCGGGTCCACCATGTCACATACCATCATCGTCGAACCTTGAGGACGTTGCGTGTTTGTTTGGGTTTGAGTATCCAGTTTTTGCATCGTCCCATGATATTCGCATCATGTATCCATATGGATGAGTGCAGACGCCATTTTATTGCGCGTTCGATCGCGGGTGCCTGCTTCTTGTCGTATGCGAGATGGCGCGGCTCCGCGACACCTCCATGGACATATCTCCTGGAGTTTTCTGTCTACCCGTGCGTGAAAGGACGGGAATAAAATGGACGTGTCTGCGCTTCGGAGCACACGATCCATACGGTACGGCCTTGCCAGCTCATTCCCGTCCGCGGGATGCACGGGACGGGAGGAAGTTTGCGCCCGCCCGCTATGATCGTGTCATCTCGTTCAAAGGTGCCTGCCTCGACTCACATTGCGAGCACTGCTCTATCCCTCACGTACGAACACCGATTCTCTGTGTTGGTGGTATATGTTGAGCTTGGTAGCTCCTCGCAGGTGCTACTCGAGTATCCTCGTGATCTCGTCACTCTTGGGACAGGACCGAGGAATAGCTTGCTTCGTTCTAAAAGATCAATGCAATCATCCATGAGACATCGAGTCTGATATATCAGCTGTCTGTTACGCTTTCCATACCACTCACCGGCAAAGTACTAAGTAAGCACCGCGTACCCCGTCGAGGTTTGGCCACAACCATCAACACAAGACACCACGATTTGGCCAAGCTCGCTAAAGTTAGTACTTACCGAGCGCCTGCAATACCTCGGGACAGAAAGCTTCCCACGGGTTGTTCAGAAAGGAACGATGACGGAGACGGAGAAGGAGAAGGACAAGCCGAAGTATGACCTGGGCTTCACGGACACGGTCATCGGGGCCACGGGGGAGAACGCCCACCCGCGTCTGAAGCAGATCATGCCCAGCCTGTTGCGGCATCTGCACGACTTCGCGCGCGAGGTCGACCTTACGGTGGCCGAGTGGATGGCTGGAGTTGAGATGGTGAGTTGAGGTCTCTTTCGTGTTTCCCTCACTCAACCCAACCCCTTTCAATCCAACAGTCTCTTCTATAAGTTCTCCTATACGTGGAGAGATGTGGGAGTATGCAACTCACCTGAAGGGAAAAACAGATCAACGAGGCAGGCCGCATGTCAACCGACAAGCGCAACGAGACGCAGTTGCTCTGCGACATACTCGGTCTCGAATCGCTCGTCGACGAGATCACCTCGAAGCTCCTCCTCCGCGCCGGCGACACCACCACCAACAACACCAACACCACATCCACCACCACGCCCTCTGCCATCCTAGGCCCCTTCTACCGCGCCGACGCGCCCATCCTGCCCAACAACAGCAGCATCGTCACCGCCCCTCCCACATCCCCCTGGTACGCCGCCGCCCTCCCACTCCTCGCCCACGTCTCCGGCCGCGTCCTCGACGACCGCCCCCCACACACCCCAATCCCCAACGCCGTCGTCGACGTCTGGCTCGCGGGGCCGAACGGGCTGTACGAGCAACAAGATACTAGCGCGCCGGACATGAACCTGCGCGGGCGGTTCCGCACGTCGGACCCCGACGGCCACTATTCTCTATACTGTCTAAGACCGACGGCGTACCCGATCCCCGACGACGGGCCCGCGGGGAGGCTGCTGGGGCTGTTGGATAGGCGGGCGTGGAGGCCGGCGCATATACATTTTTTTATGAAGGCGGAGGGCTATCGGAGTTTGGTGACGCAAGTTTTTGATGTGGAGAGTGTAGAGGACGAGGGGGTGGGGAGGGATGCGGTGTTTGCGGTTAAGGAGGAGCTGGTGGTTAGGTTTCGGGCTAGGGAGGGGGATGAGCGGGCGCGGTGGGAGTTGGTGTTTGATGTTTTTTTAAGTGAGCTTTGAGGAGGGAATGGGATGGGATGGGAGGATGATGGATAATGTGTTGGTGGCTGTGGGGAGCTGGTGTGAGAGCTGGTGTACTGTTGTCGGACTCGGCACTGCTGCTGGGAAAGGGGGAAAGGGGCTGGCTCCCGTAGATTGTCTACCTAAGAGTATCCCAGCTTAGATATTCGCTCACCCATCATGGTAGATAAAAGTTGAGTCGAATGGTTCGCGTTGCAATGAATATCTTCTTCTGACTGATTACATGTTAAAGCTTATGTCAATACGTATACTCGAGATGTGTATGAACGTGAACTCTCCATCACCACAGATTTCGCGCCATGGTGTGGGGTCGACACCTACGATAACGTGCAGAGGAGATAAACAGAAGACAGAGAATAACGCATTAAAGTATCATGCGATATTATGTAGTTCTAATTGCAGTCCGAAACTCGAAGCACAAGCTAGAGAGGACCTGATGGTGAATGGCCGTCAATAGTTCTGAGTTGGAAGTCAAGGGGGATTTTCCCCGCCCCTTTAAGCTGCGTTAAGCCCCTGGAAATTTAAAAATCAGGCGCAGTGGCCCCTGGCAAATGGACGGTCGTTTGCGGTCTCGGCTCCCCGCAATCTTGAAAGCTGCAGGTGACGCATCCCCTACAAACTCTAGCGGCCTCCAGCTGGAGGTCTCAATTGAAGATGTGGCCTTGCGCTTTGCTTCAATCAATGCCCATTCAGCTGTCAGCTTGCCCATGACAAAGAAACCTCTTCACCTGTCATCTTTACGGGTGGACCATGTCGTCGCATAGCTAACACGAACACTTGTCTTCAAATAATACCACCTCGAAGTGAACGCGACCATGGCGAACCGGACACCCAGCGCCAAGCTGACCCTCTCGTATCCTCTGTACGGTTGCGCATTCGCCTCCAACTCCAGCCTCGTTGTTGGCGGCGGCGGCGGCCCTGGAAGAAATGGAGTGGGCAACAAGCTCGTAAGAGACATGACCCGTCTGCTTTGCAGTGCGCCGGTAGACTAACTTCTGCGCTTTGCGACAGACCCTCCTCGATACATCCGATGCGACCGAAATATCGGAAGACGCCGAGTTAGAGTTGAGCGCGAACGAGGACAACGTCACCTCGCTCGCCGTCGGCCCGCGCAAGGACAGGGCCCTGACCGTTTTCGCCGGCGTCAACTCGAGCCCGGAGGATATCAAGAAGGGAAAGAACCAGCATTTCCGCGTCTTCGGCGTCAAGTCGGCTGCCAAGAGGAGCGGTGAGAAGGACAAGATCTCCGAACTCGCCCGCGATGCGCTGTTCGTGCATAAAGATGCGGACACCTACCAGCGCATTCTGCGACTTTCCTACCCCTACGAAGGGCTGTCTCAGCTCGGCGTCATCGCTACCGGCCTGTCCAAGGACCCTCAGATAGCCATCTTCGATGTACCAAGCTCCGGGGGCGCGAGGTGGAAATCTCGGGGCAGGCTGGATATCCCGACGGAAGCGATGGACCTGGATGTGGTGCAGACGGGGCCCGACACATACCAGCTCGCGTACTGCACCGAGAGCGACATCTTCGTCGTCGAAGTGTCCAAGGCGAGCATCTCGGAGCCGAGATGTGTCTTCAACATCACACCCGATGAGGGGGAGACGGCCAAGGCATCATTCAAGGCCTTGCGCTATCTGACGCCCGGTTTCGTGTTCACCGTGCTCAACAAACCCAAGTCTGCGGGCGTCGCTTTGCATGGTTACAGGCTGCCCAATAAAGACCAGGACTATGCTTCACTATCAGTCCGAGCTCAGCTACCTCGTTCTGTGTCCAAGGCCACTGGTCTTGCGGTGCGGAATCTGTCTCCAGTCGATACACCATCCGATAAGCAAGACGACACACAGTTCGTCGTTGCCGTTGCCGGGAATGACTCGTCGATATCCCTGTTCACTATGGAGCACAAGAGCGTCGGAAGAATAGACATGTTGGCCAATCTGGCACCTTTCCAAGTGCTCAAATCCGTCCATCCGTCGAATATCACGGGTCTATCCTTCTCCTTTGCGCCGCCGAAAGGACCGGCCAAGGCAGCCCCGGAGCTCTACATCAAGCTCGCCAGCGTGGCGGTTGGTTTCACAACCGTTGTCCATAGCATACCGCTGAAGAAATACATCGACAAGGCCGCCCCTGCGCGGAAAGGAGGGCCGCCCAAACCATCGCGATATATCGTCGCTTTGAAGTCTAAAGGCGAATCACCAACGCACATCATCGTCTTGCTCGCGCTACTGACGCTTCTCATGGCCATCATCGGTCAGACTTTTGTTGAGATGAATGGTCTCAGCAAGCCCATACTCCACGTCCACCGCGTTTTCCCTGCCTCATGGACCGTCCCGCTGCGGAAAATCCCGATCCCGGGGCAGCAGAAGTCGATCGGTGATCTACTGTCCGACGCCAGGCCGCATCACACACAGCAGCTTGTCATCAAGCACGGCGAGGTAACAGAAGTTGGGCCGGATGGACTGCCGGATCTCCACGTCGGCATCCACGATCAGGAAGTACACGGCCCCGCGACACCGTGGGAGAACCTCGGTGCTCAGGACCGAGACCTCTGGAAGCAGCGGCTTCAGAGGTCGGGACACTGGGTTGAAGACATGGGCGAGGCCATCTTCAAGGGCGTTCTGTTTGGTGAGATCGGTGGTGCTATTGGCAACATCGTTGGCGAAGCGCTATGAAGTCATTTGTAATGTATGAAGAGACCATGTGGTGGCTGGAAAGGGGAGGAAGCATACTGTTCAAGGGTACCATATTACAACTGATCTAGCCTTGGGCTGGTATGTATAATGGGCTGTGTACGAGATAATCCTCAGCATCGATCAATACCGAGATTTACATACAGACGGGGGCCGTGGCGATATGTGTTGTGACTACAAAGCGCTCGGGGTGTTTGCTGTTATATGAGCTGCTAACCGTCGTTGGTAGATAGGGAAGCTGGGAGGAGCTATCACGGTCGGCCTCAGTCGAGCCAGCGCAGGCGGCAGCACCGCTAGGGGCTGACTGGTACACAAACCAAGAGCAAAATTCCAACGCAGTGGGACTGGATCTGGAGGTCTGGTCTATGTTGCTCCAGGACATCTGACAACTCAGCCAGCCAGCCCTGTAGGTACTCTGGACAGATTTATACTACATGGAATCGACTTCTATCGTTCTGTCTGGTCCAGTTTGTCTTCTCCGCAGTGCCCCCTTTCCCGTCTTGCTCGGCTGCTCGGCTGCTTTGGGCTGTTTGCGCACTCGTCGCCGATGGGAGGCGCAGATTTGCGTATTGCAAGGACACGGGGAAAATAAGAGGCCTCTCTTGTGTTCTCTTCAGGGGGGCGTCTAAGTCTAATCCGGAGCGAATATGGAACGCACTGCGGTCAACCGATACATTGGCAGGTTAACCAACCCTCACTGTCCAATAATACCAGGCCAGGCCCTAAGAACTTCGACATCCAATCTTCATCCTTTCTAGAGTACTTTACCCAGCCTCGTATTCCAACACAAGTTGCGCCTGTCCTTTCACGCCGTCGTCTTCCCTCCCTCACATTCTTGCAAGCACGCCAAACAAAAAGCCCACAAACTCACCACGGCACCAGATTCGGCGGCAGCGCCGGATACGCCACCCCGTCGATGACCTCGGTCCCGTAGCCCAGGTCCTCAACAGCACCACCACCACCACCACCACCATCCGGCTCCCCTCGCTTCCAGGCGAAGTTGCACTCCCCCGGCACGTACGCGGCGGCGTCCATGTTGAGCGTCATCTTAACCTCGGGGCAGTAGTCCCAGATGTGCTTGCGCAGTTCCGGGCGGCCCCAGATGCCGCCGTGGAGCACTAGGGGAGAGTCAGCTTTTGTCCTTTCGGTTATAGGGTTGGTTGGGCGGGGAATGGGAGCAGGGAGCGGGTATCGGGAGTTCTGGGTCGTGGCTTGGGAAGTATAACTTCCGCTCTGGTTGATAAGGAGACAAGAAGACAAGCACCTCCTCCTGAAACGTGATGGAAGGGGTATGTAGGGAACTGCTGAGGAGATGGTGGAAAGATGGTGTGGAGATGGTGTGAGAGATGGTGTGACTACTCACTGGTGCCGCTTCCGCCCGTGTGGTATCCCATGGGCTCGTAGAAGCCGTCGCGCCAGTCGTCGATGCCCTTAACATACTGACCCGGCTGCGCGGCGGCCTCCAGATCGCTGCTATTATACAGCCCGGGGCGCAGAACTACCTTTCCAAGCCCCCCGCCGCCGGCCTCGCCCCCGCCATCCGCGCCGTCGGCGTGCTTCACGGCTTCCTGTTCGCCCTGGTACATCTCGCCACTAAACGTCAGCGACAACGACCCATTAGCCATCTTAGCATGGGGCCGGTGTCCCAGCCGCTCCGTCAGCCACACGTCCTCAGGCTCCGAGCCATCGACGCGAACCTGATCCCTCAAAATCTCAACAATAGCGCTGACCTTCCTCAAACTCAAGCCGCCATTCCCACCAAAACGGCCCTGCGGGTTCCACGGCGCGCCCACCCAGTCATAGTCCAAATAATCATTAAGATTCTGGCGGGAGTTGGCGCACAGAATACTATCAGTCTGGAATACGAGCAGCCACTCGGCGGGTTGCAGCACCGTCTCGTAAAGCCACAGGTTGGTCAGGAACCGCGAGATCATCTCCTGGCCGGCCGTGCTCATGTTGGATGGGATGTATGTTAGATCTAGCTTTCCGGCGCTGACCTGCTCGCGGATCGCGACGGATTGGTTTAGGAAGGCGACGGATTCGGTGCTGCCCATGAACCGGAACCGCCAGTCTGGCGGGATCACGGCCATGAAGTGCAGCATGAGCGGCGCGAGGGAGGCCACGGCGCGGTTCTCGATTAGGAGGGCTACTTTGGTTGCGTTGTAAGGCGAGAGGGGCGGTGCTGTGTACTCGAGGTGTAGCCGCGGGGCGTCGACGGTGCGGATGCTGGGGAGGGAGAGGTAGATGATTATGAGTCTGGTTTTGGTTGCGTTGTCAGCTGGGTTTGCTTCATGGCATGTGTCGTTTTGGGGAGGCGGGCGGTGATGAGGTGGCTCACGATAGCAGGACGAAGGAGCCGGCGACCCTCATGCGGCGCGTGGTCCGCGACCATGTCGCGATGCCCGCCGCTTTCGACTTCTCCCACAGCCGGGCCAGGTCCGCCGCCATGTTCATCTCGGCTACATGATTGTCCATTGTGGCCTGGGCGGTAGCGTCACGCGCCGTCGAGGAACGGGTGATTGTGACCAGGTCTGGTTGTAGACGTTTCTGTCGAGGGTCCGAGGATTTCTGCCAGGGTTCGAGAGCATATGTGAGAAAAGGTGTTATCAGCTATCTCGATGTGCAAAGTTCTCGAGGTGAGAGGAGGCAAAGGGTGCCTGAGTGCGTCGACGGTACGTGGGACGAGGTGGTGCAAACCTCATGACAGAGAGTCACCACCTTGGTCTGATCCGGGCGATGGGGTTACATGCGCTCGGGAAGTCTGCGAGGCCCGACATAGAGGCCAGTATCTGGCGTCTTTCAGGCGATATCGTCGCTGGTTCCAAGGGATGACTGGAAACACGCCTGTTCAGCCTCTGACTATCATCCTCCCTGGCCACCTTTGATCAATACCTAGGTATCCATGGTCGGCTGATTATTGAGGCCGTGGACACGTTTTCTTGTCAATATTGTCTCGTTAGTCCTGCACAAGTACGTCCACCAGGTTCCTCCCCCCTTACCTTACCTTACACGGCATTCCGTGGGTAGGAGAGTGGAAAGCACACGTGCTACGCTTCTCAAGATCCTCAAGATAACAAGGCTCAACTTCTACAGGTACGGATCAGCCGTATATCTCTTACTTGTACTCTTCGTGGTCGCACATGTATCCAGCACCTCGGGTCTCGCCTATTACCCCTGTATAGGGCTGCACCTGGAGAGTGCCAATCGGTCCCCTGTTCTGCCTGTGATGCCGCCACTTTAGGCAAGCAAAAACTTGGCAATGGCTCCCTTTGCTCTGCACTGCATCTGTATGTCTCAGCTCGAAACCTGCAACACATGGATTAGGTGTAGATCGTGGAATGGGAAGTCCGTTGGTGCGTATTGAAGGGCGTACATGTAGAACAATGGTGCTCCCTTCTGTCTCAAATTGGGGACAGATCGACACTTGCGACCTCGACTGCAGATTATGTGAAGCTCGTACCTTTTTGGCGCTGGCTGGACGTTTTTGCTCGAGTAGCTATTGGTGTGACTTGGTTGGTAGGTGGCCCATGAATCACCGAAAGAAAGGAACCCAACTCTGATGCTGCTGCTTGTGTGATAGGCCCAGGTATCTGAAGTCGATGGAATAAAGATTTAGAGCGGTACCCAGAGAACGTGGACGTTCAGGGTTCAGGGGGGAGCTGTGACGGCGCCCTCGTGGAGTGAGACATGTCTGACAATCATCTGATTGGTGATCTGGCCTCTTAAACTCTGGGATGAAGCATATCCATCCACGTTTGGTTGGCGTACTTCCAGGCACAAACATGTAGAGTGCCGAGGGGCTTAATCTTGATAGGACGGTCACGGGGTACTTCACAGGGCTTTGGCAACACCACCGCCTTTCTTCTCCTACCTGAAGCCCAACATGCTCGTTGCCTCACCCCCATCTTCAACTTGAGTCTACCAGATTTCTTTGCCCATAGGCTCGCACGACTCACGGTATACCGCATCCTCACTGCATGTTCAAAGAATTCTTCGCCAGCTGCCACCACCTTGCTCTATCGTTCGGTGGCACCAGTCATGATGTGACCATCGCCCAGGCCATCAGATTGTTTGCTGTCCCAAATCAAACTTTGAATGTGTGACTCCTCCCAAAGCAGCCTATGTCATCCTCAACATCTCAGCTCAACGTGAGCTTCGCCATTACGCGGATAAGAGTCCTGGTGGTGCTCTTCCTGGCCATCACGTAGGTAATCCCCTATCGACATCACTCCCAGGTCTCCAACTCGAGCTGACCAACACGTCCAGGTGGCTGATCGCCAGCATCCTGCATGACTACACGCCCACGATCAAGCAGCACGTCAAGACGCGGCTAGGCGAGGCGCGGCAGAAGATCCCCAAGGTCAAGATCGACTGGCACGTTGCGCCCGACTCGGACCCGCGCGACCGGTACAACGCGTCCAAGGTGGCGCTGCTGATCGAGCCGCGCCCCGTGCCGCACCTGGTGCCGCAGATCCTGCACATGATCTCGGTGGTGCCGCCGGACTGGCGATTTTTATTTGTCGGGTCCAACCGGTCCGTCGTGAGCGTCGCCCGCAGCTACGCCACCCGCCACCAGCAGGCCGTCGGCAAGCTGGACCTCATGGTCCTGCCGGACCCCTGGGAGATCGACAGCAAGGAGAGCGTCCACCGCCTGCTGACTGATGTTCGGTTTTATGACGAGTTCCTGCCCGGCGTCGAGTGGATCCTCAAGTACGAGTATGATAGCATCCTGTGCGCCAACTCAGGCACGAGCTTGAATGAGTGGCTGCATTGGGATTGGGCGGGCGCGCCGCGGTGAGTTCTTTCTACCCCTATCCTACTGCCCCTGTGTTATATATATAACATTATTATCCCTGGCATGGGTTAATAGGTAGATGCTGACCACATCTCGACCCACCCGCAGGACGGCAGACGACCACTTCTCGGGCAATGGCGGCCTGTCGATCCGGCGCGTATCGGCCATCAAGCGCGTGCTCAAGTTCCAGGAGCGCTACAACGACACCGCCCCCGAAGACGAGTGGTTCGGCACGCGCGTGTGGGTGCTCCCGGGCGCCAACGTGGCCTCTGGTGAGACAGGCCAGCTGGCCGTCGAGGACACCTACATCCCCAACGCCATGGGCTTCCACGTCCGCGACGGCGGGCAAGGGCTGGCCGGAGCCATGATGTGGCGAGACCGCGAGCGGCGCAGGGAGGTTTTTGAATATTGTCCTGAGTTGAGTCTTATTATGGACATGAAGCTCGAGGTCGAGCGCTGCGACGGCGATAATGGCGATGGCACCATGACGATTCCGGAGGTGGCGGCTGCGGCTGCTGGGGTCTCGTCTGAGGAGCAGCCGCCGTCTTGACGTGTATTCGTAGTGGCAGTATTATTCTTGGTACCTACATCACCGGAATTGTTAGTATTTCCGTGAGGCATCCTGATTTCCGTGAACTTACAACCAAGCGGTTCACCCGGGGGCAAGGGGGTCCTGAATCGGGCGCGCTGAGGCCTTCATGCAGCGGAAATAGAAGCGAGAAGTGCGGTTCTCAGATTGGCGACACGTCTATATACCAGAGCCATGATCAAGATTAGGAGTCCATGACAATCCCGATGACTTAGTACGGCGATTTATTCTTCAACCAATGTCGATTTGATTCGCTGCTAAGTACCTTTGGTCATGCATGGAGAGACCCAGCATATTCTACTCTTCGGTATGCATATCCTAATCATACCTTCTCATTATTTTAGGTCGTGCTGGTCCTCCCGACCAAAAATGCGTCGCAATGACTATCTGAACCCTTTTGCTACCATGTTTGCCGGGTGTACCAAGCACCTTGGCGGCGTTATACGTTTGACACGCCCGTTTTTCGACCAAGCTTCTAAGTGGTATGATTCATTTCGTGAGATGTATTTCCCATATCAATATAAAGCTGAATCTTCCGCCTCATCTTCATCTTCCCCGTTTTCTTCTGTACTCTCACATTTGCTCTCATGTCCAAGGCAATAATTACACATACCCATCTTATCAGATTGTGCTCCAGCTGACATCTACTTTGCCTGCTCGGCGACTTGGCCCAGGTGGAGGTAATAGTATCACAGAATCGTTCAAGTCTCTTGTATTTTGTCGTGATACAAGTTCAGGAAGCCTACGTCGTAGTCCCTCGCCCGACGAATATAGTTGTTCATGAGACCGATCCCCTTCTTGTATACCGTAAATACTAGTGATCTTCTTCCCTGGCGCTATCCTCCACCACCGTCACTATACCCCGGGAGCAAATGGCCGGCAGGCCATCAAGGTCGAAGCAGCCATACCCAAAAGGCCCGGCAAGCACTCCAAAGCCCGGCAGCCCGATCACGAACCAAACAGCGGTGGCAGGGGATCAGAGGTACATCTTCCTATGATTGCTACCCAGATCGAGGGGATGCCCATCCGGGTCCATGTTCAAGCTTGGACCAGTACCCGGACTTCTGTTTGCCATGGTCCGCTGGGGCCATGGCGGTGAGACCGCCAAATAGGATCTCAACCAGTAAGGATGGCTTCTCGTTCGGGGCTCCTCCAAGCTTGGGACTACCCTAGGGGACCCCCTCGGGCCGGGAATCATGGGGCAGCTTGCTCTCCGGCAGCTCTAGGCTGGACCTCCGGGGGTCTGATTGCTTGATTTCGGCTCCGGAGCTGTGATTGGTCCCCAGACGGACCCGGATGGACAGGTGGCCGGAGCTCATCGTCCATGGATGGATGTTTGCTCATGCCGTGGGTCCCGTGGGGGCTTCATGATTGGATCAGGTAGGGCCGGCATGATGGCGGTACCTAGATAGCGGTCTGCTTGACTGCCAGGGCCCGGTATCAGTGGATGGGACAGCCCCGTGAGTGGCTCCCGGAGGGGGGCTCCGGGGATGTCGTCGGCGGTGCCGGGGCCCAGATAAGCGGTGGCCATCACGACCCACGTCGTCGCCGGCAGCCCTAGTACAACAGCATCGCCGACATGGATTGCGTCTTGATTGCATCGTTTGCGTTTTCTGGTGGCAGAATCTGCATATAAATATCTGCCCAACTTTGCTCTGCCCCTAGATTCCTTTCTTCTCTTCCTTTCTACTTACCCGACATTCCACCATCCACAAAACTTCACAAGCAATCACCCCAGACCACATATTGAGCTCACCTTGCTCAACCTTCGCTCTTAACACACATTTACCAAAGATCCTTTGCTGGAACCAAGATTCTTTCGTCACCACCAACGCTACCATACACAAAGCTTCACTCAACAACCCACGAACACGGTACGTATCCGTGACTTCGCTGTAACTGACAGCACGCTAACCATCGATGTGGTATAGATGGCATCCAACGCTGAACAGCAGATGATCCACAACCAGATCCGACGAGCCTTCGCGGACCTCGACCCCAAAAACGAGACTCCGGCCATCATACGTGAATTCCTCGAGGATGCCGGCGCTAGAGATCGAGCCACGGCCGGAGCGATCTTCGCTGCCGCCGCTCAGGCCCGCCTCGCAGCGGCTCGTGCCGCACAGACTGACCAGGCTGCCACTGCTAGTGCTGCCGGTGCTGCCGGTGCTGCTCCTGCTGCTGCTGGCCAGGGTCGTGGAGGTCATGGTGGTCGTGGTGGAGGAGGAGGAGGAGGTCGGGCCGGCAGCCAGGCTGGTGCCCAGGGAGGACAGTAGGACAAGACAACACAAAGACCCCCCCACATACGCCATGACGAGTTTTCTTCCCCGTAGATAGGGGAAGCAAAGAATGAATGCATGATCCCCAACACCATTCGAGGTACCTGTTTTATGGTAATCCTGACTTGAAATCACCCTATTCACGTGCACAGTCTCCGGATTATAACGCGGCAAATTGTTCTTCATGAGTTGTTGTCCAGGAACCTTGCTTCCTTGTAGTGGCTATGTCACTGGATAGTCTGCTTGGGGTGCCTGACATTGAGCCATAGGACCTCCGAGTGCCTGGGGAATCTCTATATGTCAAAGAAGGCCAAGTTTTTTTGATATGAAAGCTAGTCCTTCTCCCCATTCCCCCTTCTCTCTCTTCCTTCTTGTCACAATACCGTTTACTATATATATCCCACAAAAACCAATCACCAGCAACCAATCCCAGGCATACACCACTTACCATACCTTTTCAATCTACACCTCATTTTAATCGGAACATCCGCCCAGCGTCCCGAAGACAATCACCCTCAGATCTTCTGGAAGAGACACTCGCGAGAATCCCATCAAGATGCGTGACCAGCCTACTCACAAGCTTCAGTGGGATCCTGTCACCAAGTCTGCCAAGGTCGTAGGTACCAATGATGACGACGCTGGTCTTGGTGAAGAAGACATCGAGCGCTCCATGCCCCGTCTGCAACTGTCATCACGAACGACTTAACGTCCGACGAACAGATCCTGCACTACCTCAAAGACCTCGATGTTCGGGCACATCGGTATATGAAGGTTCAAGCAATGAGGGACAACCGGCAGCTAAGCCCGATACCAAGGTACGTCTTCATGAAGGCCTCAAATGACCTACCGATTACGCATACTAACGTTGAATATCACAGATGGCGCCTACTTACGAGCAGAAGAAAGCGCAGGTTGATCGAGACCTCGACACCCTCGATCCGAACCGACAGACCCCCGCCATCATCCGGCAGCTTCTTTTCGACGGCGCAATCCGGCGGACATGGGTGGTGCGATTACCCATGAGGCATCCCAGGCTCGACGCCGTGCCGCTGCCGCCGCTGCGGCTCAGGCACAGGCCGGTATAGGGACGTGGAGGAGGACAAGGCCCCGGACAGGGATGCGGACAGGGCGTTCAGGGGCAGGGCGGAAAGGGGCAGGGCGGACAGCAAGGCCAGTGCCCGCACCGGTGGTTCCGGCGAATAGCCACGTTGGACTGACGTCCCAAACAAGACTTGCCACGAAGCACTCCTTTGGGCTGTGAATACGGTCCCGCCCCAGGACCTCATCTCTCGCATCCAGGCGAATGCGGTTCAGGAGATCGTTGCAATCCTCTGGCTCTGCTGTTGTTTACGCACTCTGTCACATTTTCTGACAACGTATCCTCATTCCACACATCCCGACCTCTCTTGATCTTACTTCTCGAACCCGAGATTCAAGACGGCTTTGGGGCAACACCTCGTCGCGGCTTTTACCACCGCGTAAGTACCGGAAAAATAAATCTCGCGCGCACAGCTTTCTTTAATCAACGTCGAGCCAGTCGAGCCAGTCGAGCACTCGCGCACATCTTAGAGCCCACCTGGTCCTGATCGGATTCACCGACGCAACCGGCGACACGATCGGCAACACCAGACGCAGAGATGTCGGCCTACCCTTGCCATGCAGGTAAGTACCACCACCCGGGTCGCTGTCGAGTCGTATTCGAGTCGCTAATCGGAGCAGACTAGGACCCTGCAACGCATAAAGAGCGCGAGACGATCTGTAATTACTGCGTCGTGTATTGCATTCGGGTACGTTACTTTCTATCATCCATTCATTTGACCAACTGCTAACCTCTCTCTAGCATGACCGTCTACGTACTCTACTCGGGCACCGCGCGCCCTTGCTTATTCAGCATGCTGGTCTGGTTCCTTTTCGGGGGAGACTACGACGCCAAGATCCAGTCTCTGACCCCTTGGGTGCTCGCCTGCACCGGTGCAATCCCCCTTGCAGTTCCGGTGATAATGAGAGTCATCACGACAGCTCAGTTCAGGATGATACCGGTACAGCTCAACCTTCCGTTAACCCGGAGTTTTCACCAGCCTACGTCTGCGTTCACCCTCGCTATGGTCAACGAGGTGGTTCGCGCAGGGACTCGAAATATCTATAACCCAACCAGGGGGTTTGCGGGGGTCCATATGCCATCGCAGCGGTGGAGGGGGTTAGCCCGCCTCCAGCATATACGGTGTCAATGGTCATGGCAATGCTGATGACCAGGCATGTAATAATCACATCATGGCTGTTTATGCGTCGTAAGAATGCTGCTCAGCCGGGGTGCCTCTCCAGTCTCGGTGCAAGCCCCCTAGCAGGGCAACTAGGCCTACAAAAGGGTTGATTACGACGTCGGGATGCACATTATACACCAAACTCTTCATCCCAACTACTATGACATAATATGTCATCCCCAGACAGAGATAGACGCAGAGTAAATTACATGATTCCTAAACCCCGCTTGACATTAAGGTACTTATGTGGTAAAGAGTTGCTTGAAAATGCCTTGTTTACATGCAAAGAATCTGGATGATAGTGGAGCAATTTATTCCTTTAAAGTAGCTATATAAGACCTCATTCCTTTATTATAGCTATAGTATTAATTACTCTGCTTAAGAGCCGTATGAAGCCTTATAATTAATAGCGGTAAATGCCTAAGGAATCTCTTCCACTTTTCTTCACTTCCCTTCTCCCAACTCAGCCGGAAACCTCTAACTTGCCCTGCACCAGTACGCACCCAAGAACATATTCAGCACCATTTGCTCAATCTCAGCTCTTATTCCACCACCAGCTCAGAACTTGCTTTACCACCCAGCTTTACCAAGAACAAAGGTACGTCTTTACAAAACCTCGGCTGACCTGCTAACCACGCCTACTAACGGTCGATATCGCAGATGGCGCCTACCTACAAATAGAAGAAGGGCGGCCGAGGAGGCAGAGAAGAAGAAGAAGGGGAAGGATAGAAGAAACGCGGCGAAGGAGAAGTTTAAGGCCAAGAGGCGTGTGCAGAAGCAGCAGCACCTCATAGAAGGAAGTGTTTGAACTGTCTCAAGAGCGCGCTCTCTGGAAAGAGCTTAGGGGAATGCTACGACACAATCTTATCTCGCGGCAGTCGATGCTACAATTGTGCATCGGGCCACTCTTGTGTGCCAATGTATGTAATTTTCCTGCTCCCTGGCGCTCATACTAATGATATTTACAGTCCTGCGTCCGTCCTGAGTGCGGCTCGCCTGCTGTTCGGTGCCCTGCGCGCTGGTGAACCTGTAAGTCACTTTGAGCTCGTCGCCCGATCATTTGCTGATCGTCAATATAGGAGCGAGACGTGAAGAAGCTGCGCGTGACTGTTCGCATGCTCCTCAAGAAGCAGGCCGCAGAGCAGCAGCAGGATGCCCTGGCTCAGATCCAGCATGGTCTCGACACACTCAACCCCACCGGCTCAGCAACTGCTAACTTTTCTATTGACAGATGCTTCCATTGCGGGACGCTACGATGGATAGACACGGGAAAGGATCCCAGAGACAGGAATGAATCCCAACACGTGAATAGAGATATGGGACTGAATCCCACAGATGGTTTGTATTATAGCATCGCGAGAACGCAATAAGCTTCAGGAGAACCGGGGGTTGTTACGTCACATGCCGCAACACAGTAGCTAGCTCCAGATCATCACCTGGAAACAATCTGGAATAGCCTCAAGTTGCTCAATAAGATCCCGTATCTTCCTAGTCATTTCGCTCTTCTTCGTGTACCTGATCCCTGACATGGTCCATGGAGGACGTCAATGCGCAGAGTGACCCGTATATCGCTCTGCACATCAGGGCCGAGAACAGAGACAGGCAGGACAACAGGACCAGCAGGGCAACCAAGCCTTCAACATGAATGCTTGGGCCTTGAGCCACCATGTACAACATAATACTCCTCGACAGGACGAGGGCATAGTCACTAGCATTGCAGGAATCCACCCCAATCACCACCAACCATTTTCCATCTCCTGCCTGTTTGATGCTGTGAATGTGCTTCAAATACCCTTCAAGTGGTATGGACCAGCTTGTGATTCTGAATGCCTGAGGATGATCATGCGATAGAACAGTCTGCGGATTGCTAAAACATGCCTCGGGTTTCCAATATCGTGTGCAGTACCTGAATTTGCTCCATGGGGTCTTACCGCTTGAGTGCATGTAGAAAGGGGTTGCTGAAGCACCAGCTAGTTCAAGCTGTTTTCACACAGAAAGATGTACCGAGGCATACTGTTTGAATAAGATTGATCTCTTGTATACTTTACTGTCGGATAGAAGCATATTACGTGACCCAAGCCCTTTCAATCTCCCTTCACAACATTGTGCAGTACCGTTGTCTAGAGAGACAAGAATCACACTGCTTTCGTTTATACACGAAAGACCTTGCATGTCACTTCCGGGCCCTCTGGTACCGTTCACACGTGTCTAAATGATATTCTCTCTGCTCTTCATGCTGGTCAGTTCAAAACGATTGCGCCAAGCAATATCTGAGCGACACCTACCACTTGACTACTAATGTTACTGCCTCTTCAAGAAACATGCGATCGAGGTTCTCCCCCTGCACTCAACCCTTATAGGTACCGGTAAGTCTCAGCGCTGGCAGCGTGGTCTCCCTCTCGCCAATCCAACGTCCGGTGATTCGCGCCGCCTTTTACGACTAGCGGTACTGTTGAAACTGGCACCCAAGTCGCTCGCAGAGGTGAAGCTGTCCTGGAAAGGGTTCCCATGACCTCGAGGCTCCCGCAACTGAAACAGTTAGTTGCCAGCTCGACCGCAGAGGGCTTGCGGAGGTAGGTAGTACGCTACTCACCTGCGGCTGCTGCGATTCAGCCATAGAGTAGGCCATGCTGGACGTCAGACTGATGGGAACTGGCCACGGGGACGGTGATGATATTGTTGATGTCCTCTTTTCCTCTTGGCTTAATGGATCATACCGCCGTTTGATCTCGCAATCGTTCCCTGCGAGTACGTGCATGATCCAGAGAGCCAGGTTCATGGTTAGTTCCCTGTATTCCTCGACCAGCTCCTCTCTCCTGTGCTCCGACCACTTGATCGATTTCCATTCCATCAAACCGCGACTCCTCAAATCTGAACTCAAGTTGTCTCCTCGTTTTGATGAGTCACCACCAGAAGTCCCCTCCTCTGCTGGACCATCATCCTCTTTTTCTGGTCGGATCCTGACGACCACGACCTCCTTGCTTGTCACGATGCATCCATATCTACTCTTAGCTCGGGCACAGTACGTGTATATCTGCCTTAGGGGAGCAGAGTAGTTACGCCACTGCTGGCCTTCCTTCCACCTCCCGTTCTGATCGACAATCTGTCCTCGATCGAGACGTTCACTGCTCCACTTCGTCCCTGGTTTGATCTCCTTTGGAAGCCGGCCAGCATATGTCCATTCTCCGAGATTCCCTGTTTCAGATGTCGGCACAGCCAAAGCTAAAAGGCTCTCGTGAGATAGCCCTGTCCCGTCTGGAACGAGAGACCTGGCTCTCCGAGGCCTGGTCTCGGCTGCCGGATTCTGCGAGCTAGCACGCCGCTTCGGTTGGCTCCTGACCCCGGCTGTCGCTCTTCCGGTGCTGGACAATGACGGAGCCACACTGGTGGCAGTGGGCGCGGCGAGGCTTTGCGCAGTCCAGAACACCGGGTTTAGGGATTTCTCAACGGGCTCCAGTGCCGAGTTCACCATGCGGATGGTCCAACTCCCTAGAATCCACCTGGTGGTGTCTTCGAGCTTCTCGATGAGGTCCCTCTCAGGATGAGGGGGCGGAAAGACGTGGTGCATGACTCTGGGCCGCCTACACTCTGTCATAAGCTCTCGGCCGAAGATCTTCTCCATGGTGTTGAACTCGAATTCGTGCCATGGCTTGACCAGCTTTGGGACCCAGTACTGCCTTTTGTCGGTCAGAGACTTTCCCGCTTCCTGGTGGTTTATGTCCGGGTTCTTCACCGTAAGATACTCCAAGATGCTTTGAGCTGGCGGCGCCGGTGCTGGTGTCTCGAGTGTAACAGGGATCCCTGGTGCCGAAGACGAAGATGCCATCGATGGTGGGGTTGGTGATCAAAAGTCGATGGCGCGGTCCAGTCTGTAGAGGCAATACTCGTTGATGGGGTCCTGTATCACATCTTATACCTGAAGGTCGTGAGTCGGGACGCAGACGAGGCTCCCATGACCCCTCTCTTTCCCGGGCTTCTTATCAACCTGTAGCGCCAGGATTCGTGTCGGAGCCTGCCTACCTATTTTGATATGGCTGCATGCTGCATGGCTCTATTGCAGCGCGGCTGTGATGTGAAATCATGTAAACGACCCAATCGTTTTGGCTAATTGGGAGCCGGAGGTTGTATTGGCATCTGCAGTTGGTTCACATCCCCATAGCCTGTGCTAAGCCCCCTCTCGTGGCGTGTTCTCGATACTGCATCGGGGTGGTTCCCGTGAGAAGGTAGGATTCCAGTCGCGCCTCGGCCCGGTCGATGATGTGCACACGCCTGCATAGGATACCGTTGAGGACGGAGCAGTGGAGGGTATCCGATGCTCCAATGAAAGGCATGCGACCACCTGCAGTGTCATCACCAACTGAAAGGTGTCTCGTATTTGGAGTCAGGAAGGCGGGGGTGAAGCAGTTCCTCTCGCGGCGTTCCGTGACGGGTAAAAGGAGGCATCCCATATCAGTTACTACTTATTCAGTACGAGAAGCTGCTATCAATTGAAATTGCTTGACAATCTCGCATCTCCAGACTCCACAAAGCTCTCTGTAGCGACTACTGTTGTGGTTCATGATGAATGACTTGGTGAAGACCAACAGACGCCGTCTATCTTCCTCCGAGCTTCCTCCCCCCTCTTGCGAAGGGCCAAGGCTTCGTGCATTCCAGTATAGAGACAAGCCGATCGAGTGGATGGGTATGTTAGACGATAGCCCAGAGATTTCATCTTCCAGTCGTCAAGGGTACGTCTTCAAGGTTAAGGTACACTCGAAAATATACGCCTTAAAGGTTGTAAGTTGAGGTGAAACCCAAACCTCAAAACGGGACAACATCTCACAAGTCGCTAGTTCAAGTTCTTCAAGCCTACCACCTACAGGTGGCATCTCGGTCCGGAGGACGGGAGGAAAGTATCGGACGATACATTGGAGTTTAACACGGATCCGTTCTACGCCGAATGCCGCGCGTACGGGCGCCTGCAAGAAACACGGCGGAAGCAGGGTCTCAAACGTCGTGACTTCGCCCACTGCCACGGCTTTCTGGCATTGAACAAGAAGGACGCAGCATATATCGAGGAAGATCTAGGCATCGAACTGTGGGATGTCCCCCCAAGCGACGAATACCGCCGGAGAGCAGAAGGCAGCCCCATACGCGCCATAGTGAAAGAGTTCATCGCAAGCGATCCAGTCATCGATTCGCGAACCTTGGCGAAAATGATTAAAGGTCTTGGTTGGATGAACAAGCACGGCGTCCTCGTGTGGGACATACATGCCCGAAACTACCGGGGCGGGATCCTCGTCGACTTTGGCTCGGCTTGGACAAGGCCTCATTGCCTATGGGATGCTCTACCCGAAGATCAGAAGAAGGACGTACATTTGAGCGACCGGGCTCGCTTTCAAGACATGGCCGATGACCTCGGTCTCGAGGACGACACCCGTGCAGTGGCAAACATTGATTACAAGATGAAGTTGAGACCGCGGAAGGATAAGTCATACCCTCGCTAAGAGACAGGCTTTCGTGCGGTAAGACTTTCGGTGGCAGTAGGTTCTCGGTCTGCAAAGGCAGGACCAAGGTTTACTATTCTATAAAACAGTTATCAATTAGGACCCTGCTCGACCCAAGACATAAATACTCACTACCTTCTGGGATGGTAATCCGTCTTCCCCATTTTAAATCATCAATAGTAACCCATCACCAGTCTCCATCTCCTTGAGGTCTATACTGGTCACCAGTTGCTTGATGGGATCTCCGGCGTTAAGTCTTTGCCTACGGTAAACACGAAGTACTTAAACTCCATATATTATCATAATAAAGCGCCAAATGTTTGAGCAGTTGGCTAAGTTACCTAGTTGTAGCTCATCTGCTTCTAGTGACATCAAGGCCAAGTCTGCCTGCAAACCCCTGGCAGACTGGCAAAAGTATACTTTCATGGCATTTCAACGAGTCAGTCGACCGCTCTTGTTCGCAAAACAAAACTCTCCAGGTTGGTGGATGATGGTCAGTCCGCGGTGCTCACTGCTCAGCTACATGTGTCGATGTGGTCATGCCTGTCTCCGGACACAGAAGCTGTCGTAGTCACCTGCCTGCTGCGATGGCCAGGTAGTCCGGAAATAGAATGGTAATGAGTCGCGTCGCGAACCCACGGCACGTTTCCCTCACGTATGCATCTATGAGGATATGTCATCCTGGCAGCGTCGCAATATACCGGTACTCATTGCGGTTAAAGTCTTGGCGGAGCCAGCCTACCGTGATTCGTCATCCTTCCCAACGAACTATTTACTGAAAGGAGCGAGCCGTTACCGGTGTGAGCAGCAAATTCGACTCTCGAGGGTCCAACGGTAGTGTTAAAACGCAACAATCCATCCAATTAATATATTCGCTTCACTGTGAGTGGACAGAAGAAATTTCGCGATAATCGGGAACCCTGGGACGGAACGCCATGCAATGCAGGGCGGTTGCTTTTTAGCATATATGAGAGCTAATTACGAGCTTCTCCAAATTGGCTACCACACCTGAGTTGGGGACGGCAGGATGGCTGGACGACGAGGCGAGTCTTGGCGGACCGAAGGCCGGGGGAAGATCGATCTGAAGTCCTAATCTCAGGAACGAGCTTCACTTCCCCACAGATCCTTTTCCGCCGGGGTTACATTGCCACGGTTCTATCCCGCGATGGGCCTCGAGAGTCGCGGCTCGATCTGCCGGCAATCTGCAGGACATGGGGAGAGGATGACGAGTCCTCGCTGGCCCGTGGCTGGCTACTCCAACGTCGTTGATTACCCCAAGTGGCGGGACCTTCGAAGATCCTGTAGTCGTAGCTGCCGCTCGCCGGCTTGTCTCAAAAGATCGGGTTGAAGTGGAGTCCATTTGCCAAGATAGGGGGGCGTCTCCCATGATCTGATCAGTCGGAACAATACGGTGAAAAGTCAACCGCACGGGGCGTATACTCGTATGCGACGCTTATTGCGAAGCCACTTCGGAAATAATGGAACAGGTGTGCTACCATCATTACCTCCAAAGGCGCCACCACTGCATCGTAACCTGTCGACGTAACGGCACATAAGGGAGCTTCCTGGAGCTCGTGTTCTCTCAAGATCCACCATTGGCCAGCCCAGGCTAGGTATTGGCAATGATACCCGACTGCAGGTCAAGGACAACCTGGACAGGCTTCCGATGTTTGCCCTGGATGGCTGCTTATGCACGTAAAGGTAGTATCCGGGTATATATGATGCTCCTCCTTATGGCAACCACAGCTCGGGATTCGGGTACCCTTTACCCTTGCAGAGCTCTATTATGATCATCGCGACTCGTAAGCCTCTTCGGCTACGCTCACATACATGGTGAGACTCTCTCCCACTTTGGTAGTCGGGAATCTGCTCAGCTCTCTCTCTATCTCAGAGTTTCGAATACCCTCTTATCCTCTAATTAAATTGAAAGGGTTTCTTTGCTGGAACACTCTGTTGAGTCTTGTTGCTCGCTCGCTTTGCTCGAAGTTTAGCTGTACTCTGCCGCAATGCGCTGGCTGGACGCTTTCATCCTGGCCGCCTGTGCTAGCCGCACAGCTGCCCACGCGGATCCGAACGATCCTCATCATGCCCTGCCGAAGCTCGCCGGGGCTCGGAGGTTCCTGAACGAGTTCAACGGCCAAAGAAGATGGCAGAACCGACCGCGCCCCCTGCAGGAATCGGGTACGGAACAGGCGGCCGCCGAGGGACCTGTAGAGAAACGGGCGCAGCTTGAAGAAAGGCAGAACACCGATGGGAACTGTGGTCCGGGCTATGGCAGCTGCGCTACGGGATACTGCTGCTCGCCTGAAGGGTGAGTTGATATCTCTCGCAAACCAATTCCAAGGCTCTCTTGCTGACCGCGCCAAGCTGGTGCGGGACAACTGAGGACTACTGCACGTCACCAGACTGTCAGATCAACTACGGCACTGGATGTGATGGGAACCAGAAACCCGCGGGGGTAGACACATCTACCGTTGCAAGAACGAAACTCGGCAAGATCGCCTACGGAGGCGTGGGCATCTACGACTGCGTCAACACGGGCGATATCGCCATCACTTTCGATGATGGTCCGTGGGACTACACCAACGACCTCCTCGACAAACTCGCTGTATGTGCAAGCAGCACTTCACACGTAGAGGATAGAGGCTGATACATACAGCAGGACTACCAGGCGAAGGCTACGTTCTTCATCACCGGAACCAACTTACACAAGGGGCAGATTAATGATCCCAGTCTGCCCTGGGTTTCTGTCATCCAGGTACCGATCCCATCGTCTGGGACTATGGAAATATAGTCTGACAGGTTCTAGCGAATGGCTGCTGAAGGCCATCAAATTGCCAGCCACACATGGTCACATGAGAATTACAGCACCTTGACCACAGCCCAGTACAACAACCAGATCATCTGGAACGAGATCGCGCTCAATGACATCCTCGGATACTTCCCCACATACATGCGGTTCGTAACCCGAACCCCCATCACGGCATCACATACATACATACTAAAGCCGTGTGGCAGACCGCCGTATTCCATCTGTCCAACAGCCTGCGAGAACCAGCTGAAAACGCTTGGGTACCACGTAACCTACTTCGACCTAGACACCGAGGGCTACCTCAACGACGACCCGACGCTGATCCAAAACAGCAAGGACATCTGGGACGAGGCCGTCGACGGGTCCAACCCGTGCCAGGACAACTACCTGAACATCGAGCACGACATCCACTACCAGACCGTCTACAACCTGACCGACTACATGCTCGCCTCGCTCTTCTCGCACGGCTACCGGTCCGTGACGGTAGGCCAGTGCCTCGGCGACCCGCCGGAGAACTGGTACCGGGCCGGCAGCAGCACGGTGCCCGCGTACAACTTCACCACCCGGGCCCCGACCGGCACATGGGCCTGCCTGGCGTCAGCGACAGCCACCGGAGGCTCCACGGCCACGACAACCGGGGTCACGACGCCGACGTCCACTTCGGGGCTGCAGGTCAGCGCCGACGGCACATGCGGCAGCGGCGTGACCTGTGATGGATCGGAATATGGCAACTGTACGTATATCCTACATAAGCTTCCCGCTTGACCGCCCCCAGTCTAACCCCTGTGACTACCAGGCTGCTCGGTCAACAGCTGGTGCGGCGCCTCCGTCGACTACTGCGGCTCGGGTTGCCAGCCAGCGTTCGGAAGCGGGTGTTCCTAAGCTTGTGCTGTTGTCTCGGGGGCCGGTGTGGGCTGCTTTGTATCCTTGGGGACTGCGGGCCGGAATACGGGACTTGTGTCCTTGGGGGCAGCAAGGGGAAGATTGGGACTGCTGCATCGCAAACCTTGAGTTGAATTTTCTCCAGATAGGTATGGGTAATGTGGTGTCGATTTAGTGTGCTTGGAATGAAAAGGGGTAGGTTTCTGGATAAGAGAATGCGATGGTGGTTTCGTTAGTCGTGTAATAAGTGGTGATTCATACCAGCGTATTCACCTCACCTGGCGCAACCGCTTACCACGAGTAAATGAGCGAATTGTTAGGTCAGATACTTGACCGCTGCGATTATGTTCAAGTCAGTCATTGAAACACTTCTACTTGGCAGCTGATTCACTCTATGAGCCACCTAGACACAGTACCCACCTCGGTGAAGTTGTACCATGGTGAAGAGGTCAGCCAGTCTATTTCATGTCACTCGTCCCACCTCAGACTTGCCCGCTTGACATCGTCACAGAATCTCAGAGAGTCATGAAACTCAAGGGATAATGGACCTTACGTTGTAACAAGTCGCTGCGGGGGAACCTGAATCTAAGTACGGGGTAATATATATGGTATGCTACCGTATACATGTATGGTGAATGCATGGATAGGTAGTACTGATGCATGGTACTATAACGATGTGCCCGAAGGGTTTCTAAGAGAAGATCACAGCACGTAGTGGCCGTGCTGCTCTCCATGGTGATATGTACTGGTCCCAGACTCAGGCTGACTCGAAAGGTAAAGCAGGTAGGCCAGTAGGTAGGCACAAGGCTCCGTGCATCTGCTCTAGCAGTCGCCGCCTACGTGGGGGCGCCTCATCGTGAAACTGTTGGCGGTTTCGGCTCAGCCAGATCAGAGTGAAGCCTGGGATCCAATCCGCATTGGCCCGGGTCACCAACACCAGAAGACCAAGAAAGAAAGAATAAGGTTTATGCATATGCAAGAAATCAAATATAAGATTGCGCAGGATAAGATAGGAAGAAACAGCAGATGAGCTACAGCCGTGAGGAGTCTCCTTCGCTTCATTACATCGTATATAGTTTTAGTTCGCAATGCTGGGTATCGTAGGAAATTAAGTCGCGCCAAATGCGAGAGACATATTCTAGACTTCCTGAATCCAAATCTGTGAAAGGGTGTTGTCAGTACTGCTCCGCAATTGGGGGAGATCTTGCCTGATCTGAGGGGGTTTGACTCACCTCCATTTTCCCAATGTCCTGTCGTTGCTTCCGTGCCGTCTGCTTCACGGTCATCATGACCATATCGAGGTCGTCCTGGTCTCCCATGGTGATCATGTCCTCGGGCGAGTCCTCGTCGCGCACTTTGATCTTGAAGCGCCGCCGCAGGCCGAACTTCTCCTTGACGCGGTCTGCCAGATCGGTGAACTCGACCGCGGCGCCGACCATGATGTATCGCACATCTTCCGCATGCACCTTGATTCTGACCTTGCGGACGTCCGGTCTTCTCGATCCACCTCGTGTTGAGCCAGATGTTGAGGTCCCAGCCCTTCGGGGGGCTATCATCTCGAAGTCGCCTTCATCGAAGGAATCATACTCGCTGACCTCCTCCTCTTCCTCGATGTACCTGGGTTGAACCCGTCTGCTTCCTTGTGACCTGCTCGGTCCAGCACTACGGTCTCCACCACCACCACCGCCGCCTCCATACATATCGTAGACATCATCGGGATAACCATCATCGTCTTGACGTGAGCGCCTGCTTCTTGGCTCTGGTCGCTCTGCTCTGGAGTAACTCCGCTGGGGAGGCGACCGGGCTTCGGACGCAGTTCGGGACGGTGCTCTGCGTTCGTTTTGCGGTGAACTCGTCTTCTGGTAGCTGTTGCTTTGTTTGACTTCGGGAATGTTGAGCCTAGCTGGCATAGGCTTGGGCCCGCTCCGAACGGAGGCACCTCGGCTCATCGTTGTAGGCTTGTCATTCTCAGGGGGCGGCGTCGGGGGGAAGGCGTTGCGCCCGCCACCAGGTGGCTCAGACTGTTGTCTCCTACTCTGTAAGCCAGGCTTCACTAGATTCGTGGCCGCAAACGAGATGTTGTCGGTAGGGCGGTCGTCTTTCTCGCTGCCCCTCCCGGCATTCCCGGCATTCTTGATCTCTGACCCAGCAAAGCCCGTGAAAGCATTGGATCGATCCGAAGCCGCGACTAAACGGGCCTTTCCGAGGTAGTCTTTCGTCTTCAAGTTTCGCACCTTGGCTTCGTTCGGCCGATACACGACACCGACTGGAATAGAGAACACAGTGTAGCCCTAGCATAGTCGTCAGGTCGGGTTCCCGCAAAACGCATGTAGTATCTCTTACCTCGGCCTCTTCCCTGATAGCCTCGTCGATGACATTGTGGTCTTCGACTACCTTCTCCTTCACGGCATACTGCAGATCTTGCAAACCTGCATCCTTTTGTTGCAGATATATGTAGCAGAGACCTCTGTTGAACAAAACCTCGCAGGAGTAGAGTTTGAATAGTAGCCCCAACTGCGCGTAGTCGATCATGGTGTTCCCTCTCAGGTACAGAAGAGTGTCGTTGAAGTTTGCAAGCGCCTCCTCGAAGTCACCGAGCAAGAAGTTGGAGACACCCTGCTGGAAGTATGCAACAGCAAGATACTGATCCAATTTGATTGCTCTCTGGTAACATTCGACCTAGACACGAAATGTCAGTCATTGTAAATGCGACGGATGAGCGTCTACTGACAGCTTTCTCATGTTCCCCGAGAGTCGCGTGGATAACACCCATGTTGAACAGGATCTTGGAGGTATCCGAGATGTTTTCGAAGTCGTTCAATGCATCCTCGAATTCATTATTGTCGTACCGGCCGAGGGCCGTCACCCAGGTTTCTATCTCCTATAATGCCATGTGGGTTAGTACTGAATCTCGTTAACCTCAATCAGGCTTTATGAGAGCTTACCTGCTTTAACGACATGATGCCGTCGTTGTGAGTTGTGAATTGGCACCAAAAGCTTTTCTCAGAAAGCAAAGGCGTAGAGTGTCTCCTCCAACTTCAGGACTGGAGTCTCCGATCTCGTCTTATTATCAATGCAGCAGAGAGTCGATCGTCAATCTCGGCGGGCGGTTACAGAGGCGGGGGCCTCGATTTTAATACGCTTCTGTGCCCTACTCCCGCGACTAGCCTAGCAAGGCGACCCTTGAGGAGATGTTGGGCAGAAGATCCCCCGCTTTTGCCGTTGGCTAACACGCTTGGCGGCTCGGAAGACGGGTAGGGTAGGGGTTCGTTCTGCTACCGGTTGGCATTCATCAAGTCCTCCTCTTGGGTTGGAGTTGGAATCAGTTGAGGCCCGTGGGCGGCGCGGTGAGGCGTGACGAGGTCGGCGAAGTCGGATTCCAAGGGACTATGCGGCGCGGGCGCTTCTGAGGGGAGTCGGGGACCAGAAGGATCAGGGGTTTGGTGGAGATGTATGTAGGTACGGATGCAGAGTTGCCAACAAACCAACAAGGTATAGGAGCCTCACGAAGCACTTCGATATTGAACAAAGGTAAATTCTGTTCGCAGCGGAGAGAAACGACCGGATTGTTGGTGAGTGAGATGTGAGATGGAAAGATGGAGAGATAGATGGGCTCGCAGCTGGCAGACGAAGCCAGCGCCTAAACAGATACCGAGAGTGGATGGGAGCGGAAAAGCCAGTGAGTGGCAGAGTGGCGTGCCAAGGGGAATCGCACGGGAAGACACTGTGACTGGCGAATCTGGACTGTCTGGGTGAGGCAGGGCTGGGACTCGGGGACTCATGCAGTATGTATGGATGTACGTAGTGACCTACCTGCCGAGCCAGCATGCGGCCGTGAATCCGTGATGGCAACGCTGATGCTGATGCGGTGGGTACGGGCTGCATGGGGGGGCTGGCGGCCCAAACGACGATGATGCCAGGGTCCAGACACACACACGCAAACGGCCAGGGGCAGCAGCAGGGGATGCTCCGCAGAGGGGAGGCGAGGGGAAGGAGGAGGAGGCCGAGGAGGAGGGGCGTGCCTGGCGCTTGTCTGGACGACTCAGTTGGCGATGTACACACACCGATACCTCTCGATATTTGAGATTGGCTGTGATTGAACGGCACCGAGCTGCTGTTGGCTCTCTGCGTGTTTGCGCCGGCCTACTAGGCGTCTAAATCCGACCACAATGGCTCAGTACCTAGGTCCTAGGTACCTACTGTAGGTATGGCTTGAGCAACCGTGCAAAAGAGGCCTGTCGACTCGCACGGGAATATCTCCCTATGTCATACTGTCCTGAACAGGAGGATGGACGAGCAGATCTCTGGTCGAGAAGCTCTGTGAGGTTTTAGCACTGCCTTATTAGACCACTTGGCCGCCGAGGTCACCAGACCAGCTGACCAGCTCTTGGGTAGTAGTGGATTGTCCAATGCCATTCTGCGATCCCGAATTGAGTCGGCACATTGGCCTACAACAAGCGGATCGCAGCGTAGTTATTTGGTTGAGCGATTGCCCCGTGACCTCCAGCTGCGATAGTCCGGGGCCTCGCGGGCTCCAGCTGACCAGCACAACGCCACTGGACTCAAATGGCGACGACAGCAAATGATGCCATGTAACATAGTAGTCGTACACCACGGCGAGTCGGCGGGTGGCTCATGTTGGCAATCTTGCTCTTTTCGAGATGCGACTTGGAACTGTTACGAATCAAGCCCTGTCTTTCCTCAAGCATCAAGCGTTCCAGGTGTGGGCGCATGGGCCATGATTGGACAAGACGTCTCGGCTCGACGCCGCGGCCTCGGACGCCAGGCGTTTCCAAGGGCGCGTAAAACTTGGCTGTAAGTTATGGAGTTGTAACTTGAACCCAATGATTCATCTGATCACGACACACCAACACATATGAGAAAGAGGCTTGCAAGCCGGGTGGATGTACGACGAGAGGTAGATAGATGCATCCTGCATCCTCGACATTAGGGCGTGCATATGTCGGAGAGATCCAGCAGGCAGAGGAGGCTCCAAAAAAACATGGCAACAACGCAACAACGTGGTCTGGCTCTCAAGCTCGTTCGTCTGATGAGATGCGATGCCTTGGCTTGGCTGACTTCTAACGGGTTTCTCAATCTTCTTAGTGATCATTCGTCAGTTAGGTACTTGACGATGATGAGGGTTGCCGAGTCACACGAGCTCCCGGGCTTGTCGGCGCTTAAGACTTGAAGAGACCGACGATACGCAGGGATTTACCTACCTACCTACGTAGCCAAGGCATGCATGCGACAGGTAGACTGGATTATTGACAGGATGTGAAGGACTTCTAGAAGTCGGCGTGATGCTTCTGTAAGTGGGTTTCCAAGGTGTTCAACATAGGTCAACCGTCATCTGATGAGGCACGCCATGTTTCGCATCCCATATACGGTTCCTGCATTCTTCAGCGGAGATCATGAACAGGCAGGATGCGCAATGCACGACGCACGACGCACGATCTCTTGAGAACAGCAGGCAAACACCCAGCACAAGTAGCCCGCTGGGATCTTGCGAATAAGTCCCACACGGGAGCTTAATCCCACGTCAGGTCCCGTCGCTTGCGAAACTCGCTTGGACTTCAGGCCGTTTGGGAATTCCCGTGCCCAAGAGTAGCCCAGTCACCACGTGCTTCGACCACGATCGACTCTTCTTTCCTTGAACCGTCAACTCTTCAAGATCTGGAGTATCGTTGTTGACAAGGGACCTGGGCTAATAAGTTAGTAATAACACCACACATCCAGGCCACGCATGAAGAGGATCCCCCGTTCCTCCGAAAGTTTGATTGCAAACTATCAACACTCCGCAAGCCAAATCCTTTTCAGAAGCCGGCCTCATCATGCACACCTCAAGACAGCGTTTCGAGAGGCGCAAATCGAAACTTTGGAGGATCCTGAGGAAGTCTTTCGCATACCCTAGCACGCCTTGATATGTCAGGGTCTCGCAGGATGCATCGTCATGCCGGCAGTGCCTTCGATAGACTTCTGACGTCCAGGGGCTTCTTCTAGGCTATCGATCCTTCGCTCGCGGGCCGTGGTAAATCGTTGATTCATCATCTACCTAGGTCGTGATCCTGCCTGTCTGCCCGACAGGGCCGTAGGTAAGGTAGGCAGGGCCTAAAACGCATGCGTCTCATTCAATGCGCTTGTGTGGAGCCTGTACAGGGCAGGACTCGGCAGTTGGGGCTTCTTCCAAAGCTTCTATCTCGTGTCTTGCCAGAAGAAGGGTCCTCCCCATATTCCACTGCTTGATTGAATGAAGTGGTGGAAAGGTTGCCTATCACGTCGTCTCAACAATTCTCCGGCAAACCCCGCGGTCGGGTCTCGTCTAATGTTTGATCTCGGTCACCACTAAGTGGGACGTCTTGGCCTCCGACAAGTGCTGCCTCAAGTTGGAGTTCCTAATGAGTAAAATGGGTAAGAATTAAGCTTAACGCCCTGTCGACTTCTGGCAATGACGCGCCCCGACACCCCAGGTCATCAAGAACTGTGGTCGTTGCCAGTTGGGCCAGGGCCCCAGAAGTTAGAACCCAAAGCTTGGCCGTTGCTTGGCCTCCTCGATACGGTGCCCACGACTCCACGAGTTCTTCGAGTCTGCCAAATAGAGAGAACAAAAGCTTGGCTAGGTACGCTTCTTGGGAGGCCAATTCCCGAAGAGTGGTACGTCGAAATAAGAGCCGAGCAGCGACCATTTGGCGCGCGGCCTGAAATGATCTGACGAGGAAACGAAAATGGCGTGGTGGGAAACTGGGCGTGGTGCCATTCTGCTGATGGCCATCGCACGACGCCGAGGGACACACCTCACAGACCCTAGCTCCGGGGCGATAAGGTTAAAGTAGGTCCATGTTCTGTTCTTCGGGATCGGAATGGCCTGATCTGTGAGGGTCTATCGGATGATTACTTCCGATCTGTCAAGAAGAGCAAACGGATCGCGCCGAGGTTGAGTGTCGAGTCCGTCGACGTATCGTCGCATCAACACAACCCGATTGGGATTTTGCTGGGTGGCATTAAACAAGCATATTTCGCTCGGAATCACGGCATGGTACCCTGATCCGAAATTGCGCTGACAATACTAGTAGCCATGGAATAGCATCTTGAGCTTATTGCCTGCCCTTTTCTTCTTGCAAACGCGGGAGTCACTCGAGTGTTTCCAACAGGCAACTGCCGAGGCTCGAGACTCGGGAGGAGAAACGGATGGGGTATCAACTTAGCGGTGCTGCCACGGACTCTACCTACCGAAACAGCTGAGCAGCCGCCGCATAAGACAATACAAAAGGCCTCTTCATAATCAATGATAAACAACAGCAATCTCTAGCGATCTGGATGACTCAAGAGAGTGTGTCTCGTGCTATACGGACTGTCGTGAAGTCGTTCAACTTGGAATACTGCTCGATAGGAATCCTCCCCCCCCCGTGGGAGTCTGGGTCGGCTCCATGAACGGCGCGGCTTGCATCCAGGGAACGATGATATCCATGAATCTCGAACGATATTTCTTTGGTTGGCAAAGAGGCGGCGCGTTGCCTTCGAAGCGGCATCCTCGACGGAGATGATGACGACCCATGAGATAACTGCAGTAATCGGGTTCCCGAGTTCCTCGCTCGACCAAACTGCCCTGGGCCGTTCTCGGCGAAGTCATTACCCATAGGCGGCATTGTGGTCATTTCCATGTTTGACGACTCGCGTCTTTCCTCAGGGAGTTCTGGGTCTTTCAAGATACTGGCAGCTGTTTCGCTACTGGCATCTGTTTCGCTACTGGCATCTGTTTCGTCAACAGGATTCCGCTCGTACACAAGAACAATGTACAGGCCCGCAAGTCCGGCGAGGGCTGTGCCAACGATGGGTGCCCATTGACCTGGTGAGGAGCTTCAGCCATCGTCGCATTCCGAGTGGGTGGGCAGCGAATTTCGTGCTTACCAATATTGGCGATGGGTTCAGTCTGGTACGCCACTTGGGGGCTAAAGAAGTTCCTCTCGCCGACGATAAGTATGGCCAACGATGCTGCAGCCGTTAGCGGAGTATGCATGAGACCCAAAAGAAATCTGATGAGGTTGTCAGATCTCCTCATTCGTCCCACAGTAGCACCGTTTGTGCCTGAAATGGGTTCGTCGTCGTTTCCGCTGACTCCGAACCGCGTGCGCCAATTCGCCTCGCGGATTCTCGTCCACAATATCATCAGAGAGATGATGGCGGGAATGCAGCATGCCGCCGTAAGAAGAAGTACCGTTCCGAAATTTAGCCTGTCCGGCATTGGTATCACGTAGATGTTGTTCGCCGAGCCTCCTCGTATGGGGGAATAGGGGCCTTCTTCGACGGTGCAAGTCATATTACATGTGGCCTCTCCATAGGGAAACCCGCCCGGCTCGACCATGCATTCAGAACGCACCCACGCGGTAGAACTCGACCGCCAGGCCTAGTAGACCTTGCAAAAAAGAATTAGCCTACGTGAACGTCGTTGTCGTAGGGTGGGGTATTACCCGAAAGCATGATAGCTGTCCACAGGAAGACGATAGCATAATAAGTGTGCGACAGCCTGACTGTGATGGGAGCGGCCAACATCCCCATGGCGCACAGCTGAAAGGCTCCGTAGATATCCATATCGACAGCACCACCGACATGTACCGCCGCTAGGACGATGCCGTGGAGCGCGGCGACCGCTGGGAAGACTAGACCCCCATTTGCTACGGTTTCGTTCCTGAAGTGAGGCCATTTTCCGGCGAAGATGCAGACCGCTATGAGGACGTAGTACCTGGGTAGTAGGTGTCACATTAGAAATTCGGTTCGGCACCATTGGTAAGGAAGACGACTCACAGCACTCTGGAGCCTGGTCCGTACTGACCCGATACCGGCCAGGCGCAGATGACTTCCACGATGGTACTGGCATCACCATCCGGGACAGCATCTCGATGAGTGAGCGGGGTCGGTTGCGACCTCGACAAGGCTGGCATGGCTCTATTCACGCTTCAAGTCAAATTGAAGGAATATGGATATCATTGGCGAATTGTCGACTTGTCTTGAATATCGCCAGAGGAGCATAGGCAAACCGCTTAAGGATGAAAGGACAAAAAGACGAAAGCAGAAACTTGTCTGAAGAACTTCGATGTGTACTGAACACCACGTTGACGGAGCCTCGAGCTATAGTCTAAGACTGCCTTGCAATCAGCCTTGGACCTGGCCAGCAGCTTTACTTGTGCATCGTGTTAGGCTTCCTGCCAGCCCGGCATCAATCAGGCAGGCGGGTCGCGAGTTTCGCCTGGCCGAGTACCCATGATCCCGACGTAGATTAATCAATTCAAGAACATCAAAAGAGTGCGATTGAAATGCAGAATGGATTACTGTAATGAGAAATGGAGAGTGAAGCATACTCCCGGAAGAATTTGGTGGGGGTGGCTAATTGGGCTATGGAAGGTTATCTGCGCTTTCTCTGCCTGTCAGGTCGACTCCACATATACCCTGCATAGAAATATCATTCAAAGATAAATGAACGTAAGAGAGCATGAAGTGGAATTTGAAGTATCTCAATTAGCGGAACCAATTCCAACATCGACTACTTGCCCCTGGGTACTGTCTGTACATTCAAGAGAGGGTTCAGAGTGTAACCCAGGCTCAGATATGCAACATTGGAGATGTTGTGTGGTTTATACTCATCCGACAATCAATTCTGGGTAGATATATATCAGAAATCGATCACGTATGTTCAAATCATACCCTTCTGCACCTCATCTTTCCTCTCCTCCCACAGCGTCTTCCCCGTGCAGGAGCACACAGTCTTGTCATTATCCCACATGCCGGCACTCCTCGCAATGACCCCAACAACAGTGTTCTCGTCGTTTTTGAGTCCCCCCTCCCCTTCCTCCTGTTTCGTGACGACCATCGCATGTCCAATGAGCTCCCAGACCTGGACGGCGTGATCCAGAAAGACCGCTCCCCGCCCATCCTTCCCAATCTCCACAGACCCGAGCACGCCCCGGGGCTGCGTCGTGCCGCTGCCGCCAGCTCCAGCCCACACGGGACCGGTGGAGCTCGCGCCGTACTTGAGGTCGCCGAACTCGCGTATGCTGGCGGCGTACACGCCTGGTGCGACCCCGCGGACCGTCAAGTCCACCAACGTGGTCGAGGGGGCCACCTGAACCATGCGGGCCAAGCCCCTGACCTCTCTATCGCTAACACTCGATCCTTCCGTCAACGCCTCGGGGGCTGAGGCGGGCACCAGCGCCTCGCCACCGCGGTCATTGCGGTGATATGTCTCGAAGATACACACGGCTGCGCCTGATGCTCGTTACCGAGAAGGATCCACGTCAGCCAGCTGAAAGAACCAACTATGTTCTTCCTTTCGGGATTGGAGGTATTCAGCGGGGTCTGCCGCGCTTAGGCTGCAGCTATGGGCTCTGCTTGAGATGAAGAATGCGAGAAGAAGCAAGATCAGACAGGAGGCCGTCAAAGCGGGAGAACATCGTGCTGCTGTCTGTGCTATGATAGGCTGATTGAAATAGAGCGGTTCACAATAGGAAATGGAGCCCGTCACTCACTGTTTGATGCTCCCGATCCACGCAGGATGGCGTCCCGGCCTGTCGCCTCGATGGCGCTGACGATGGCGGACGGTGCAGCTGTCGATGTTCCAAGTAATGTCAGCCCCAGACTCCTGGATCAGATGATGCGACCTCTACGATGATATGACATAGCTGTCTTCCGTGCATGGAAAGGATGGGCGGTGTCGTCTTACCGGTCCCCTCGACCGCGACGAGCTGGTCCTTTAGGTTGGCATCAACCTTGGTGATCCCCTCAAGGCCGTACAACGAGTCTGAAACGGACTTGACACAGTGGTCGCATGTCATGTGTACAGCGAATAGCGTCTGGTCCATTTGTTTAATGTTTCATCAGCCTTCTTGCTCCTCTGGTCGTCTGAACTTGTGGCATTCGACCACATCGGCTTAGATCGGAAGAGAGCGCATATGATGCGCAAAGTCCTGAAATGTAAACCAAGAAGCATACGAACCTGGAAAGGAGTCTTGACTTTATTTTGCACCGTCATGATGTCGGGGGTGGCAGGTACACTGCTGAGACGACTTTGGCGTTTCTCTTGGTGTAACCTGTGGAAATACGACGCAGTGATGAGTCCAAGAGAAATACAGCCGGTAGTTGTGGCGAAGGTGCGAAATGAGATACCGTGTAAGTATCTCCGCATCATAAGACTTGAAGAGGCGAAATCGTGAAGAGACTCATGCTCGAAATGACATGCGAACTTCACTTACATGATTTGTTACCCACCTGATTGGAAGCTGCTTTGAAATCGCCGCACCCAAATCCCAGCAGCGTGGCGGCGATGGCCTCTAGCGGGTCAGCGACCTCGGCGCTCGGCGATTACATCTGCTGCGGGTGTTATCGATAACGCTCCCCTGCAGCAATCAGCAGTCCACGTGACATCTCAGGGACCTGAATTCTGCTGTCGGTTCTTGGCATCGAAACGGGAAACCTCCAGAGCTCGAAATCACCAAATCCACCACGCAACATCGACACAGGGTGCCATTCGTCTTCCGCACACATCCTGAGGGCACGAGTGCGCGATCTACTTGTTACGGAGAGCTGATTGGGTTGAACGCGAGGGGATAGCTCCCTCGAGAGCCGCCAACATGTCACAGACAATCGGACTGGTAAGCTAGCTCCCTCCTCTTCACGCTCTCCCAGTCGACCTAGACGCAACCGGCAGAAACGTTGACCATGACTCCCTCATCCGCAGACGAAACTAGCCTACTCGCGCACCTGGCACCACGTCTCGGCCTCGGCACCACATCCTACGCTCTCGACACAGCCGGGCATCACCCCCCCCTCGCTGGGCCGTCTGGCGTCGCGCATCGCCGTGATCCTCATGGGCAAGCACAAGCCGATCTGGGACCCGTCGACGGACTGCGGCGACTACGTAGTAGTAACAGACTGCGCGGCGCTGCACGTGACGGGCAACAAGAAGTGGCAGAAGACGTACTACCGGCACAACACCAAGCCGGGCTCGCTGCGCAGCGTCACCATGGACGTGCTGATGGCCAAGCACGGCGGCGCCGAGGTCCTGCGCAAGGCCGTCAGCGGCATGCTGCCCAAGAACCGCCTGCGCGACAAGCGCCTCGCCCGCCTCAAGGCCTTCGAGGGCGAGGCCCACCCCTACAGGCAGAATCTGGTCCGGTTCGGCGGCGTCGAGGTCGGCAAGGCGGGCTGGGAGGAGGCCGTCAAGGCGATACGGCAGGCGGATATGCAGAGGTTATAACGAGACGATACGAAGGAGTGGGAGACATAGACTTGGTTGTGGTTAGGGACAGCGTCCAGTCGTAAGAGACGACCTGGGCAAGACCTGCTGATGCTGTGGAGGGGGAAGCAGCACGGCTCTGTATATCTGCTTTGTACTACAATATGTATGCATATAAGGAAGCCTCTCATGACACCGGCTGACAAACAATCAAAACGTCAGCGTTGTAATCAGGCAGACAATCCAGAACCCCTCCAGCAGAGCCTCACTTGATAGAGACGAGGCTGTGTGATAAGCCGAGTTGGTTATCCAGCATTACAAAAACATAATCACAACACCCAATCGAAAGAAAATCAGCACAATAATGTTCAATTGATCTGGTATCTACTGATGGGCATTAGGCGGTAGGTACTAGGATTCCTGGTTTGTAGGCATGCAGACGTTGATATCCCCCCAGATCCGAGTAGCCAGCCCCCAGCCATTACCATACCGGAAGAGAATAAAAGAAAATGCAGAATGTATGACCAAGAGCCAAATCACGCATACGCCGAGTCATGATACACGTTAAGAGGATAAAAGATGCAGCCAGAGTCTGCCTAAGATCGCGAGACCTCGCACTTGATGAGACCGTTGGGTCCGGACTGCGGCGCGTAGACCTCGGCGTCCTTGCCGGTGTTCTTGGTGCCCTTGTGCCAGGAGAGATCTAGATATAACGAGAATTAGCATGCGTTCCCAGTAGTGGACTCATAAGTCGGGACGTCATCCATCAGTGGACAAGGGAGGAGCAGAAGAAGAAGAAGAGAAAGGGACTCACCGATCTCAAAGTAGTGCTTGTTAGGCAGCGCGTAGCTCACGCTCTCAGTCGCGGGCGCGGCGTCGAGGATCTTCTCGCACATCTTGTACATGGTGTTCTGGACGCTAGGGCTGTCCTCCTCGGCGAACGTCTTCATGGTGATGGCGCGCGCGTCGTCCCACGCCTTGTCGAACACGTCGACGCTGTCCCGCAGGGCCTGCAGCGACGGGAACGGCTTCCACCGCCACGTGGCGTCGACGTCGGTCGACAGGATGCGGTCCCAGGTCTCGGGCAGCGTGGTGAATTCGTCGCGCACGAAGCCGTGGAACTGCGACCCGGTGCTCTTGAGCACGAGCAGGCCCGCCACACCAGAACTAATCTCGATCTCGCGTCCGGCGTCCCGGGATACGCGCGCCGTCACGTTGCGCGTGTCCTCGCCGTCGCGGTAGAAGCTGTGCGGGTGCGGCTTGCCGTCGATGACCATGCGCGTCCAGCGCTTGGCTTTCACGTCGACATTGGCGACGCTGACGTGCGCGTACGTGTCCAGGAAGTGCTGCCCCAGTATCGCGGCGTACAGCTCGGGCGGGTTCACCGGGTGCTCCTTGGCCTTGATGTAGATGGTGTTCTTCATGCTGTCGGTGGCGACGACGGGCCCATTGTCGGCGTCCGTGTACGAGGCGTCGATGGCGCCTTCTAATAAGACGCACACTGTCATCTCCGTCACCGTGTGCGTGCCGCTCGCCTCGTCCCGGTCCACCTTGTAGACGCGGACGTTGTCCTTGCCGTAGCGCGCTGAGGAGAGTCTGGCCATATTTGTGGTGTTGGTAGTGAGTGGCGGGTGAAGATTAGAAAGGGATGGTAAGTTAGAGTCGGGGAGGGAGAGTTTATCGAGGGCGTTTGCGCGGCGAAGACTACGGCGCTCGTATATGTAGTGTGTTTCCCTTATCAGCCAAGCCCTCTCTTCACAGGGACAGTCAACGTGAGCGTCCCGGTGTCACTCAATAAGGGGCTAGCTTGGTGTGACGTGGTGCAGCGAAAAGTATGACAACGAGTCTATCTCGTGGACGACACAGGGAGACGAGATGGATAAGGATGGGAGGGCAAGATTGATGAGAGGCGCTGCAGTTATCCGAGTCGGTTCACGTAGGTAGGAAGAGGAGGCATGAAGTAGGTAGGCGGCGTTGATCCGCACTTTATACTTATCCGCCAAGTGCTGCTAGTATTATACATACACGTACTCTATCGGAGTAAGGCATGGATGGCTTGAGGTCGCCATGAACGGGCTCGCCCCAAGCCCACGACTCATGCTGTCATGGGTTCTCACTCCCTGGGGATGAACCGACGAAGCGACGGCATCAACCAACAGGACCCCTGAATTGCGCAAGCTAAAACAAATAACTGTACGTACATCTCGGGAGTCCTGGCCCGCAGTCATCAGTCGATTCCAGCCTCTGGGGTACAGTATGTTGTTGATCATCAGCTATGAGCGATCTCGCTTCTTCCTACAGGGTCGGAGAGCGCCTTATTCGGCAATACCCTACGCACCTACAACCTTGAGGACCGGGCGTTGCTGTACTTGCAGCCGCCGCTGGTCACCGAAGCGTTGGACCCGGCCAGCCAGCCAGAGTCCATAGGACAGTTCCATTCAATGGCATCTCCGGGACCAAGCTTCAAACGCGGGCATCGATCTGTCACTTTGCTGCTTGCGCGCAAGATCGTCTGGGAAAGCCGCCGGAATACGCCGCCTCCCCCCAATGGCCCGCGGGCTGCCCGTCGCTGGGTGGCTGCCGGGTCCCTGTTCGGTCGGCGATAGCGCAATCTATTAGTCGTCAAAACTCGGGAACTCCCATGGATGTTTCTTTGACCTTTGTCGATTCCACATCATCCTACATCTGCCTGTCAGTTCGGATATGTAATGATCAAGTGGGTACAATCGTACGTTTTCTGGTCCTTCTTCTCTTCGGCCACGGTGCTGGATCGTATCATTCCAGTCTTCGTTTGACTCTTCCTGTTGATCAATGTAGAAGATCCGAAACGACTATGGCATTTACACTTTTCGGTCTCCTCCACGATTCGCCCCCTTATCGCAGTAGTACCAGCACAACAGCATTGAGGGGCAGCTGCAGCTGCGGGGTTATCCAGTGTCACAGCCCACGCACAGCAACTCATCTCGTCCTCCCATCGCCAGACTTAGCTACGATATCGCTATCAACGAACGCAACGTCCGACGTTGTTGCTTTATCTAGTCATACCTCATGATGTGTCACTCCGGCTCTAGTTGACTTGGCTGCTTGAAGGTTTAGATGATCTAAAAGTGACGGGTTTGATAATGCGGTTAGTAATCGCTTGATCTATCAAACAGCGTAATTAAGGTTTATATGGTTAAAAACGTTATATTGTGGTGATATTTAATAGATTATTATTATATAAAGAATTTATTATTAAGTGTTATAGCAAATTAAAAGGCTTAAATACCCTATTAATATATTACTACCTTTTTAATAACTATTATAACCTACGTAATATTTAATATATCTTTTTAAATAACCTCATTATTTAATTTATCGAATAAAGACTTCTTAAGGCGAAAATCCAGGTTTTTATAGCTTATTAAACACGCTAACTAATATCTTATCTTTTAATTAACATTTAAATTATATCTTTAAGCCTTTTATTAAATTTTATTTACTTTAGAATAAACGTAATATTTATTTTTTAAACGCGTTAAAAGAAGTTTCAATGTTTCCTTTTAAGTAATATTTTAATTGGGCCGTTTATAGCTATTTTACTTATTTTTATTTCAATTATCGCAAGAATCCTTCTTAAACCATTTTATTTAAACTAGTAAATATAAATATCGACGTAATAAAGCTTCGTTTAAAGCTTTATATAAGATATAAGGTGCCGTAAAGTATGGTAACGGCTGTTAAGCAGCTATATTTGACTATAATAAATAGTTAAAAAAGGTAAAAATCGTCACGTTCCGAAGATGAGAGAGGACGTAAAAGCCCTGTATACACTATCTACGTATGAAAATCTCTTGGTGAGAAGGGAAGAAGAGATCGAGCCCACCTGTTGAATGGGAGCCGGAGATAGACACCGGAAGATTTCCAGTGGTGCAGAGACGCACAGGGCATCTGACCCACCAAGAATACAGATGATCAATCTCTGCACTCAGAGCAGAACAATCAGTAGCATCAATCAACATCCGTGTATTCAACACCACCAGCCAATTCTGGTGGGGGATATGGTCTGTGTGCCCGGCCCACTACCCACTGCCCTAGTGGCTGGCAGATCAACAGTCGCTCCGCTCACGTGACTAATGCACGTGGGTGGCCTGGAGATCTGGTGGTGTGGGTGACCATACAGGTGACCATTGTCACGGCGAGCGTACTGAGGAGCTGGGACATGGCCGGCAGCAAGCAGCTATTACTCTATTGACGAGAATATCAAGACTAGAGAGGAAAGGAAGAGAGAGAGATATAGGTACAGCGGGAGGTTGCCCCTTTAAGGGGATCCTCTGGTCAGATCTTTCCCTTATTGGGAAGTATGGGCTTGTCACGTAGGAAGGTCCGTGCAGGCTGTCACAACCATACAGGTGACCATACCATCAAAAAAAAAATTAAAATAATAGCTTTTAAGTAATAACTAAAGCTTTATTAACTAGTAAATTAAAAAATAAAGATTTTTATACTTTAATATTTATTTAGTATAAAATTTAATTTTACGACTTAGTAAACGATTAAGTAAGTGATCTATTTTTAATTTCAAACTTATATTAAACCTTAATGACAGATGTTGGATCCCAGATATGGTGCCCTTAGGTGCAGTGCCCACTAGGAGGCTGTCAAGGGAAAAGTGGATCCACACTAGCATGGTGCAGTATGGTATTTAGCTGTAGATTAGCCCTGCCGAGCATACTTGAGAATAACAACAACATTTGCAGCGACCGCTCACACCCCCAAGGCTTGTGACCCTTCTAGAATCTCACACCTAAATTATAATATAATAATATCTCTTTTAATATAATTTTAAAAACTTCGTTTTTACAATCTCGAAATATATTTATATAATAAATACGGATGTGACAGTCTGACCTCCTGAAAGTCTGTCAACCCATCAGGGTGGCCTGTGCGCAGCATCACATGACCTGGCGCACAAGACGTGTGGCCACAACTGTACTAGACTAGGTAATAGTGGGGCAGATAGAAGGATCATTAATCCCACCAGAATTGGCTGGCGGGTCAGATCCTTCTTTCCCTCCCCACCAAGAGATTCTTACACGTAGGTAGTGCAATCAGGACTTTTATGTCCTCATCCTATTTACGCTTCGTGACAACGGAAAGCTTTTGACCTTTAAGCCTAGTACGCTTAAATATGCGCTATACCTTTTTTACTAATATAATAACCGTTTTTGTTGTTGTAACTTCATTTAACCAATATAAAAGCCTTTTACAAAAAAAAGGGATTTAAAGCACAAAGCCTTTTCAAGGGAGTAAAAAATAGCGCCCCTTCTGAAGAAAAGAAAAAATTAAAAAGATTTTATTAATTATAAAGTTATATTTAAATTACTATTAAAAGAGTATAAAGGGTTTAAAAGGTTAACCTAAAACCTTTTGAATTTAAGTTGCGTTTAATACTTTTATACGTATTATTTATAAAATTAACATAAATATTGTTATTTATTAAACTATTAGAATGGATTTAAACGATTTTCAAAAAAAATATCTATTATCCGGGTTTATAATATTAGAATACGCTTTATTAAAGGATTAATTATAGCAAGTAATTTAAAAAACGATAAGACTTTTATTAATATATTTTAAACCGTTAAACCGAATTAACAAAAACCTTTTTTAAAAGAGAGAAAAAGCGCTAAAATAACCGCGCTGAATCAATATTCAACTTTATATAAAATATAAACTAAAAGCGTAAAAATTAAAAAAGTTTAAATTCCAATTTTAACCCTTTTAAGAGCTCCTTTGATAGTAAATTTAACTTCGACGTTTTTGATTAACGTTTTTAAAAAAAAGAAGTTGAAAAGATATTAAAAGAATAAAAACGTTTATAAAAATTAATATAATGTACTATAAAAGTTTTAAATTTTAAGTTTGCAATTCGAATAAAAGTTCATTTAAAAGACTTTAAAAACTAAGTTCTATATGAAAATACGATTTCTATTTTTATTTTAAAAATAGAATAAATTTCAGGAAACGAAATTAGCTATAAAAAATTATAATTGCGGAAGTTATCATTAATACTTTTAAAATTAGTTTAATAAACTGAAGTTTTTAGCTTATGAAGCGGCGTCGTTATAATTCAAGCTTTACATAGAGCGTTTGCAATAAACGTCAAAATCTACTAGCGCTTTTTTGAAAATAAATTCACAAACTTATAATTGTTACGAATCAACGAACAGTGCGGCCTGATAGCAGATCTAAAGGGGACGATTGGAAACAGGTTGACCAGAGAGTGGGGTGCTGATCAGTGGAGAGATCGGAGCAACGGAGTAACGGTCCACAGATCACGCGACCAGCAGAACCTGGGTCACGTGACTAAGAATTTGGATCACTGGATCACCTTGGATCACCGGTGATCTAGGGTGAGCCACCTAATCAGTGAGTGAGAGATTGGATATATAAGGACAGACATTTCCCAACCAGATAGATAGACAGTCTCTACCTCAGTGATCAATCTAAGCATCTTAGCCAACCTTAAGGTGGGAGAAATCTCCTGACGACTCGACTACACAGTGAACCCAGTTCAGACCAAGCCCCAGCATCTGAGTGTCTTCTAGTTGACAGAAGCCTC